CAGGCGGCACGCCCAAGTTTAAGAGGTGAAGAGAGATTTTTTTCAAGAGTGAAAAACTCGTAGCTTGAATCGATCATGTTTTACTATCTAGCCAATTGCAGTTTTCATGCGCTATGTTAGTTTGGATAATTCAGTGGATTATTCTCTCCTCTCCCTCTTGGCTTACAGGCGGCGCGCCCAAGTTTAAGAGGTGAAGAGAGATTTTTTTCAAGAGTAAAAAACTCGTAGCTTGAATCGATCATGTTTTACTATCTAGCCAATTGCAGTTTTCATGAGCTATGTTAGTTTGGATAATTCAGTAAATTTTTCTCTCCTCTCCCTCTTAGCTTACAGGCGGCACGCCCAAGTTTAAGAGGTGACGAGAGATTTTTTTCAAGGGCAAAAAGCTTCTAGCCTGAATAAACCATGTTTTACTAGCTAGCCAATTGCAGTTTTCTTACGCTGTGTTAGTTTGGTTACTCTCTCCTCTCCCTCTTGGCTTACAGGCGGCGCGCCCAAGTTTAAGAGGTGACGAGAGATTTTTTTCAAGGGCAAAAAGCTCTTAGCTTGAATAGACCATGTTTTACTAGCTAGCCAATTGCAGTTTTCTTACGCTGCGTTAGTTTGTTACTCTCTCCTCTCCCTCTTGGCTTCCAGGCGGCACGCCCAAGTTTAAGAGGTGAAGAGAGAAATATTTAAATTGAAACACTTGTAGCTTGCGTCGATCATGTTTTACTAGCTAGCCTATTGCGGTTTTCATACGCTGTGTTAGTTCGGATAATTCAGTAGGTTATTCTCTCCTCTCCCTCTTAGCTTACAGGCGGCGCGCCCAAGTTTAAGAGGTGAAGAGAGATTTTTTTCAAGGGTAAAAAAACTCGTAGCTTGAATCGATCATGTTTTACTATCTAGCCAATTGCAGTTTTTATGAGCTATGTTAGTTTGGATAATTCAGTAAATTTTTCTCTCCTCTCCCTCTTAGCTTACATGCGGCACGCCCAAGTTTAAGAGGTGAAGAGAGATTTTTAAAGGTAAAAAACTCGTAGATTGAATCGTCATGTTTTAGGTAGCTAGCCAATTACAGTTTTCATGCGCTGTATTAGTTTAGATAATTCAGTAAATTTTTCTCTCCTCTCCCTCTTAGCTTACAGGCGGCACGCCCAAGTTTAAGAGGTGACGAGAGATTTTTTTCAAGGGCAAAAAGCTTCTAGCCTGAATAAACCATGTTTTACTAGCTAGCCAATTGCAGTTTTCTTACGCTGTGTTAGTTTGGTTACTCTCTCCTCTCCCTCTTGGCTTACAGGCGGCGCGCCCAAGTTTAAGAGGTGAAGAGAGATTTTTTTCAAGAGTAAAAAACTCGTAGCTTGAATCGATCATGTTTTACTATCTAGCCAATTGCAGTTTTCATGCGCTATGTTAGTTTGGATAATTCAGTGGATTATTCTCTCCTCTCCCTCTTGGCTTACAGGCGGCGCGCCCAAGTTTAAGAGGTGAAGAGAGATTTTTTCAAGAGTAAAAACTCGTAGCTTGAATCGATCATGTTTTACTATCTAGCCAATTGCAGTTTTCATGAGCTATGTTAGTTTGGATAATTCAGTAAATTTTTCTCTCCTCTCCCTCTTAGCTTACAGGCGGCACGCCCAAGTTTAAGAGGTGACGAGAGATTTTTTTCAGGGGCAAAAAGCTCGTAGCCTGAATAAACCATGTTTTACTAGCTAGCCAATTGCAGTTTTCTTACGCTGTGTTAGTTTGGTTACTCTCTCCTCTCCCTCTTGGCTTACAGGCGGCGCGCCCAAGTTTAAGAGGTGAAGAGAGATTTTTTTCAAGAGTAAAAAACTCGTAGCTTGAATCGATCATGTTTTACTATCTAGCCAATTGCAGTTTTCATGCGCTATGTTAGTTTGGATAATTCAGTGGATTATTCTCTCCTCTCCCTCTTGGCTTACAGGCGGCACGCCCAAGTTTAAGAGGTGAAGAGAGATTTTTTTCAAGAGTAAAAAACTCGTGGCTTGAATCGATCATGTTTTACTATCTAGCCAATTGCAGTTTTCATGAGCTATGTTAGTTTGGATAATTCAGTAAATTTTTCTCTCCTCTCCCTCTTAGCTTACAGGCGGCGCGCCCAAGTTTAAGAGGTGACGAGAGATTTTTTTCAAGGGCAAAAAGCTCTTAGCTTGAATAGACCATGTTTTACTAGCTAGCCAATTGCAGTTTTCTTACGCTGCGTTAGTTTGTTACTCTCTCCTCTCCCTCTTGGCTTCCAGGCGGCACGCCCAAGTTTAAGAGGTGAAGAGAGAAATATTTAAATTGAAACACTTGTAGCTTGCGTCGATCATGTTTTACTAGCTAGCCTATTGCGGTTTTCATACGCTGTGTTAGTTCGGATAATTCAGTAGGTTATTCTCTCCTCTCCCTCTTAGCTTACAGGCGGCGCGCCCAAGTTTAAGAGGTGAAGAGAGATTTTTTTCAAGGGTAAAAAACTCGTAGCTTGAATCGATCATGTTTTACTACCTAGCCAATTGCAGTTTTCATGCGCTATGTTAGTTTGGATAATTCAGTGGATTATTCTCTCCTCTCCCTCTTGGCTTACAGGCGGCACGCCCAAGTTTAAGAGGTGAAGAGAGATTTTTTAAGGTAAAAAACTCGTAGATTGAATCGTCATGTTTTAGCTAGCTAGCCAATTGCAGTTTTCATGCGTTGTTAGTTTGGATAATTCAGTAATTTTTTCTCTCCTCTCCCTCTTAGCTTACAGGCGGCGCGCCCAAGTTTAAGAGGTGACGAGAGATTTTTTTCAACGGTAAAAAACTCGTAGCCTGAATAGACCATGTTTTGCTAGCTAGCCAATTGCAGTTTTCATACGCTGTGTTAGTTTGGTTACTCTTTCCTCTCCCCCCGATCGTGTTTTAGCTAGTAAATGCAGCTTTTTTTACATTGCTTTAGTTTGTATAATTCGGTAGATTTTTCTCTCCTCTTCCTAATGGCTTACGGGCAGCGCGCCCATTCTTTAGAAGCTGTGATAAAGTATAAAGGAAGTCACAGCTTGAATCGATCGTGTTTTAGCTAGTCGTTACAGAGATGTTGTTTTTGTTCATATTTTGTTTTTGTTAGTGTATATAATTCAGTAGATTTTTATTTTCTCTCGCTCTTATGCGATGCGCCCAATCTTACGACGAGTGGTGTTGGTTTCAAAAGCGAAATTTAGTCATTGTTATTTTTTTTCTGATCTACGGCTCTCAGTCTGGATAATATTCAGCGTGATGCCTGTGTTTGATGTACACCGGAAACCGGAAAAAAGCTAGTTTTGTCCGCGGGCGGCAATACTTTAATTTCGACAGTTCAAGGTAAAATATTAAGATAATGTCTAAATCATTTGTGAACTGTGATAGTTTTCTTTTGCGTAAATATCTCTCTTCGATCAAATGTGACAATTAGGCCAGATTTATACTAGGGTTGTAAAAATTTCTACCGTCTATGTTGAAACCGAACAAACCTCGCGGGTATCCGCTTTGGCGGGTGATCTCCCTGAGAGATAATTGAGTTGTTTTTTTCATTGTTTATTCATCAAGTTCTCAGTTGTAATTATTTTTCGGTAATATTGTTCTTATTTATTGTTTATTGAGTGGGTCGGCTAAAATTAAAGACGAAGAGTGAAGCTCCAATGCAGAATTTTTGAAGTCTATTTGATATTATGCTTTCGACAGTGCACGTGAATAGCAACTAGGTTGGGTGTCCACTTAACCCTATTCAGACTGGGCTTTTTTGGTCAATCTGTGACTGGGGGGGGCTCCTCGGACCCCCCCTCTGTATCTCTGGAACCAACAATGCTAGGGTCATGAAATTTACACACAATGATCATCTCCGTACAAAGAAGCCCCACACCCAGTTTTGACTTGCCACGCCTAATGATGACATCACAGTAACGTTATATTCCGATTTTTCAATGTTTCTTATTATTTTCCACTTATATACGTAAAATATCAATAATATTGGTAAAGTCATCTCTTTAATATAATATACAACATATATGCATATAAAATACACACTTTGACATGTGTTTTGATACTTTAAAGGTGCTAATGACGTCATAATTGCCAAAATTTGAAATGGTTATCCACCATCTTGGATCCGCCATCTTGGATTTCCGTTTTTTTGTTAAAATTATAATTTAAAGCAACTTTCAAAGGGAAAAAAGCTCAGAATGTATAAAAGAAGTATCAAACTACTGTTTATTACCCAAACAAATGACTTTGGAAGTGTTATTTGGAAAACAGAGCAGCATATTTTTCAAAGCAAAAAAGTGACAAATTTTACCCCACCCCTGCCCCCCAAATATTCGATGTTGAAACATTTTGATGTAATTCAAAAACTAGTCCCAAGCAAAGACCATTTTAACAACAAAAAGCACTATAAGTGTAAAAACGCGATCTTAAAACAAAAAAATCACCAGTTTTTAAATTTTCCAAAACCTATGTGTCAGAAACTGGTTGCCATGGCAACATGATTAATCACATGGACATGGTAATTATACCAAAATGTTCCTAGATAAATTTTAGGAAAAGTCAGAAAATTTGAACGTCATAGCTCTTTCGGTGTAGGAGTTATTACGATTTTGCCGGAGGGGGGGTTCGAAAAGCCCCCCCCCCCACCCCCAGTCTGAATAGGGTTAAGATAAACTGGATTAAGTGTCGAAGATGAAAGATTGCTCAATAAAACGAACATTGTTGACAGCTTCTCTTCTCTTCTCTCTTGACAGGATCTCTTGATGTAATATAACCCTTGGTTCAAAACAATAGCCTTGGCGCCTCGCCCTTCAGAAATATGCGAAGATTGCGACGCTGAACGTCGCAATCCCCCGAAAATCGAGCCTGCGGCTTGTAATGACAGAGTGAAAGCACAGAGCGATTATAAGCTAATTTTTCTAAGTAGTTAAATCTATCTTGCAGCTCTCAATGTCGTCAGTTTAAAATGTTCCTGGTTTATTTGCAATGTTTTTATTGCGTTCTATTAGGTTCTTGAAAATTACGATGATGGATTATTCTGATGAAAACTTGAACTTCTTCCGAGTTTGTGATATAACTGCCAACGTTATCACCGAAGGGTTACGTTGCGTATTCAAGCAAGAATGGGACAATAAATTTCAGTCAACTTTTGGAAAGTGGAACGATACGATTCAAAACGGACAGGACTTCGAGAAACAGGAACCAAGCAAAAGCAAAAAGAGAAATGCAAAGTTGCTAAGCATTATGATCAATGGTAAAACGGAAGAATGGGATTGTACAGCGTTGTGTTTTGGGATACTGTACTCAAACAGCATAGGGACAACACTAAACCCCGTAACTGACACTCATGTAAACAGTCTTCGAGAGTTACGTAATGAGGTTTTTGCCCATATTTCTAAAGGTGCCACTTCTGATGCCGACTTCCAAAGTTTCATTTCACGAGTAGAGGCAGCTTTCTTGGGATTAAACCTAGATGTTGAGACTCTCAGAGCCAGCGCACATCAGAAAAGCTTTCCTACAACTGAGCGAATATTGAATCAGTTAAAAGAAGAGCAGAAACTAGTGAGCGCTCTACAGCAAAAATCATCAGCACTTGAAGAGGAGCTCAATTTTAAGCCTAAGAAGTTTCTAGGCAACCTCCCACCTAAGCCAAGCCATGTGATACAAGATCGCCAATCTGAGATTGCAACAATTCTACAACACATGAAAGAGCTAAAGAGCAGCTCTAACGGAGAAATCACCACAATCTATCTTTCTGGTAATCCTGGTTGTGGAAAAAGTCAGCTTGCTAGAATGGTCGGGAAAGCATTCTACAAACACGTATCAACCAATGACCTTGCTTTTGTTGCCACGTTGAATGCAGAAACTCTTGAGACACTTTTTAATTCATATGACAGCTTCAGCAGAGCACTTGGATGTACAGAGTACGCTGTTAGTAAAATCACCACATCCAATGACAAGACTGAAGAAAAGTTAGGGCAGTTCCAAAGGCTTGTCTCGCCAAAAATGAGAGAGTTCTCAACGTGGCTCCTGATAATCGACAACGTCGTTGACCTGAAAACTGTTCGCCTATTTTGGCCTTCATCAGGAAGTAATGAACATGGAGACGGCCATGTACTCGTTACTACTCAAGACAGTGACGCCATCCCGAACGATGCTTTACATAGCTGGTCCATGTGTCTAAGTAGAGGAATGAATCCTGAGGATGCCGTAACTCTACTCACTGACGCCTCCCAGATGAAGGATTGTAAAGACGTCGAGAAGGTTGCAGAGGCTCTTGATTACCAACCTCTGGCGCTGGCATGCGCTGGTTGGTACATGTCTAACGTCCGTTCTCGTGGTGGATGTAACTTCACCTGGGCGCGGTATCTTAGTAAATTGAAAGATGGAAAAGAAGAAACAATGGGAGAAATCAAGAAAAAATGCGAAAGCGGGTACACGAGATCAATGCCTGTCGCTGTGCGAATGGCTGTGGAAAGAACTGTGACAAGTGAACCAGTATTACTGTATACTTTTCAGTTCCTTTCTGTCTGTGCTCCTGCTCCAATTCCGTTAGAAGTTGTCATCGAGTTCGTTGCTGAGCGAATGCCTAACCTTGATGCTGAAGACATCGCTCCAATATTGATGGATTCAAGTCTTCTTCAAATTTCATCTAAAGGAGATAGTAGGCCAACATTGTGGCTTCACCAGGTGGTAAATAGAGTCATTAAAAGTAATGCAAAAGTCAAGATACAAGCAGGGAAACCTGAGCTTGAAATGATCTCAACAGCGCTTGGACCACTTCACAGACTTACGAAAGAAGACAGCTCTAACTCCAAGATATTCGCTGAACATGTGAGCGCTTATGTATCCTACGTTATTTCCTTTGGCCACAGTTGTTTAAATCTTTATGAGGAAATGAGCAAAGTGACTCAATTAAGTCACTTCCTCGAGTGCTTTATTTCTTGCGCCACAATGTGCCTTAAATATGGAAAACTCAGTGTCGTTAAACAGTGTTTAGAAGCAGTAAGACAATTCATGAAGGCAAACACAGACATCGCTATCAACAAAGATATTTCGTACTTGTTGCATTTCTTTTGTGGCCAAGCTCTGGCAGAACAAAGTAAATTTAAAGATGCCATCGAATACTTTAAAGAGGCATTGGAAATACGGCGCCGCAGTTTTGACACAAACAGTCAAGCGGTCGCCGAGTGTCTGCGCCAGCTGGGGCGAGCGAACTACAATTTATCTCAGGGCAAGGAAGCTAGAGAGTATTATAATGAAGCACTTGCCATCTTTCGTAAAAATTTTGGGGAAAAACATAAAGATGTAGCGAGATGTCTCATTGGCTTAGGTAACTTGGAAAACAATCAAGCTGAAGCACTGCCGTATTACCATAAAGCTTTATCAATCAGTAAGGAACTTTTTGGAGAACAGAAGCAAATAGAGGCCCGTTGTTTACACAACATTGGAGTAACGTGCACCTTTCTTTGTCGCTATGATGACGCAGAAAAACACCTGAACGATGCACTTGTTCTCCTTTGCGACATTTATGGAGAACGACACGAGGAAACTGCAATTTGTTTGTGTAACTTGGGAAGAGTTCACTTATTTTGCTCCCGTTTTGAAAAGGCCAGGGACTTGCTGGAAAAAGCACTCAAGATTAGACAAGAAATTGGCAACGAATTACGTGTGGCACGAAATCTTTTTTTCCTTGGCCAGCTAAGTCAAAAGGAAGGCGAAATAAGCACTGCCGAGGAAAGTTATACTAAAGCACTGGACACCTTTCGAAGCTTTAAATTTCCTGAGAACCACCTGTATGTAAAGGAAGCGGTGTCGGCTCTGCAGGAAATTGGGATCAGACCTGAAATAAGGAAAAGGAAAGCCGAAGACTTGGTTGGTCTCCCGGACCAGCCCCCTAGACAAGCTATAAAGTGCTGAGAGGCTCCTTCATACCATATCAAATCCCCTAAAGCAACTTGGTATGGAAGGACAGCAGAAAGTGATTAGATAAATCGCTGTTTTACCCTATTGGTAAAGCAATTTCTTTGACTTAAAAAAAGATTATTGAAATGTTATTTTTACCGTGCATGTATTGATTTAAGCGGTTTTTAGGACTCAAAGCTAAATCTGATCCGAGAAGGATTATTAATTGTAAATAGCTTGTACACTATTCATGTTGACCGGTAACACAGTTTTTTTCACTCCTTTTGTATCACTTAAAGGATTGGAAAGATACATGTGTTCATCGAGGTCGTCTTGGTGACATGATATTTTGTATCATTATTACTTGGAACTTTTTTGAAAATGAAATATGCTTTCAACTTTTTACCCCTACTGTAACTGTAACTATTTATAAATAAAAATTATGATACAGAATAACTCTCAGTTAGAATCATACAACCTAAAGATAGCACATATAACGCGAGTCTGGTCTTGGGAGTAAAACGGGACAGCTATTTCTGTGGGCTTCAGTGATTATTAACATGACAAAGAACTGCGAAAAATCTCAACTATCGCGAAAAATCGTCAGACTTGCGATTTTTCGCAACACGCGAAAAATCGCAATTTTTGCTGCTGCCTACAAACCTGGACATAAGTGAAATGGTCATTCAAACCACGTAGAGTCTGACCACTGTCTGCAGAGCAAAAGCAGTCTTAAATTGGGTACGGCGTGAATCTCTTCAGTGACAAGTATGTCACGAGGAAAAAAGGAATAAAGTAACATGAAATCTATCTGTCACAAAAAGAAACATCTAATTATTTTAAAACGCTTTTATTTAACTAGAAGGCCTAGTCTAGACGAATTTAGGCCCCAAGGCAATAATTACTTCAAGCTTCTTCCTTTTCTCGTTTGTTATTTTATGGATGCTATAAAATGCCAAGTGGCTTTTTTTAGAAGCTTCCAGCAGCACAGTTTCGTAGACTGCTTTCACACCGTTATTGTTCCTAGGTTAAGTTTCGTTGTGTACTTGTTTGTCCTATAAAATCGGCTCATCAGGTGCGGTTAAAGACACCATAGTAAAAGCAATTTCCTACGATAACGAAGCCATGGTAAATTTTAAAGAGGGTTTACTTTACCGTGGTAACATGTGGTTATACGTGAATTAATTCCCAAGGTATTAAGCTTATTTTGCACGTGTCAGTACACGCGAGGCGGAGCGTTTTCAAGTTCGCTCAGTTTGCCCCGGGAGCTTGCTCCCAAATATTTAAGCGGTTAAATATCGTGGAGCATTTTGCGGGGTGGAAATTCTGCTCCCGAGGATGAAGTATACCCATGAACTCGTTGATACACACGGAGGAGCTTTGCTCCCGGAGCGTTCCCCTGAAGCATGCTCCAGAAGCAAAATCCCTCGTGTGTATCGGTCTTAATATCCACATGTGTGGCTTTATGACAAAGGACGCGTTGATGTAATGTACTGGTCCTGATTGCGGTAAGCAGCTATATTCTTGCAAACTCTTTAGCTACTACTTCATTGGGAACTAAGTTCCGCATTTTGCAAAATCTCGGAAAAAAGAGAGGGGTAAATGACTGCCATCATCGTTGGAAATTTTGGTGGAGTAGATCTGTTGTTACACCAACAATCAGGATCAAAAATACCCTATCAACAGCTCTCCTCTACTTTTAAAGTACTATTTAACGTTATCCGAACCGCTTTTTCCTGAGCTGACATTTCGGGTTTTTGTTACTCCACTGTCCGTTTCTACATGTAATTTTTTTTGCACCAACAAGCCGATAGCGTGAGTTACATTTAAATCGAACGGTTGCATCATTGCTGAAGTCACGTCCAATCACTCTTCCATTTCGTAGCTTCCCTGGATTCGTGCAGGACACTGTCAAGAAGAAAAAAAGGAAAAAAAAAAAGCTGCAATGTTAATGGGACTTGGTCTTCATGTTATCTTTTCACAATAGGAGACATTTTAAAACCAAATCTATGATAAAAGGAGCCTGGCATTTTGATGGCTTCATGTCATAATTATCAAAAGCTAAGAAATAAATACGATTTGTGGATATAAATAGAAAACGAAAGTGCGAAAAGTGCATGTAAATTTAAGCGTGAAAATGGGAAAATGGCAACTAAACACCGCGTGAAATATAATCGGTTTTGTAATAAGTTTTTTCAGATACTTTTTTCTTACTTAACTTGCACCTTGACGTTGAACTTTATCTACATCTACCTCTTATCTTCCCTATAAAAAATCTTCTGATGAACGGACGTTTGCTTACCTAAAACACACTTTGGCAGCGGTCTGCTCCAGTTACCATTTATTTTACAATATATTCTTGATACTCCATCAAGTTCGTAGTTCTTTCTACATGTGAATTGTACGGAACCAAGGTAAATGAATCCTCCGCGAATTGTCCTAGCACCATTGGAGGGAGTACCAGGGTCGACACATGAAATCACTGCAAGGGAGAAACGGTGTTACATGTGTGCACAGTCAGGTCTTTTTAACTGACACCTCTAAATAAAGAAAAGATTACTTAAAACAGATACTTGTTAGCTTTGTCTTACTAGTCTATTATATAAAATTAACAGACATATTATTAAGGCACCACCAAATGCCGACTCAGTCAGAACGTGTTAAAAATAAATTAATTGTGTTGAATTTATAGAAAATTCTTCACTAAGCGAAGCTAAGCTAAATAGACGTGTAAGAAAAGAGAACATTTCAGAAATTGGTCAGAGCAGAAAGTGCAGAATGGTAGAATGATAATGGTTATCTTTATCGAATAATCCAAGTTCTGGAAACTAACATAACCATCCTGGCATTGTCTACAATGTAATCGGATTAAGTTAAAAAACACTAAATACTGCATTCAATCAATCCATTATTATTCTTGAAATTAATGCTTCTTTGTGACTTACGTTGACATGAAGGTTGCTGCCCGCTCCACCGTCCATTGTCCTGGCATGTTCTTGTGGATGAACCAACAAGCTTATATTCTCTTCCGATGCAACGAAATGATACGGACGTTGGTGTCTCTGTAACTTTCTCCCCATAGGCAGGAATAGGAAGTCGGGAGCAGTATTCTCCTAGTTAAGAACAATAAGTGAGCACTTTAATAAGTCTTAGCCGTTTGGAGCATCGCTTTGACGTCTTGGGTAAGAAAAACTGAGAAGTCTTAGATAAAAAGTCTATAAGGCACCTTATCGCTGGGTGGAGTCAATCAAAATTCCGCTTTTACCTGTGTTGCGTGCGCACAATAAATCGCAAAATTTTGAAACACGCAGATAACCGGCTTACATATTTTCTTACGGTGAAGGCAGCATTGCTGAAACAACAGACTTTATTTTCAACACAATTTTTAACAAAACAGACGCTGTGCGGGGCTCCCTATTTCGTTATCTTCACACTTTTTTGCTTTCTCGAGGTTGTCCGTTTAAGGGCTCTACGTCAGACAGGTGAATGAGCGCTGCCCACGTTTTGTCGTCTAAATGTGAACTTTAAGGTACACAACTTACGTATGCACCGAGGTAATGATCCAGTCCAGGTTTGGTTAGCTTGACAAACACGCTTCTTAGGTCCAACAATGGTGTAACCCGGGTTACAAGAATATTCCACAGAGCTATTATAGGAGAAAACGTAACTATTGATTTTACCATGAACAGGAACTCCCGGATGTCCACATGATATTGCTAGAAATAAAACAAAAACATGAAGTCATTTTTTTTTTTCACTGTAAAAAGTGAATTCTAGAACGTCATGTATAGAATGGAGTTAACAAAAATTGCTAAATTATTGTTGATAAATAGTAGGGAAACCTGGGAGCTCCATTTAGGTTATGAAAATATATATTAAGCGTGCAGACAGGCATCTTATATCGGTAAAATGTCAGTCATGGCAAGCTGTTTTGGCCTTGTTACACCTTAGGCAGTATAATTGTTAGACGAACTGAGCTCCAGACAATGATGTCTGGTTGTTATCACTGTCTGTAAGTGATCATGCCGCCAAGTTTTATTTTCTGACCATGCAGGGTTTCAAATTACACATTTGGTCAACGTTGGCATACGTTTCCCTTAGTAACAATGGAACATAGAACAGATGATGGTGGAGGACAATCAAATTACCTAGCATACATGTATATACAGTCGACCGACCCTAAGGACAACAAGAGGATGTTTTTTTGAGGCAGGAGCTGATTGAAAAGGATATAATGATCATTTACGCCACGGGCGTCGGCAAAAAAACGGTAAAAAAAGCAAATCGTGAGTCGCCGACTGGAATCGAATCTATGACATACCAGAAACCAGACGCGCGCTCCGAGCTACGGAGGGAATCGTGGTGTTATGTGAAGCGTGTTCTCTACTCTGCTAAGATGCTAAGATCGACATAGTGGAGAGGACATACTTTGTTATGAAAGACGGAAAAAGAAGGCGGCAAATTCTAAGTGCAAAGGCGAATTCATTTCTATTTAGAAAATATGACACGTCACGAGAGCGGTGACTGAAGTAGGAATTTATGGCTTTTGCTTAGTTTGCCCCAAGTGAAATGTCCTTACCAGGGCCAGGCCGCCCCTTATAAGCTAAGTTTTATTTGTAGCAGTCAGAAAGAATAACATATTCAGTACCAACCATTGCAACGAAAAGAAAGGCGAGACCACACTCCTTTGTTACAACGCCTGATAGGGAACCCTGACGGCGAATAGCCAGAGATACATTTGTAATACACTCTTTCATTATCATTGAACCATTGTCTTTGAGCTTGTAAAGGTAACATAACTGCATTAGGAGGAACCGGAGGCTTTCGACAGGAATCAGGTGATGGACCTGAAATACAAAAGAAAAATGAATCCTGTTTTGTTTGCCAGGCCCAAAGCAACAGCCTTGCTTACCTTATACCAACAGCCGCGAAGCTACATCTGTACAAAGCGGCCATATACTTCCTCATCTAACCTATTGCCATTCAACCTCACACGCTTGTAGAGAAATTGACAGGAGGAAACTGGAGCGCATTCAAGAAAGAAGACTTGCGGCGATATTCAATGACAAACAATCTGGTTATGAAGAACTGCTAGTAAAAGACACCTTACCCTCGTTATACAACAGACGTATACAAGACATTTTAATCCTCATGTACAAAGTAAAGTTTAAACTTCTACCACAGAGAATCTATGACTTATTCACTCTAAGCACCTCACCCTATATTAGAAACGCTGACTTTATTCTCCCCCGATTTTCGACCGTTACATTTGGAAAGCACTCCCTTCGCTATACAGGACCTAAACTATAGAACACACTTTCATCTGTAGCAAGAAATATCTCATCCCTAAAAAAATTTAAACTTCTCATTCGCAAGGCCGATCTGTCCAACATTCTTGACACTGATGACTGTAAAAATTGTAAAACATGCACTTCGTAGTAATGTATAATCTTAAGTTTTCAAGTTTTAGATATATAAACTGCAAAATATTTATAAGGTAATTTATTTATTTATTTTATTTGTCTATTTTAGGTAGTGTTAGTTTGTGTCCTCAATTAGTAGATGGACTTTTCCCCACAGCCATTTTTTTAAAGACACGTTAATAAAGTTTTCATTCATTTTTTCATTCAAAGCATTACGGAGAGACTGTCGGCTGCTAATGTAATTCTGATTTCTAATTCTTGGTAAAATCCAAGGTGGCAGCCAAGATGACAACCGTTTTTGTAGACGTCACAGTCCTCCAGCAGCGACTCCAGGGACTCCATCCCCCCCGATCTCTTTGTACCACTGTCTATAAGGCACCTTACCGCCGAGTGGAGTCAATCAAAATTCCGCTTTTACCTGTCTTGCGTGCGCACACTAAATCGCAAGTTTCCTAACATACTGTACTTTCTTCTGGTAAAGGCAGCATTGAAACAACCAAATTTATTTTCAACACAATTTTTAACAAAACAGACGCTGTGCAGGGCTCCCTATTTCTTTATCTTCACACTTTTTTTTCTTTCTCGAAGGTGTCCGTTTAAAGGCTCTAAATCTGACAGGTGATTGAGCGCTGCCCACGTTTTGTCGTCTAAATGTGAACGTTAAGGCAAACAACTTACGTATGCACCGAGGTAATGATCCAGTCCAGGTTTGGTTAGCTTGACAAACACGCTTCCTAGGTCCAACAATGGTGTAACCCGGGTTACAAGAGTATTCCACAGAGCTCTTATAGGAGAACACGTAACTATTGATTTTACCGTGAACAGGAACTCCGGGATGTCCACATGATATTGCTAGAAATAAAACAAAAACATGAAGTCATTTTATTTTTCACTGAAAAAAGTGAATTCTAGAACGTCATACAACGGAGTTAACAAAAACTGCTAAATAGTGATAAATAGTAGGAAACCTGGGAGCTCCATTAATATAAGGTTATAAAATTAAAATGTATATTAAGCGTGCACACAGGCCCGGTAAAATGTCAGTCACGGGCTCATGGCAAGCTGTTTTGGCCTTGTTAGACCTCAGGCAGTATAATTGTTAGACGAACTGAGCTCCAGACAATGTCTGGTTGTTATCACTGTCTGTATGAGTAAGCTGAAAGTGAATATACCGCCAAGTTATATTTTCTGACCATAGCAGGGTTTGAAATTACACATTTGGTCAACGTTGACAAACGTTTCCCTTAGTGACAATGGAACATAGAACAGATGATGGTGGAGGACAATCAAATTACCTAGCATACATGTATATACAGTCGACCGACCCTAAGGACAACAAGAGGATGTGTTTTAAGGCAGGAGCTGAATGAAAAGGATATACTGATCATATACGCCACGGGCGTGGGCAAAAAAAAGGTAAAAAAAGCAAATCGTGAGTCGCCGACTGGAATCGAACCTATGACATACCAGAAACCAGACGCGCGCTCCGGGCTACGGAGGGAATCGTGGTGTTATTTGAAGCGTGTTCTCTACTCTGCTAAGATGCTAAGATCGACATAGTGGAGAGGACATACTTTGTTATGAAAGACGGAAAAAGAAGGCGGCAAATTCTAAGTGCAAAGGCGAATTCATTTCTATTTAGAAATTTTGACACGTCACGAGAGCGGTGACTGAAGTAGGAATTTATGGCTTTTGTTTAGTTTGCCCCAAATGAAATGTCCTTAGTAGGGCCAGGCCGCCCCTTATAAGTTAAGTTTTATTTGTAGCAGTCAGAAAGAATAACATATTCAGTACCAACCATTGCAACGAAAAGAAAGGCGAGACCACACTCCTTTGCTACAACGCCTGATAGGGAACCCTGACGGCGAATAGCCAGAGATACATTTGTAATACACTCTTTCATTATCATTGAACCATTGTCTTTGAGCTTGCAAAGGTACCACAACTGCATTAGGAGGAACCGGAGGCTTTCGACAGGAATCAGGTGATGGACCTGAAATACAAAAGAAAAATGAATCCTGTTTTGTTTGCCAGGCCCAAAGCAACAGCCTTGCTTATACCAACAGCCGCGAAGCTACATCTGTACAAAGCGGCCATATACTTCCTCATCTAACCAATTGCCATTCAACCTCGCACGCTTGTAGAGAAATTGACAGGAGGAAACTGGAGCGCATTCAAGAAAGAAGACTTGCGGCGATATTCAATGACAAACAATCTGGTTATGAAGAACTGCTAGTAAAAGACACCTTACCCTCGTTATACAACAGGCGTATACAAGACATTTTAATCCTCATGTACAAAGTAAAGTTTAAACTTCTACCACAGAGAATCTATGACTTATTCACTCTAAGCACCTCACCCTATATTAGAAACGCTGACTTTATTCTCCCCCGATTTTCGACTGTTACATTTGGAAAGCACTCCCTTCGCTATACAGGACCTAAACTATAGAACACACTTTCATCTGTAGCAAGAAATATCTCAAAAAAAAAAAAATTTAAACTATTTTTGACACTGATCTCCGTAAAAATTGTAAATTATGCACTTCGTAGTAATGTATGATCTTAAGTTTCAAGTTTTAGATATATAAACTGCAAAATATTTATTGTTGGTTTTCACATAGACTGCAAAACAGTCTGTATTTTTGCGTATTCAAGTAGGCGCGAGCAGTCAAACAAAAGGTCTGGAACGAGGCTGAAAACAGAGAACGAGACTGGGGAGACATGCTAAAAATAGGGGTTTTTTTCTTTCGCTTCACCGATTTCTTTAGTCTAGTTTTCATATGACGTCACTAAATTCAAACTACAAAACTATCCATCCTACTGAGATTTTTCTTTCATGGTGTATTAGTGCAGCTGAAAACTAATTTTCAGACAAATTTTCGCTTCAAAAGGTTTCTTGGTTTTGTAATTGAGTACGCTTGAATTTCTAAGCTTTTTTGTGACGCAGCATTTACATGACGAGAAAGCTGTAATTTAGGTTAAAAAAGTGACTTTTTTCGAGGAATTTTGCTATCTAATTAGTTCAAATATTAGAAAAAGTATTAGTTAAATGTTTATGAGTTCCTCTAGGAGTAAATTCACGCTTTTGTAGCAAAACTCGGTAACAGATGTTTCTGTTGGTTTCTGTCCGCCATGTTGGAGCTCATCCAGATGAACTCCAGCATGGCGTCTCCATACAAAGCTCTATAAATTTGGCTAAAACATTTCCTCGGATATCTTGTATACGAACTATTCCTTCGACCCAAATCTTGGCTGGTGTCTTTGTATATTTAGCTCCTTTTATTTCCCAGATTCTGGATTTTATCTATCGAATGGTTTTGATTTTTATTTTGATCTATTTTGAATGGCGTGACACTGAAAACCAGCAATAAGGTAATTTATTTATTTATTTTATTTATCTATTTTAGATAGTGTTAGTAGGTGTCCTCAATTAGTAGAGGAACTTTTCGCCTCAGCTATTTTAGACTCCTTAATAAAGTTTTCATTCATTTTTTCATTAAAAGCAGTACTAAGAGTCTGTTGGCTGCTTATAATGCCAGTCTCAAAACGCGTAACGTATACAATCTGATATTTCAGTTGATTCTCATTAGTCCTTCCTTACAAAGTTCTTCAACAGTGAAACCCTTCGCTTGACACTGCTGGTGTCATCCGCCATTTCTGAAATTCCTATCTACCTACCAGGAGCACCTCACGGAAATATGACACTTTTCGCGGGAAACAAGCCGTTCTATTTTTAAATCTACTCTGGAAAAGGTTGACTCAAGAAATTAATGGAGATGGAGGCTCAATTTGAAGGGTTCCTCACCTACCTAGCTACAGGTGTATTGTTGCTGACTGACGGACACTCTGGACTGACATGTTATTAAGCTATGTTGGCCATGTTAGCCCTAGGACGTACAAGGGTGGGGGGGAGGGTGGATGACACCCTTAATCCAAGGTTTTTCTGAGTATTTTTCTAGAGGATAAAACATCAGCACCTGACGATTTCAGTAGCTGTTTGTTCATCCCTCGCGCACATTTTGAGACATGTTCAGTGATGGGCAGTTGCTATGGTTACGAGATATGATGTCATAAATAGCAGGTGGTCAAGCCATTTTTGGGTAAAAATACATGTTTTTCAACTTCTTTCAACAATAAAAGCAAATCTTGTGGCTAATATCATGCAAAGTGCTTATTTATGTATTATTTTTCATGTAAACCACCAAAAATTACTATTCTCAGGGTTTTAACCTGACTTCTAATTCTTACGATTTTTAGGAAAATGGTCACGTGACATATCACGTAACTTATTAAAAAAATATCTATAGTTTAAAATGTTAATCACAATGAGTTCTTTATGTGTGCCAAAATTTAATTCAGCGTTATCATTTATGCCGAAGTTATAGTCAATAATTCATTTTCCACAGATAAACCCCTTAGTCTCAAGGCTTAAACTACTTGAGTTAAAGTTTCATCCGTCCTGCCATAAGTCCGCAAAAACGTAACTAAGTCATCGGTAGTTTCTTTGTCATATAGAATTCAAAATATATGTCTGTATTGCGCAATGACTGCCGGAGGTATATGACGCATACCGTATTTACTTAAATAAGCGCGGCGCTTACGATAATTATTTGCAACAGGACATCTTTGAGGGGGGAGGCGGCGTTTATTTGAAAGTTGGACGCGACAAAGAATTCTTTTAACTACGATACTATTATTTTCCGTGCTTAACTGACAGATTTCGGGGCAGGTACTAATAAACTTTATTGTCCCCAATGCGGCGCTCATTCGAGTAAATGCGGTTAAGACTACATAGCCAAAAACATTCTTTAAAAATTGTGAATGTAATTAAAATATTTTGATGAGCATAATTACCGGCTTCACAGACAGGGAATGGAGCACCCCACTGCCCATCCTTACACTGGATGGAAGATGAACCGCGCAAAACAAAGCCTTTAACACACCAGAACTGTACATGACTATGATGTTGCAGGTTATCACCAAACACAAAGCCATTAGCTGGTACTTTTGGGGCCTGGCAAGGGGCTGAAAGAGAACATTAAAGAACTGATCCCGCTAACAATATTTGCTTAGGGTTACCCGGAATAAAGTATACCAACGAGAAAGCAGCGGTATATCATATTAATATTATCCAGTTGAATTATTGTCTAAAACGGACTGTGCCATGATATGTCCTACCATTTTAATAAGCTAAAGTGTTTCTCCCCGTCACTGAATTGAATTCCAAAAATCATGGACCTGTTTTGCTTTTAAGACTACTACACATTGAATCTGTCTCCTATCATGTGCTTCTACTGATGACAGGATGAACATAAACAGAAAATTTTGAAAAATATAAGTTTTAATGTTATGCCAGCGGAAATCACCAAAATGTTAATTGTGGTTTGTGCTTGTGTATGAGTAAAGAAACTAAGTAACGACTTAAGCACAGGATTATCCACGTGACACAGCCCCTTTAATACCTATTAAAAATCAATACCTCTGCATACAGGTACTTGTCCAATCCACTGTCTATGCACACATCGGATGGTAGCAGAACCTTCCAGAACATATTGCTTGTTGCACGAGAACGTCACGCTTGTGCCACTGGTGAAATCATTACCATTGTGTGAACCGTGCGCAATTGTAGGGGGACTGGGACAAGTATCTAAAATCATTAATCATTTAATCATCATGATTATATGCGTTGTATTTTCGTTATCAGCAACAATAAGAATCATTTGTCTTCAACGGCAAACATGTTCGACTTAGAGGCATAACGACTTTATTCTACTGAAGCAAAGAATCTTTCACCCCAAAAAAACAAATGATAGCAAATGCTGCCATAAGTAGCTACGAACCATCAAACAATTTTTATCAACTCTAATACATAAAACGCGTATTTACTAACTCTTTGCGCTATAATTGAACTGATGTAGGTCCAATTCTAGCTGAGGACGAGAATGGTTAAGATTCATATAATATTATTTTTGGTGTTAATTTGCTGACCAAATAAAGTTGATATTTTACCTTTAAGACATTGTGGTATGCTATCATTCCATTGGCCACTGATACATTGCAACACGCGCGATCCGCTTAATTTGTATCCGTGGTGACAAGACAGCTCTATAATGCCTTCATTGTCAAAGTTGTCAGTTGATATAGCTCCGTTCTTCAGGATTGAAGGAATTTTGCAGATAGCTGAAACAAAGACAATTGAAGGTCAAACTGTAAAGCATACAGCGTTGTATATGCAGGTGTGAAAAAGACCATTACATGAACTGATAAAACAACATGAAAGAAATCTGTTACAATTTCTCGATTAGCCATCAAAAGACATTCTGATAGTAACCATATTAAAGAAAGTGAAACACAAATGATATGATTCAAAGATTATGTTTTCGGCGATAGTTCGAATGACTACGTATAGTTAAATCAATTATTGTCAAAAACGAAACCTCTGTAGTACATGTTTCATTTAAGTAAAATTATGGGTACAATTTCAGTTGCCAAAGAGAAAAATAATTCCGTAAATAACCGACAGCAAAACAAACTTGTAAACTGGTAAAATGTTAAGGTTCCAGTAGTTTAAGCTCCTGATAGTCTGCGAGAACAAAAAAAAAATATGTAGACTAGGGTGGATGCCTCTCTTACCTCTACATACGGGAACGTTTCCATTCCATGTCCCGTCATTGCACGTAATGCTCCTAATGCCACGTAATATAAAACCACGTTGGCATGTGAAAGTCACCTTTTTCCCATGCCTGAAATCACTGCCACTTCTGTGACCGTTTTGTGGAGCTCCTGGATTAGTGCAACTCTCTGTGAAGTTGGAAACGGGGCATTAAGATAATTACAACCATTAATTTAAGAGATGCACAATTAATCTGTTATTTTCAGCAGCTGACATCTTCACGTTAATCATTCTATAACTGAGGACACCATTCTTTAATGAGCTCTTGTGCAAAAGGCTAGTGTAAGAAAAAACTTCGTCTTTGAGATTAGAAGTTAAAGAAAACTTACTCTTGCAAAGCGGTAACCGTGCGCTCCAAATTCCCTCACGGCATTCGATAGTCTGGGCACCAATCAAAGTGTATCCAACATTACATGAAAAGCTCAATGTTTTGCCATGGTCAAAACTGCTGCCTTTCCTTCCACCGTGTTCTGGAATACCAGGATCCTTACAACTTGCTTACAACAGGAAAAATACATTTTTTCATTTAATTCGCGCACTGATCAATTTTCTAGTCTGTTATTAAGGACCTGTTTACATGGAGGTGGGGAACCCCAGATAGGTGAAGTAACATACGTCTGGTCACCCCACCTATCATGTAAACGTGCTCAAATTAACATAAGAGATTATATGAACAGGCGGGTTACCCCACCTAAGCGGGTTACCTCACCTACCTGGGGTCTACTACCTCTATGTAAACAGGTCCTAAATTGCCTTTTTTGGTCTTATGCAATTATTTGTAGTTTGCCTTGCATTAAAGTTTTTTTCAGCTCAACTATCAATATGTTATCGTATTATTAAAAAATATCTATATCAACATTTATATCAAATTATCACGCGGGTTATTTCAACTATAAAATTCCGTGTCACATAGGATTAAGACTTTAATGTATTGCATGACCCACTATATCATTTTCATGATATGTCTCGCTCATCGAGTGTTTGGGCGCCTTTCTAGTCCCCATCTCCATCCCCCTTCTTCCTTTGCGCTTTTCGAAATACTGTTAACGAGGAGCGAATTTATAACAATAACGATACATAGCGCTGCGACTTTTTTTCAGGAATGGAAAAAAAAGAAAAAGAAAAAGCAATCCTAGCAATCTTTTAGTTCGTTGTTTAAACCGCAAATCGCCTTAGGTTACCTGAGCATACGGGGTTTTCACTGCTCCATTTTCCGTCATTGCAGGTTATGCTACTCACACCGCGCAACGTAAAGCCGTGTAGGCAGAGAAATTTAATAGTCTTTCCATGCCTGAGATCACTACCAATTCGGCGACTGTTTTGTAGAGTTCCAGGATCCCTGCACGTCTCTGCGAAGTTAAGAAAAAATACTTTTTCGGGCTCCTAAAGTAAACAAAGTCAATTAGCGTTTGCAAGCAGATAAACTTCAAGATCAGGAACAGGCGACATGTAGCCTGATCATAAAAATGGAGATTTTTAATACCGGTCCCATGAGTCAACAGTTTTAATCTGCAAATCATTTTTTTTGCCCTTGTACAATTATCTAGTTTAGTGTAATGGCAAATAATGCATATCTTTCTTTCTTAATAACTTACTTTTACAAAGCGGTGACTGTGCGCTCCAAATCCCTTCCCGGCACTCAATAATCTTGTCACCAACCAAAGTGTATCCAACGTTACATGAAAAGCTCAATGTTTTGCCGTGGTCAAAACTGTTGCCTTTCCTTTCACCGTGTTTTGGAATACCAGGATCTTTACAATTTGCTGAAAACAAAACAAAGCAATTCATTAAGTCGTCTATGTCTTCTTTTACTTAATTAATACGTATATATTTCCTTGCATTCCAACGAATAAAAATAATAAGAAGAAGACGATCTAGGCGCTTAACAAAGTGAAGTATTAGAATTAAAATAAATATCAATTAAAACACACTCAAATTTAAACAAAACACATATAAAATCAAATAAATCTACCTAATGACTAAAATAAGCTAGTTGAGGATAAGACAAAGAAGCAATCTCTTTAACTAAACTGTTTTATGTACAAATCGCCGTTGGTCACCTGAACATACGGGGTTTTTACCACTCCACCCTCCGTCAATGCAGGTTATGCTACTCAAACCGCGCAACGTAAAGCCGTGCAGGCAGAGAAAGTTAACCGTCTTTCCATGACTGAAATTACTACCAATTCTGAGTCCGTTTAGTGGTGCTCCAGGATCACTGCAAGTCTCTGTAAAGGAAGAAAAGGCTATACGGATTAGAATCTAACACCGCGTTTAACCACATCAACTGGTACAAAATGCTTGCCTGCCAACATGAAACTGTGTAGTTTCTTTCACTCACATGCACTTGTGCAGTTAGCACAGTAAGGGAAAAAATGGGCGTTGTTCTTTTTACTGACATAAAGACTAGACTAACATGAGTGTGTATTAATGACAAAATCATGCCTAATTTTAAAAAGTATTAACCTCTATACATATATCTAGATTTTTTATCATATTATAATTATTTCATTTTTTCTCCTTTTATTAAGTTTTCCTTTTTAATTCAATATTGAACCATATTACTTTTACGTTTCTCTCCGTTTTGCAAAACTGTTACTTTGTTAATCCCTCTTTTAAACTATTTTTGAAATTTGTAATATTAAAACTTGTGAGACTGACCTGGCTAGATAAGCCTAGCTACCTGAAATAATAATAAACTGGAAACTTGAAATTTTGATTTTTTAGAGTAATAGTGAAAGCATAACTTACTTTTGCAGTGTGGTGAATTTAAGCTCCAACGTCCACTGCGACACTCAATTGTTTTGCTACCAACCAATGTATATCCAGCATTGCACGTAAAGTTCACCGTTGAGCCAGATTCGAAATTTCTACCATGCTTTGCGCCGTTTTGAGGAGTTCCAGGGTCGTTGCAGATTGCTAAAAAGTAATAATAAAAATAACGTCTATGTGCTAATTGCTCAGGAAAAGCATCGACTGAAAGTTATATGAATCGCAGAAAAGTGCTGGTCGAGGAGGATAATGTCAACTTTCTAAGGTGAAAATTAACTCTTTATGAGACCTGTTTGTCCATCACTGATACGTAAGCTGGTAACAGGAGCGAAAGGAGGAGAATCTAAAAACAAAGTGGGCGCTGGGGCTTAATTAGTTCGTAGTGGTGATTTTATACTGTCTATGAACAAGAGAGGATAAAAATCCATAAAAAATTCAATCATCTGTGTTCACGAGGTTCAAAACGAAGAAATAGCCGACAAAAAAGGACGTTTTGGCTAAAAATTTCTTGTTTATCGAAAGCATCATTTCTTCAAGCGCAACGTCCATATAAATATATATAAATTATTTCAAGTTATGTGATAAGTAACTTCTGACGTTTTATGTACACAACACTCAAGCTCATATAAACTATACCTGTACATACGGGAATTTTACCGCTCCATCTTCCATCATTACAAGTAATGCTCCTAGCCCCTCTCAGCGTAAAAGGAGATTGACAAACAAACTTTACTGTTTTGCCATGACGGAAATCACTGCCAATTCTACGACCGTTTTGTAGAGCTCCGGGATCAGCGCAAGTTTCTAAATAAATTTAATAGTCACAAAATATTTCACTCTCCAAACACGAATGATACGTTATATGATACTTCTAGCTTTAATCAACGGAATTTTTTGCAAACAACAACAATAACACGAAACTCTGACCACTGTTATACCGGTGAAGCGCTCTCACCAATTTAGCATTCATCTTCATTTTTAGGTTCCGGTATATTATAATTACGAACCAACAATTCAATGACCAGTTCCCAGTTGACTTGTGAGCTTAATTGGTTATAGCGCTGCACCAGAAGTCAGGGTTGGAATCCCGGCAAGCCTGAATTTTTTCAGGCTTTCTCTTTGGAGCTGTTTAAGCAGCGCCTTCAACTGCGATAATTTTCCCTGCATTTATTTATTCTTTTAACTTACTTTTGCACTGCGGAGTTGCTGAATTCCACTTTCCTTCCGAGCAGGTTATTGCTCGACTCCCGATCAAGGTATAACCATTATTGCAAGTAAAACTGAGCCGCTTCCCATCTCGAAAATCATTTCCTCTCCGGGCCCCGTTTGGTGGAATTCCAGGGTCCTGACACAATTCTGGAACAAATTGAAGGAACCTGAAAGACTCAGCGAAACATTGCCTTCTGCCGGAGTCTCTACTACGCTATTCTTTAGAGTCATATTCATATTACAATATTTCCACGAACGAGAACAAAGAATATTTAAATTTTTATCAAAACAAAATTAAATCCCAACAAAATATTAACATGCATTGGAAGATAACATGCAATCTCATAATAACGAGTGCAAGTCATCCTAAGCGTGCGTCGATGCTTTGGGTACTCTAGGAAAGTTTAAGGTCGTCGACGTCACCCCACGATTCTCGAGCTCTTCGCGTTATATGAAACGTGTCCCTGGATAAGCATCAACTATGGATCTGTTAGCCTTGGTATAAGCTTAAGACAGCATTACTTACTAAATGAAGGGACAATATGAGACTGTTCGTCATTAACTCCCAGACTCATAGCTAAATTGTCTAAAAACTACAAGACATACAGAAAGGACGCACAAACAAGAACCAGAGTAGAACCATCATTTACATCTACCCGATATAGTAAAGGTTACTATACATGTAAATCTCAATCGAAATTACTGTCTTACTTGAGCAGATCCTGCCACTTCCGGCCCAACCCGTTTTACATTCACAAGTGAATGAGCCAGCAGTATTCTTGCAGTTAGCGTTGGCATGACAGTTTGACAGACCTTCTATACATTCGTTTACATCTAAAAGAAAGAAAACAAGTTGGTTTCCAGTTTTCCCTTTGTTTCTTTATTTCCTTTAAGAAGATTTTTCGGTTTATTGTATTTCCTCGGATAATAGCCGTCCCTCGATCAATAAACACCCCCCTTAGATGGAAATATTTAAAATAATCGACTCCCTGGAATAATCGCCTTCCCCTCCCCACCCCTCAGCTGGCCACCTTCTCTTTCTTTTATCCCCTCCATGTCAAGCTGAAGTGGAGTCTGATTCAGCGAAACTGATCAGTGAGGATTCAATCTCTGACGCTGAGGATAATGGATATTGACATTGAAAATTAATCAAGGAACCAAATTTTGAACACTTAAAAGCCCATGTTCAGTATATTTGAAGTGATCGTTTTTGATTTAATGGGATAATAAAACAAAAAATTCAGTTCAGTGAGCATTGTTTAAAATTATCACCTTCCCTCAAACAACGCTCCCTTTTTGTGCGAAAATTATAATAATCGCCCCCGGTTATTATTCGAGGAAATACGGTAATCTCCTTCACCCGACCTATCTTGGGCAAAAAAAGGAAATCAACGGTTAATTGTTCTTCTGGCATAAAAGGGTCAAGAAACCATCAAAAGTTTATGCATCTGTAACCTCTTTCCACTGGTGCAAAACAACGTTTATTATATAAACACTCACATGTGAAAATATCACCGTTGCTATGGCTACATAATAAATCACGCCTTTCACGCCAAAAAACTATTAGTGAAATGGTTTGATAGTTCATTGGTGTTTATATAATAAATAGAATATTACATGGCCGCTTGGAGATACGAAATTTCTTTTTTCGTGCTGAAAAAATATTTTATTCGTTGGCTGCGCTAACTCGTGAAATATTTTTCAACACTCGAAGAGAAATTTCGTATCTCCGCGGGGCCATGTGATATCCTCTATATAAGATCGACATACATGTTTATTTCGTAGATGAAATAATCACCTTCATACCTTTGCACAAGGGAGCGGATGGTTTCCACTTTCCATTGTTACACCTGATGGTGGAAGTGCCTTCGAGTCTGAAACCAGAGTTACAAGCGTACTTAACCCTGTCGCCATGGCGACTAAGACCAGGCCTTGAATTAAGAACACGACCGTTGGACGGAACAACTGGGTTCGGACACGAGGCTTTAAAGGAAAGAATAACAAGAAAATTAAGAAAAATAGTTGCCGGACGCTACCATTAAAACATTAAGAGAAGCAAGACAAAAATTTGCTTGCCAAGCTTTCCTTCTAGAGCAATAAATTATACCTTTACACTTTGGCGAGACTCCATTCCATTTTCCTGCCACGCATCGTAACACTTGAGAGCCAATAAGGGTGTGACCTTGATCACACCTAAAAGCCACAGTTTGATCATCAAGAAAGTTGTCCCCTATCCTACTTCCATTAGCAGGGACCCCAGGATCAGGACAGATAGCTAAAAAAATCATCAGTATAGTAAGCAAACTCAGTTATTCTTCAGTATCGGGGAAACCATACATAATAAGCAAAACAACGCATCAGTACCAATGCAGCGTGGAACAGATGCACTCCATTTTCCATTGATACAAACAGCAGCGGAACTTCCGATCATTTGGAAGGCCGGCTGACAAGAGAATGAAATGCGTTTATTGTGACCAAACTCGTTTCCATGCCTGACGCCGTTTTTAGGTCTGCCTGGGTCCTTACAGGATGCTAAGATAGAAAGAGAGGTAATAAATTCTTGTCGTCTAAAACATAACCTGTTAAAGGAAGTAAAGAAAGTTAGGAAAGTAAAAAGAAATAATAGCTTAATCTTCCAGATATTGACTTACTTTATGTATTATTATAACTTTAACTGTGACAAAAATGTTTTTTAATGATGTAAATGTTGCTGTCAATTTCAGCAGATCGCTTTTTTACACACAAATAGGGAATTCCGAGCATAGAAACCTGCTGATTTGATGTGATTAAAAATAGCTTTTTTATAAGCTCTATCAATCCAATTGGTCGGGTAGTTTGAAAAGCTTTCTTTCTTAATAACTTACTTTTACAAAGCGGTGACTGTGCGCTCCAAATCCCTTCCCGGCACTCAATAATCTTGTCACCAACCAAAGTGTATCCAACGTTACATGAAAAGTTCAATGTTTTGCCATGGTCAAAACTGTTGCCTTTCCTTTCACCGTGTTTTGGAATACCAGGATCTTTACAATTTGCTGAAAACAAAACAAAGCAATTCATTAAGTCGTCTATGTCTTCTTTTACTTAATTAATACGTATATATTTCCTTGCATTCCAATGAATAAAAATAAGAAGAAGAAGACGATCTAGGCGCTTAACAAAGTGAAAAATTAGAATTAAAATAAATATCGATTAAAACACACTCAAATTTAAACAAAACACATATAAAATCAAATAAATCTACCTAATGACTAAAATAAGCTAGTTGAGGATAAGACAAAGAAGCAATCTCTTTAACTAAACTTTTGTATCTACAAATCGCCGTTTATCACCTGAGCATACGGGGTTTTTACCACTCCACCCTCCGTCAATGCAGGTTATGCTACTCAAACCGCGCAACGTAAAGCCGTGCAGGCAGAGAAAGTTAACCGTCTTTCCATGACTGAAATTACTACCAATTCTGAGTCCGTTTAGTGGTGCTCCAGGATCACTGCAAGTCTCTGTGAAGGAAGAAAAGGCTATACGGATTAGAATCTAACACCGCGTTTAACCACATCAACTGGTATAAAATGCTTGCCTGCCAACATGAAACTGTGTAGTTTCTTTCACTCACATGCACTTGTGCAGTTAGCACAGTAGGGGAAAAAATGGGCGTTGTTCTTTTTACTGACATAAAGACTAGACTAACATGAGTGTGTATTAATGACAAAATCATGCCTAATATTAAAAAGTATTAACTTCTATACATATATCTAGATACCTATCATATCATAATTATTTCATTTTTTCTCCTTTTATTAAGTTCTCCTTTTTAATTCAATATCGAACCATATTACTTTTATGTTTCTCTCCGTTTTGCAAAACTGTTACTTTTTGTTAATCCCTCTTTTAAACTATTTTTGAAATTTGTAATATTAAAACTTGTGAGACTGACCTGGCTAGATAAGCCTAGCTACCTGAAATAAAAATAAACTGGAAACCTGAAATTTTGATTTTTTAGAGTAATAGTGAAAGCATAACTTACTTTTGCAGTGTGGTGAATTTGAGCTCCAACGTCCACTGCGACACTCAATTGTTTTGCTACCAACCAACGTGTATCCAGCATTGCACGTAAAGTTCACCGTTGAGCCAGATTCGAAATTTCTACCATGCTTTGCGCCGTTTTGAGGAGTTCCAGGGTCGTTGCAGATTGCTAAAAAGTAATAATAAAAATAACGTCTATGTGCTAATTGCTCAGGAAAAGCATCGACTGAAAGTTATATGAATCGCAGAAAAGTGCTGGTCGAGGAGGATAATGTCAACTTTCTAAGGTGAAAATTAACTCTTTATGAGACCTGTTTGTCCATCACTGATATGTAAGCTGGTAACAGGAGCGAAAGGAGGAGAATCTAAAAACAAAGCGGGCGCTGGGGCTTAATTAGTTCGTAGTGGTGATTTTACACTGTCTATGAACAAGAGAGGATAAAAATCTATAAAAAATTCAACTATCTGTGTTCACGAGGTTCAAAACGAAGAAATAGCCGACAAAAAAGGACGTTTTGGCTAAAAATTTCTTGTTTATCGAAAGCATCATTTCTTCAAACGCAACGTCTATATAAATATATATAAATTATTTCAAGTTATGTGATAAGTAACTTCTGACGTTTTATGTACACAACACTCAAGCTCATATAAACTATACCTGTACATACGGGAATTTTACCGCTCCATCTTCCATCATTGCAAGTAATGCTCCTAGCCCCTCTCAGCGTAAAAGGAGATTGACAAACAAACTTTACTGTTTTGCCATGACGGAAATCACTGCCAATTCTACGACCCTTTTGTAGAGCTCCGGGATCAGCGCAAGTCTCTAAATAAATTTAATAGTCACAAAAAAATATTTCACTCTCCAAACACGAATGATACGTTATATAATACTTCTAGCTTTAATCAACGGAATTTTTTGCAAACAACAACAATAACACGAACTCTGACCAGGCCTTGAATTAAGAACACGACCGTTGGACGGAACAACTGGGTTCGGACACGAGGCTTTAAAGGAAAGAATAACAAGAAAATTAAGAAAAATAGTTGCCGGACGCTACCATTAAAACATTAAGAGAAGCAAGACAAAAATTTGCTTGCCAAGCTTTTCTTCTAGAGCAATAAATTATACCTTTACACTTTGGCGAGACTCCATTCCATTTCCCTGCCACGCATCGTAACACTTGAGAGCCAGTAAGGGTGTGACCTTGATTACACCTAAAAGCCACAGTTTGACCATCAAGAAAGTTGTCCCCTATCCTACTTCCATTAGCAGGGACCCCAGGATCAGGACAGATAGCTAAAAAAATTATTAGTATAGTAAGCAAACTCAGTTATTCTTCAGTATCAGGAAAACCATACATAATAAGCAAAACAACGCATCAGTACCAATGCAGCGTGGAACAGATGCACTCCATTTTCCATTGATACAAACAGCAGCGGAACTTCCGATTATTTGGAAGGCCGGCTGACAAGAGAATGAAATGCGTTTATTGTGACCAAACTCGTTTCCATGCCTGACACCGTTTTTGGGTCTGCCTGGGTCCTTACAGGATGCTAAGATAGAAAGAAAGGTTAATAAATTCTTGTCGTCTAAAACATAACCTGTTAAAGGAAGTAAAGAAAGTTAGGAAAGTAAAAAGAGATAATAGCTTAATCTTCCAGATATTGACTTACTTTATGTATTATTATAACTTTAACTGTGACAAAAATGTTTTTTAATGATGTAAATGTTGCTGTCAAAACAGCAGATCGCTTTTTCACACACAAATAGGGAATTCCGAGCATAGAAACCTGCTGATTTGATGTGATTAAAAATAGCTTTTTTATAAGCTCTATCAATCCAATTACAGCCTTCTAACACAGAAAAGGTGTTCTCTCTTTCACAAATGTGAAATAGAGAATTTTTAAAGTTTAGCTACAGTTAAGGCTGGTCGGGTAGTTTGAAAAGCTAAGTTACGTTCTCTGTTTATGCCTTCACTGTATCTGTTTAAAAAGGAACAATTAGCGTTCTTCTCGAATGTCTTTTCCTTTTCACCTCAAAATACCTTTACAAACAGGAAGGGTAGAGGTCCATTTTCCATCATGACATGTCATAGAATGGCTTCCCTCCAGACTGTACTGAGGAGGACACACAAATGTGACCTTGTTGCCATGTCCAAAGTTAGAACCAATCCTCTGGCCATGTTTAGGCACACCAGGATCGGAGCAGGAAGCTATAAATATGAACACCAACATGAAAGTTTCAGTTGTTTCAGTTGAAGTTACTCTGGTTACTCGCTTCCTTTGTCTAAGGGGCAAATTTTCACAATACCGTAAAGTTCCCATAATGGTGACCCTCCGAAACGTCAAAAGTTTCTAACTTCTAATAAATCCCGAAAATAGCGAGCCCTCGAAAGTTGCGACCCCCCCCAAAAGTAGGGAATCCCCAAAAAGTATCGAGACTAAGTTTTTTCAGTTATAAGTATACCGAATCTTATGCCTTTAATGTTTTCCAACTACAATCCATAGTCAAATTTTTAATGTACATACAATACGAATATCTTCGCGCATTTACAAATTTATCACTAAAAGGCACTTTGCAATAAGGAAAATATGACATGCCTGAAACTATCATTCGTCGTTGACGTCAGTTCACAGATTGCACAATGCAAACTATAAAGTTCATATCAAGAACAGGAACGTTTCTTCACGTTAAAACTGAAACTTTTGTATACTGCACATTAACAGGAGCCCATCACCCTGAGGGCTCCTGACTATAAAACGCTTTTTTTTTCATGGACTATTTAAGCACTGAGTTTAGCTTTCCTCTCCCCTGAGTCAGAGAAGAATTCGATTTCCTCTACATCGGCTGATTCACCCATTCGGTAGTCCGGTAGACCGACGTTGTTGATGCTGGTGTTTGGTCCCTCCCCCGAGAGAAAAGACACCCCGAAAGTAACGAGGGCTGCTACTATGGGAACATTACGGTGATATATTTTAAGAATATTTCATGACGACGTACACACCTTTACATGTTGGTCTTGTGGAGTTCCACTCTCCTGCTATACAAAACGAAGTAGATGAACCAAAAAGATCAAACTTGCTGTCACACTGGTAAGCTACCATTTGACCATCTCCAAAATCATCGCCTATTCTTATCCCATTGCGAGGGATACCAGGATTTCTACACATAGCTGATGAAAAAAGGGTTAATTATAAGGGCAAAAATTACCAAAGTAAATTCATCTCAAACTCAGGCTCGTGAAAAAATGATATGTCTTCTCGGAGGCGTTTATAAGCGTTTACAAGTCCTAGGAAAGAAACGCGGCACGACAATTAGCATCGTGAAACAAAAAACAAAAATGAATATGAATATCAGTGCATTAAAAAAATGAGATTCTAGCGAAATTCACCCCTTAAAGGAGAGAAATGGGTAGTGCTCAGCAGTCAATCAATGTTTTGTCAAACCAATTGGTTTATCGAGAAGCTGCTGCTGAACGAGAACCCTTTAGCAGTATCTCAACCCCTCCCCCCCCTTCCCTTCCGCCCCTCTTTCTGCTTAAGCGGAAAATTGCTTCATGCAAAGAAAGCTACGTTGCAAAGCGTAATCTAAAACGATGCTAACCATGACGGACTATTCTGGAAGAGAATTTCGTTGAAATCACATGGACTCCGAAAGTTCCGAGGATGGTCAGTACTGAACAATTTAACATCTTTTATTTTCTGATTTACGGATTGTGATTGAATGAATGACCCTTGCTCCTTAACTGAATCATTTCAAAACAATAATGATGGGACTAGTTAGAACAAGGAAACACACGATTGAAAACAAAAAAAATGTTGTCTTTCTTCTTGATAAGGTATTACTCTGTCTGCTTTCAAGAGTGCTTGTTAATTCTATCACTTAACTTAACAGCACAAAATTTTTATCTCTTCTTTCCAAAAAACACTACCATGACGCGTTGAGTTCTCACGATAGAAAATCTACCTTTACACGTGGGAATGTCGTTACTCCATTTGCCTTCATTACAAACGATCAGCTGGCTTCCAACCAACCAATAACCCGAACTACAAGAAAACTGAAGGTGTTTGCCGTCCCCAAAACTCGTGCCAATTCTCTGCCCGTTTTGCGGTACTCCGGGATCTGGACAAGAAGCTAAAAAAAAGGAAGAAAAATAAACAACACTGGTTAGAGTACACCGATACCTCAGTTTATCATCACTGATCTGAAATTTGTAACACACTGAATTTACACAAAGGTGTAAGAATATCTACCACAACAGCTGATGTCTACTTTGGTTCAGATCCACCGCGACGGAACATAACGAATAATAGGCCGCCTGCACTAAGAGGTCACGTGACCAATGCTTCCTTTAAACAATAAGTTGGAATCTTGCTGATGCCAAAAATTGACGGAGGGCATACAAATTATCTTACACCCGAAATTTGAGAGAAAAGGCACTTAAGGGAGATATTTTATGGCACTCAACAAAGTAGTATGATTTGTATTGGCCGCTATGTTGGAGGGCATACTCTTACCCTCAAACATGGCAGCAGAAACTACTTTTTGCTTGTATCTTGTTAAACGTTTGATAGTTACGCTCAGATGTGCTGAAAACGTTACCACATCATCTTTTCAACAATTTCCTTGAAGTTTAAGTGCAAAATTTCTGTCCAGAAAGAGGTAATTCATAGTTTTAAAAAAAGTCACATTTTGGTCACAGACCAGCTACGAACTGACTCATTTTAAGAAAATGGTGCGGGTTTGAAAAACATCATCACTATTATTTTATACAGAGATGACCCACTAATGGTTTTTTGAAGGCAAAGTCATATAACTTTTATTTTCATGAAAATGATGTCACATGACCTCTTAGTACAAATGGCCCATCATCTTTGGCGAAAGGAATGATTTCAGGTTCGGTTGTTTATTTGTCATGCTTAGAAGTATGATGGTTCTACGATAGTTTTTAGGGGAGTGGAAGAGAATAATAATTCATAACACCTTTGCAAGTCGGAACAGTTGAACTCCACACTCCCTTAATGCAGCGGATAACAGACGAGCCAATCAATGTGTAGTTTGCATCACAGGAAAATTCAACTGAGTCGCCATCAATAAACGTATTTCCTCGCCTCCTTCCATTTTGCGGGACTCCAGGATTTCTGCAAGTAGCTAAAGACAAATCGGTATTACTTAATACATAGATTTAGCCAGGGCTAAAAGCGAAGCTCTGGTTAATAATACGTGGAAACAAAAAAAAAATAATCGTGTAATGCTAAATGGGGACGACAATGAAAATGGCTTCAAGACTAATAGATCTAATTTATAGCAAAAAAACAAATCGCACGTGCAGTACACTTTTCTTCTAATTAGCAAAAAACAAATTTACACGTACAGCACGCTTTTTTGTATTCCCTTGCCGTTGTTTTGCACGACTACAACGCTGTTTTGTACGACTAAAACGTCAAACTTCCTAGTTACAAATTATTTTTATGGAGGAATTGTCGTGTGTGCTTAGCCAATATTTTGTTTCCTGTGTTCATGTTCTCTTTTATTTTTCACTGCCGCTCATTTTCACCTTGCTGGCTACTAGAATTTCTCATTTTCTCACCGCCGCTTTGTATTTCCATGTGTTTCTTCCTTCGAAATTGGTCTCCTTTGTTTTCAATAACTCGCTCTAGCTCTTTCTCTGTTATCCACGTGAGTGTAAACATAAAAATAACGCCGAAAAAGACACGACTTTTGTTGTTGCTTTTTCTTTCTAAAAGTCTGGGCGGCCATGTGATTTCCTTCCAAATAAAACCTTGAGTTGCATTTGGGTTGCCATACCTGTTGATTGAGTTATTTTACATCGGTATGCCTGTGGTGCGGACGGACGGACGGGCGGGCGGTCGGGCGGTCGATGTACGGTCACGTGATTACCAAATTTTCTCGGATGGGTAGATTACCACATTTCCTTAGCTATGAAGCTCCGCTCACTATAAAACTTAAACTTTCGGCGAAGGGTTAGGTGATTGATTCTTTTAATTCACTTCTATTTCTTTTTAAACTTTTTTCTTCCACCCTCGCGGTGTGGGTTGAAAAAATATAAAATAATATTTTTTAAGTAGCTGCAAAAGAGTACAAAAGCAAAACCCGATGTTTACAAACCACTATTACCATTCAAATCAACTTACTTTGGCATTGAGGTAAACCTGAGCTCCAAATTCCATTGTGACACTTGATTGACTTGCTACCGACCAAAGTAAATCCGGCATTACACGTGAAGTTCACTGCTATACCGTGTTCAAAATCATTACCCTGCCTTATGCCATGTTGTGGAATTCCAGGATCTTTGCAAATTGCTGAGAATAATGAATAATATTCTGTTCAACAATCTACAACATAGAGCCAGCTTTCAAGGATTTATTTTAATACAAATAGATGCTTTGAGTGCTACAGTAATATAACTTTCTGAGTACACTCATGAACTCCCCTTAATCGCCGTTCGGTTAATTTTCTGCGCTTTACAATCTTCTGGGTTCCTCCTCGGTTGTTGTTTTCTTAAGGGAGGGTGTAGGGTGGCGGTGGTGGTAGTGGTGGTGGTGGTGGAGGGAAAACAATAGAAATGTGGGGTGGTGGTATATAGTTTCACTATTTAAGAAGCAGTGTTAAAAAGAAAAAGAGTTGAGTTCAGGGTCGATGTGAGGTCGATGTGGGGTCGATGTGGGGTCGATAAGGGGCCGATGTGGGTCGAAGTGTGGTCGATGTAGGGTCGACGTGGGGTCGATGTGGGATCGATGTAGGGTGGATGTGGGGTCGATGTAGAGTCGCTAGGAGGTCGATGTATTTGTGGATGGAAAAATATATAGAATAAATGAGAAAGTGGAGGAGGGGAATAAAAAACTTTGAGGAGGGAAAATAATAAAATTTTGGAGAAGGGAATAAAAAAAATTGAGGAGGGAAATAAAATTGAAAAGGGAGAGGGGTAAGTAAAACATTGTGCGCAATGTAAAAAAAGGATGGCTTGCTTTTAATAGATTTCTTTCAAATCACTGTGCATTTGACTCTTTTTGTTTAAAACGGCATCTCGCGTCTGATTTTATTGCTAGCAATTATTAGTCGCGTGTTTAATCAATTGATCCTTGTTAAGTTATTTGTTTTATAATAATACGTCAATATGCTCCCTTGAGGTTTTTCCTGTAGAGCTAATTTGTATTCAACTTTGGGCTTGTAAACTCGCATAATTAACTGACTCACGGTGCTTGAAACGTTAAGACTTCAATAGTTTTTCATTTCGTCGAGATAAAACGGAGAAAACAGTTCTGTAATAGTCAGACAAACTTGAAATAAAGCGTTTTCAGCTCCCCTTTGTGTATGTTTTGTTTATATATATCCGAGTTTTAGAGCTAAAAAAGAAGACATGAACTAAATTGAAGTAAAGACTTTTCAACTCTACTTTCTGTATGTGTTTTGTTTATCTACCCGAGTTTTAGCGCTAAATAAAATATAGGAAGCCGTTTCTCGCGTTGCTAGGTGATCGATTCTCTTATTCCTATTTTCCTTTTAATAGACGGTCCGAAAACCGGGCTCAAGTTACTTAACGGGCAAGTCTAGGCAAGCCTATTGTTCCTATTGAAGTAGAGTGACTCTCATTAGTAAACCTATCCACTTCATTATATATGGAGGAACGCATTTTTACCCAGCTAGCTAGTCACTGACGAGGCACATAATTAATATGCTGGAAGGCAGTGACTAGGCACTTAATTAGTATGGAGGAACGCACTTCTTTCCGAGGTGACATCATAGACTAGGCACTTGCTAGGCACTGACTAGGCACAAACGGGGCTTATCTTTGACCCTAGCATACTACTGGCGCTTGTTGAATGGTTGGCGTATTTGATAGTTAAGAGGAGTAACCTCTTACTATAAAGGGAAGACGCTGATAAGAGCAAGGTCGCTGACTCGAGGAAATACAATAACGCTGATTGTTTGATTACCAACAAATAACATATAATCGGATAACTTACCTGGTGCTGTACATCCGTAGAGCTCCAGTCGAAGGCAAGGAACTTTAGGTGTTAGTTTTGGAAACTTTCTAAATGGCTCTTTGGGATAAATACGAATGGAATTTGTCCTGAACTGCTCTGTCGCTTTGAAGCTGTTCTTCTGGAGTCTGTTAGGGTGTCTATTACCAGTAAGCCCCTAAATAGAGTAAATACGACTCACTGATCACTTGTATGAGCTAATACCTCAATCATGATTATTATTCATTACCACACATTTCAAGTTCTGAATGCCAGAGTAGATGTAAACAGAGCAGATATCCTTCTCTTTACACCGACACTTTTTAAAAGTGATAAACCGGCCCAAAATTGTAGCACATTTTACAAAGCAAGATGTTAATCAGTTAGTTTTTATGGACGTACCAAAAGAGCATGAGTTTCATCGCGGTTTGCACGAGTCCCGTCTTAGTAAAAGGCTAGATTTGCAATCTCTGCCTTTTGTTTTGGATGGAGGACTTAGCAAGAAGATAAACAACCGTGAATCCTCGTGCGAAACGAAAGAAATAATAACAATAATAATAATAACAATAATAAACAGCGACACTTTTATCATCTGTGCGCCAGGCCAACCAAAGTGTTTGAGTAAGTTACTATTAAACAATTGTACCAAACTTACATACTGCGCCCTTCGATTCCCGGGTAGCAAACGTGTACTGGATCATGCGGCAATGATGGCGGGAAAAAAGTTTTGCTTTTTAACCTGTTTGTTTGTTGTATGTTCAGCCCAGTGAGGATTTTACTGAATTATGTGAAGTTCAATTTTACCTTAAAACGGACAAAAACCCGTGACTAGTCCTGCGGGTCAGTCTTTTGGCTCAGGAGAAGAGAAATGTTTATAATTTCTTATCTTCTCCTTCAAGCTGCTAGTTATTGTAAATTACAGAAATGTTTCGTTCTCGAAATGGGTAATTAACTGTAAACTACAAAAATTGCAAATTCTTGAGATATACCCGGGGCAGAGAGTAAAATGCAGTACTAAGCCATATTACCTCCTTATGTATTGTCCATTTCCCTTTCTTCAAGTAACGGACATCATACTTAGTTGACCAACTGTTATCAGGAGCGCTTCCTTGAGTTTCTATTGCAGTAATAAACTTTTCCTTAACAAAACGAATCTGTATGTAAGGCGAGTTATCATCTAGAGCGGAGCACCAAGCTCTCGGTCCATCCAATCTTGCGTTAGAAGGAGCGTGATCCGAGCTTAACTTGGATGATGACGTAATACTCTCATCCGGGATTCTCTTGTCTGATTCACTCATTCCGAGGGGGTGGTTGCAATCATCTGACATCAAATCAAACATTCAGAATAAGAGGAATGACGATGGCAGCATGCAAAAAAGGCTAATCTCTTATAACTGTTTAACTTGCATTATCAAGAGGTTTACTTTAGCCAACAAATTAAAAAGTTAGTAAAGAATACAAGAATGAGCCAAGCCCAATGTTAAATGACTTTGAAACTTTTTACATGGAAAGAGGAAGTCCTAGCCTTGGAAAATAACATAGAAGGAAGCGGAAGAGATTTTCGTTTGTTTTACGTGGTTAGTTGGTGGGAGGCTGGTCAAAGGCCAAGCCCAGTCATCTTGCTTCTCGCGGTTGTCTCTCGCCTCATTATGATGAATTGATTTTTCTAGAATCTACCGAAGGCCGCCCGCTTGGCCTCTTAGCGCCTGAATCCTTCATCTTTCTCAGCTAGCATGTAACAGATTGAAAACCGCAAACATGTGACTCTTGAACGATTTGCCTTCCTTCCACTACTCGTCTAAACTATTTGCATAGTCCGTCCATAGCTCTACACAAAAGGTTTAGAGCGTCTGCGACGCAGGCAACCAAGATTGTTGTAGTTCTAAGATCTTGCTCCCTATAAGTTAACAGCTCCTTTAACAAACATTGGTCACAGTTACTTTTCCTCTTCATCGATTAATCCCCTTCACCGGGTGCGAGATTTAGTTTTTATTTCTTTTTCTTGTGGAAAAACCGAAACTCAGTACATGAGGGTAGGGCAGTGCAGTGAAATATTTAATGTTATATTTGATTTTATTCTGTCTCATTTTACTTGTTCAAACGTTCCGTGCACGTAATATCAACATTTTTCACAACAAATTGGGTCCCAATCTCTAACTAGATCTACTAAATTCGTAATTCCTTGAGTGTAATCTAAGACGTACTTCAGCATGTGCGCGCCAGACAGTGTGACATTTTGGCACGTTCACCGCATGCAAGCTACTGCGCTGAAGGAAGTCCAAGACAAATTCATTTTCATAAAAATTTTTAAACCATGATGGGAATCGTGTAACTCAAATCTTCAAGCTTCATGTAAATAATTTATGCGTTGATAATTGAACGACTCCGATAAATGTCGACGATGCAAACTACTGATGGGAAAATTCAACGAAGAGAAGCTCGCTTATTCATACGACATTGCGTTGAAAGGCAAGCGCTAACATATCCCTGACATCGATCGTTTCCCTACTTAAATCAGAAGCTTATTGTGGTTCATCCCGCAGCAATGTGCAGTGTATCTTTGAAGCTTTAGTTAAATGTAGGCTTTTCAGTTCATTCCCGTTGAATGAATTAAAGAGGGATTAAAAACACGATAACAGAGGCTATATTTTGAAATTATGGGCTACTAAGACATAAATGAATCACTTACCTCTTGACCACGTGTGATGAAATGATAGAATGGTGTAAAATACGATACGAAAAAAGTCGTCCATGTTATCTTCTGTAAGTCGAAGTAACGACTGTACAATACACTCAATGATTTTAACGACACGCAATAGTCTGTTTTGATGTTTCAGATTAGTAATATTACGTTTCAACTTAGCTGATGACAACAGCCATGACGTGTTAAGTCGGGTATGTTGCACTATCAACAGTAACGCTGTTCTCATAGCCTCCTGCCTAGAATGCTGGCGCTAGGCATAAATGGCCATGCATGACATGCATGGCAGGCGATACAAGGAAAGGGAAAAGAAGGGAAAAAGGGAGAGTGGAGCATGATCCAGAATGGCTTTTCCTTCCCACCCCTTCCCCTTTCAAGTTTGCGCCTGCACTCTAGTGTCCTCATAAAAGAATTTGAGAACTAGTAACCCCGGGTGGGTGCAAGAGACCTCTTGGGCACTTTCCGGTTCTGTCAAGTCTTAATATATTCCAAGCGTTCAGATAGGAGAGCGGTGCGGAGTAATGAAAGCAAAGAAAAGTAGAGGGGGACTGGGGAGAGAGGTGCGGGAACCCTCACTCACCTCTCCCCCTCCCTCGCTTTTATTTTTTCGCGTTCCTTTTTGCTTCGCACCCGTCCCCACTATCTGAACGCCTGGAACAGGCTAAATATAGTGCAGTGACCCACGCGGAGATCTTCGGAGTTCGGCCGAAACCTGGGCCGAAACCAACAATGCCTACCTCACGCGAGGAAAAAACCGCCGGCACCTAGGGTGATAACTGGGTTTAAGTGAAAGACCACTCCTACCCAACCCCAGACCCAGCCCATTTTTTCTCTCTCAGAAAATGGTGAGAAGGTCAACAGTAGCCTGCGTAGCGTGGCGGTTTTGGTCGGGCGCGCAAACGAGCCAAGATGGGCGAGGGCAGTGAAACTGCGAGGAGATATGGGCGGGATCAGTGGACAGTACAAAGTATGTTTAATTTATGAATCTTTGGTAGTCAAGACCGTAGCCGTGTTATTGTTTGCAAATGTTAAAATTAGAGCATTTAACTGACTGAGGGCAGGAAGAATGATAGGACTGAAGTAAAGAAAGAAAACAAGAATAAAATGCTAAATTATATAATTCACCATTTTGGCCGTATTAACGGGGTGGCCGTATTAACGACGGTTTTTTACAAGAAAATGTATGGTGGTTTTTACCAGGCGGCCAAAACAAAGTGGCCGTAATAATGAGGTGACCGTACTTACCGAGGTAGCCGTAAGGCGGGGTCCGGTTCCGCTGTGTGACAAAAAAAAAACCACACAACTGACGTGACAGTGTTACATTACTAAGCTCTTTGCGAAATGACCACAGAGTTCTCAAAAAGAATTGCAGTAACTAAATATTACATAAGTTTTAAAAACTTCTAAAATTCGCATTAAATATGGATTTTTGGCAGATGGAGCCGCAGATAGCCTAACCTGCCATTAGAGGCCTTCTTTTAGGACTGCCAGATCAAAGGTTATACAGATAGCCGGCCGTGGCACTGGATTCATGCGGTCAACACTTTGAAAGGATCTGGTTGATGGTGCACTGTTAGCCTGCAGGCATTCAGTTCTGTGATGTCAAGGTTTCTTATTTCTTAAATACGTCGTCATTAGTGTTGAGTAATGGGATAAATTAGTTATATAATGCTTTGGAGCGGTATACCTTGAATATCCCACTCGAAACTTGATTGAATTTTTCTTTCATGTATAGTCACTCCCCTACACGTGCGTGCGTGTACAGTAGTATACTAAGAAAAATCAAGTCACTCGTGGGATATTTCACAGTATATACTATTCGATAGTATTGCGGTATAACTAGTATCTATAAAAGCTTTACTAAAAACGCTATTAAGATATACTTTGAAACCGATGGATCAAGAAAAGTAAGTATAAACACTCAGGTGCAAAGGTACTGATCAAAAAGCCAAAAGAGCAAGCTAGCAATGTTCAAGATGCAGTGTCCTTTGTTAAGGGCCCGGGAAGATAGGTTCCAGCTCAATAGCGACAAATTTCACCAAGAGTGACAAGGTAGAGCTACCCTCGTGGCGAGTGACAAGGTAGAGCTACCCTCGTGGTGAGTGACAAGGTAGAGCTACCCTCGTGGTGAGTGACAAGGTAGAGCTACCCTCGTGGTGAGTGACAAGGTAGAGCTACCCTCGTGGTGAGTGACAAGGTAGAGCTACCCTCGTGACAAGGTCTAAGGTGACAAAGAGAGTGACAAGGTAGAGCTACCCTCGTGGAGCTACCCTCGTGGTGAGTGACAAGGTGGAGCTACCCTCGTGTCGAGTGACAAGGTAGAGCTACCCTCGTGGTGAGTGACAAGGTAGAGCTACCCTCGTGTCGAGTGACAAGGTAGAGCTACCCTCGTGGTGAGTGACAAGGTAGAGCTACCCTCGTGGTGAGTGACAAGGTAGAGCTACCCCGTCGTGTCGACAAGGTGACAAAGAGTAGAGCTACCCTCGTGGTGGTGACAAGACAAGGAGTGACAAGGTAGAGCTACCCTCGTGTCGAGTGACAAGGTAGAGCTACCCTCGTGGTGAGTGACAAGGTAGAGCTACCCCTCGTGTGAGTGACAAGGTAGAGCTACCCCGTGGTGGTGGTAGAGACAAGGTGACAAGGTAGAGCTACCCTCGTGGTGAGTGACAAGGTAGAGCTACCCTCGTGGTGAGTGACAAGGTAGAGCTACCCTCGTGGTGAGTGACAAGGTAGAGCTACCCTCGTGGTGAGTGACAAGGTAGAGCTACCCTCGTGGTGAGTGACAAGGTAGAGCTACCCTCGTGGCGAGTGACAAGGTAGAGCTACCCTCGTGGTGAGTGACAAGGTAGAGCTACCCTCGTGTCGAGTGACAAGGTAGAGCTACCCTCGTGGTGAGTGACAAGGTAGAGCTACCCTCGTGGTGAGTGACAAGGTAGAGCTACCCTCGTGGTGAGTGACAAGGTAGAGCTACCCTCGTGGTGAGTGACAAGGTAGAGCTACCCTCGTGGTGAGTGACAAGGTAGAGCTACCCTCGTGGCGAGTGACAAGGTAGAGCTACCCTCGTGTCGAGTGACAAGGTAGAGCTACCCTCGTGGTGAGTGACAAGGTAGAGCTACCCTCGTGTCGAGTGACAAGGTAGAGCTACCCTCGTGGTGAGTGACAAGGTAGAGCTACCCTCGTGGTGAGTGACAAGGTAGAGCTACCCTCGTGGTGAGTGACAAGGTAGAGCTACCCTCGTGGTGAGTGACAAGGTAGAGCTACCCTCGTGGTGGGAGCTGGTCAAAACCTTGAAATTGTAGACCATTCTTATTTACTTGAAGACACTCCGTCAGTGGCAACTTTTCATATACCCTTTAATTGTATATACTATTTTTGATAGGGAAGGTATCCCTTTCCTATACGTTCTATTAGTAAGAATGTTGCGTTCATTTGAACTGCTGTAAATGCAGTGTCTTTTGAATACGAGTAAATCACTGAATCGGGAAGTGTTGCTGTCTTTTTCACTAGGTCATTTCACAGACCACAATAGCAGATTTCCCTATCCTTTTATATACTTCATCAAGTGAAACCGTCCGGCGCCCTTTCATAAAAAAAAGGTTCTCCTTGCGGGCAGAGAATCCCCATACAAGCCATTATAGGGAATACACCCCCAATGAGGCTTGAGTCCAGAAGGCTGATCTACTATGGTTAATTTACCAGGGTATAGGGTCGGTTTGTGATGACGCTGTTATTGTTTTTCACCTACGCTTTCTTGCCACAGTAATCAAGGGATGAGGAGAGGTACCAATAGCTAAAAAAATACACTGAGTATGGTTAACAAACAAAACTAGCCTTCACGATTAGCAGGCCCATGTAAAATGAGCAAACTAATGCATAATTATAATCTTTCGCTCTCACCCCTCAGTCACAGGCCCTCAACCCCTTCCGGTCATAGAGTGCGCTTCTCCAGTATTTCAAAATTCATTCCCATTAAACCATTTAACATGTCTTCCTGTCCTACCTGACAAATGAGGTGGAGGGCTTACAGGAGCGCGCTATGAGTATTAAATTCCCACATGTCACCTATCGGGAGGGTTAGAGACACTTTTTAATCAAAGAGAGGTGAAAATGATCAAATGTTTCAGGACATTGGTAATAATCCTGATCCCATGCAAGTTATACAGATTTTTACCGGAGTTCCCTTTTGCACAAACGATTTTATGAAGTCATTAATATTCGATACATTTTTATCTTAGATTTACTATTTAATTCATTTCTAAAGTTTTATCAAATTCAGCTCTAGAAAGATTGATGTGACTGACCATGATTGGATCTGATTAGACATGTGACTCACGGTCCTCGACAGAGCTGAATTAAACCTATGGGACAACGTAAACACAACAACCGAAAGAGGCTCAGTAAACTAGTTAGATACGTTTTCATATGTGAATCTATCCAGTGTCCACAAAAGTCAAATCAAATCGCAAAAACCAAGTCAAGAAAAGGCGAATATGCGCTAAGGTAAAATTAGCCTGCGTAGTAAGCGCGGGGGGTACTCCCATACATTACCTATACGGGTATGTGCCGCCCAACGGGGTCGTGATTTTGAAGCTCCTGGTTTAGAATGGGGTATCCATTTAAGAGGCGTTTTCTAGAACGGGGTATAAAAAATTGTGGATCACGGCTTTATCTTCTGCTTAAAATTGTTGTTGACTATGAAGAAGCATTTTAATATTTGATGTATAAGTCGAACAAATAAAGAAATATCTTTTAAAAAAAACAGGGCTATTTCAATTTACAACTTTCTAGAACGGAGTATAAAAAATTGGCGCATTTCTAGAACGGGGTATCAATTTTAGGGGAATTTTTTTTTAGAACGGGGTGCCAATTTGGAGTCCCGGGCGGCACATACACACCCAAAAAATACCCAAGTGCCCCCGGGAGTAAGCGTTTCCTCGCGAGTTCGTCGAGAAAGTTGCAGGGACGAGAGCAAAAAAAAGGAATGACGGGGGAGGGGGAGGGGAAGGCGCGCAATAACTCCGACGATTCGAAACGCTTGCTACGCAGGCTAAGGTAAAATAGAAAACTAACATAACTTTCAGCGTTTCGAAATATCGTGATCGATTCTGACTTGTCACATGGTCAAAACGATCAGGTAGAAATAAAAAATAAAAAACCTTTAACCAAAAACTACGAAGAAGACTGAACAGAGTACGTACAGTAAAGAAAGAAAACTTATAACTAACATCACAGTCCCGCTTGTAGCGCTAAACCAAAACGACTCCAAACGACATAATGGACCAAGGATCATGGCGTGGCTGCCCATCCGCAAAAGACAAAATACATGATAACTGGTACTCGACAAAAGCTTTCCCGCTGCGAAGAATCTGCCCTTTCGCTGTGTTTAGATGGTAGGCAGCTGGAGCAAACTCAAGAGGAACGTCTCTTAGGACTGGATATCGACGCCACGTTAATGATCCCACGTTTCTTGTGAGGTCAATAACGTCATTGTGCCTTATATAATTGCGGTTAACAAAACGAACATTTAGAACAAATAATAGCCTGCGCGCGAGTAAGCTCTCAGCCTCTTGCTGCTTTGCTGCTAGCTCGCGCGTACTCGAGCGGCTGGCTTCGCTTGCCCAAATAGGAGAGCTTGCTCGCAGGCTATAAACAATATTTCAGATAAGATGCGTCAGCCGTAACATCTACACAGACTTGGAATATTAACGCAAAAAAAAAACCATATGAGGGTGCAGATAATAGTTCATCACGTTCACTGATGCCATGATTCTGAAAGAAGTCCGCCCATATTGTTATCAGGGGCACCCAACGGCAATTTTCGGGAAAATATCTGTTCGGAAGACGATTTGAGATCTAAAATTTTCGGAGCATTTGTTGTAAAATTTCTTGCTTGCCTGCCTCTCCTAGGATTTTCGAACATCTACAAGATGGTATAATTACCCATTTTTAACGGATTTTGACCCCAAAAAAGGCCACCTAGAACTTTCGAGAGCCTTTTCCTGGCTAAAATTTTCGAGAAGGTAAGTTTTTATCCCTATAATTTTCGGATCACTAGACTTTCAGCTAGGAAATCCGAACAGATGAAAAGTTTTTAGGGGATAAAAATATGCCTATATCTACCGTTTGAGTACTAAAATACGTTTAACAATGCTATGTTAAGTGGTTTTGAATTATATCCTCGTTGGGTGCCCCTGTGTTATTGATTTCGCCCTTGTCCAGTTTAGAGACAGGAGTTAAAATTCTGCTATCACTGACCTCCTCACTGCAGAATTTTGATTTAATTTTGGTAAGAAGATAGTTTCCTAGTTTCGATGCTGGTACGTGCCGATGATATCCGAGATTTTAGGTTAGTCACGCGTAATAAATTGTTTATTTGCCCTTTACCCAAGCCTTAAATGTATTTTGAAAGACGAGAAAGCCATAAATTTAGTTTGAGAGTAGTCACGAAGTAAGTGTTCTTGGATTCCAAGGATGACATAGATTCAGAGAGTTTATTTTGCCACTCATATCTTTCTTACATCTGCAGTTGCATCTGTTACATTGGTAACGATTACAGGAGTTATCTGCTATCAGGAAGACTCTGCAAGCTTGATAAAGCTTTTTCAAGCCTGGTCGGCTTCCATATGATCGTCCGGATCGTCCTGATGGTTCAAATAATTTTCAGGCGATAAGGATGATTATATGGAAGCACTATCCCACTGCTACCCAGACGACTGGGACTGACTACCTCAATCGCTTGGATAGGAATTGAGTTCTAACAATGTTATTCAAAAAATCAACAAACAACAAGAATCAAGCCAAAACTAATATACTCTTCGAAATAAAAATGCGGTTTAACTCGTGAATGGCGTCCCAAGTTCTCTGTTTTAACCTAATCTAATACTGTAAAGTACTTCCCAGAAGCTTTCGCTAATCCAGCAAGGATTATGGGCTATAGAGCCAAAAAAATCGCCTTCTGTTTGGTTGCTTTTGGCGGATTTACCCCCAGCAAGTGCAAATCGTGCACTGATCATCACTGAACAAGGCAGAATAACATGGCATACTGCCACGACTTACTTTTAATACACTCTTTCTTTTCTCCAGACTTTCAATGAACATACGAGTTCTTTTTTAGGTTCAAAGGGGCAATATATTCGAGTGATCAATTGTATAAACGGCGTTTTGGAGGCTCCGGATGAACTCACTCTACAGTTCGTGCACCGCAATCCTGCATGACACAGGGAAACCTTCGGAATATAAATAAGGAAACACGGATTTGGACAATTAGTTACTGAATTATGGAAGCATCGTCATAACCCACTTAACCATGCAAGCTCGATAAAATGTAGCCGGTTTAGAATTCTGTTTTGATGGATTGTTCTCTAATGTTTCTGAGATCGTAAACTCTGATATTATTGTGCCTTGAAATTGGCTGAACTTGAAAAGTAGTTGTTCTTGATAATCTGAGTGACAGCCATTCAAATCCCAAGTTAATATCTCATTATATTATCGACCTTTAAATACGATTGGACTTATCCAGCACAAGTTAGTAGCTGTAACCGCCAAGATTAACTTTATTCATATTTCTGAAAAAATATATCTTTCTAGTTATATAGAGGTACCATTAAGCCATTATAATGGTCATTAATTTCTTACTAGTTTCCAAAAGAGGCAATAATTTTGTCCCTAAAAACGGATTGCTTCAGGCAGTTAAAACGGCGAAAAGCTAAGTGATCTTCCGCTTTGATTTGACCTTTTGATCAAATAGGGTGGAGTCTATTTCCTTTCCTCGTCGTTTGTTTACCAGTTTCAGTTAATCAGAGTTTGTGCATGATTGCTTATTCGACTTCTTACGGCAAAAGTTTTCCTATCAGTGAACTTTGCTGGTGGGAAGACTCCCTCCCAATTCGGGGCGTATATTTGTAGTTATTGGCTGGGTGAATCATTCCTGGTAAATGTAGCTCAGTCAATCTCTAAAATTATGAGGATATTAGCCTGCGTGGCAGGCTATGAGGGTATTTGCAGTTTTTATCAGTTTTGCCATATTAATCCTCTTTTCCTTAAACGACGCTAAAGTTAAAAATATAACATTTATACATATTTTCGTATTTTGTCTGTTTAGAGTATGGAAAATGTCATACTTCGTGTATATGCATTTTTTTTAAACAAAATTCACGTCCTTTCGATTATTATGTTCTTTAACTTGTTATTAAGATAAATTAACTAACTGTTTCAGTATTTTTTAGGTTCATTCTACCCCCAAGCAGGAAACGGAAACTTTAGTAACGGTATATTTTTTCCTGTGCTGAAAATAGTATCTAATGGGGAATTGGCTGAGTTGGAAAGGTAAATCTGTCGTCACATTTATGTGCAATAAATCACGCTGCCTTCTAAAACAATTTGCGGTCCGGTGCTAAAAACCCTCAGATACAGCAAGGAAACGTTCATTAAGAGCTTGTGAGACCTCAAACAGAGGTTTTTCGTTTACATGGCCATGGGCAATAGTTTTTTATCAGTTGTCGGATGCCCTTACCGATATTTGAGCCAGTAACAATATCCCTTTATACACAACAAGGAAAAATGACTCGGTTTGCACATAGGAAGTGTATCTACGTGCCAAACACCAGAATACCACTCACAAGATAGCTATAGGGTCACTTGAATTATCGGCAAATTAGTGTTTCCCAGTTTGCCTTAGCTAGATATATCATTGTGATAATTAGGTGAATAATTAAATACAAATAAACAACAAAGACTTCCAACAATTATAATTTCATTCTTCTTAATATTATTATTATTATTATTATTACTATCATTTTTTCTTTCTCTCGAATGCTTGCTAAACTATGACAACGAAGTTGTTCACTGCTGACATGTGTTGCGTGAAGTTGTAACCGTTCTCTTGACTATTGAGGAAACACGGATGGGGGATTTAAAAGTCCGGAAGTTAGGATTTTCAGCTAATAAAAATAATGATAAAAAGGATTTCATTAATTCGTGCTGTGATTTATCAGAAATCCATTTCTTATAGGCGTATTTTGCGGGACGATTCCACCAATTAAAAACGTGTGATAGAAATATATTCTGCTCTGAATCGATACTTATCTGCTCGTCTGAGATTAAATTTCATGCTCCACCCCATATAACTGACGAAAGTTGACCTACTGAAAATGCGCACATTTCATGAACTTTCCTGGTTGATGTGACAGCCATTTACAGGACCACTCGAAAAAAAATTGAACCATCGGTCTCTAGGTAAAGTTCCCGACCATGAAGGCTGCTTTCTTTTTGCTTGTGGTTTTTTCCCTTGTCACTAAATCTGCTGGATTTGTAGTCGAACGTCCAGATGGGATTGGGATCGATTTAGAAGTAGATGACGAAATAGGAGGAGAAAATGAAGATGTCTCAGGCTTCCTCGTCGATTCAAATGTGGATACATCAGGTAATTTGGGTTTTTTTTGTTTATTTATTTATTTATTTATTTTTGTTTTCATCATGACCTACCTCCAGCTCCAGAGAAAACAAATGTCGTTGTAATAAATTAATTAATCAAAATGACATCTGATTTATGTTTACGTTGAACATCGAACAGTGCGTAAGTATCACATAACTTACCCTGAGTTAAAGAATCTTTTTTTTTCTCCTTTTTTTCTGGCAAAACCGCCGCAAAAACACAGCACCAGAGTTGTATTATGATCGTGGACGACATATGTTTTATTCTAGTCTTTTTTAAGACGGACCTTTGGAGCTTAGTTACCAGGCAGGTGAAAACATTCTCTATATTTTGGCTGATTAGATCTCTTTTCTAGAGATGCAACGTTTACAACTAGCAGGATCTTCGTCCACGGTTTTTTCAGTTAATTTAATCCTTTATTATCTACTCACCTAATTGCCAATGGTTACTGCGAAATGACTAGATCTACTGTAAATTTGGTTTTTAGAATGTTCAACCTACAAAATCCTGAACGAGTCGAGCCGTGCACAATCATTTCAGCGGCATGCAGGCGCTTTTGTCTGCTATAATAAAGGATGGTACAGATTCCAAGGAGGAGTAGAAACAAAAATGGCAAATAGCTGTCCAAAGAGAAACCATTGTGGCTGGATGGTCGGTGAGCATCCTACAGTGGACCAAGGAGTTGTGCGACGTAAAGCATGTTTTCATTGGTCCAACAACTGTTGTTCCTTCTCAGCTAATATCCGGGTACGAAACTGTGGATCTTTTTATGTGTATGAGTTGCTGTCAAATCTTAACTATCATTGGAAATTGAAGCTGTACTGTGGAAGTGGTCTGGAAGATGAGACAGCAGAAAATTCAGGTAAACACAACTGAACATACGGTATAATCGTATTCCCTATGGACAAAAATATCGGCAGTGAGGCTAGGCAAAATTAGGCAACCTCATTATAAGCTATCCTAAACTTTTGATTCCTTTTGAATAGTTTCAGAGTCAGTTTTAAAAGTCCCTCCTCTTGTTTTCTACTCCTCAAATAATCCCTGATTATTTCTTATTAATTTTGCTAGAAAAATATCACATTCAGTAAACACTAATTTCCTCGGCTGTATTTTGCCTATGAATATATGAAGTTCATGGAAAGTGCGCATGCACGAGTTGTTGACGTATCAGAAATCGAATAAGTGACCCCGAGCGAACGAGTGAGACGTAGTTAGTTTCTGATGCAAAAATTAGTATAAGTGAATACCGAAGTACAAAGTACGGCGGGAATGACCGTGAAGCAACATGGAAAGTGAGGGCGCTGCGAGCACCTAAAGATGGGAACTTTGGCGCGAAACTCAGGCACCGCTACGGTTTCTAGTTAGACGAACTATTTTCTCGTGGTAAAAAAAAACACACACACATACATTGTTCGTAATTAGTGATTCATCCTTTTGTTTTATTTTAAAGCCAGCTGTTCTTAGCCATTTGTGACTATGGACTTGGCCCACAACAGAATCGTCGGTTCTTTTGGGGTGCTGACCATGCAGAGGCTTCTCTTCCTATTTTTTCTTCATGATTTGTTGCATCATGATCATTATCATTGTCATTTCGTTTATTGTCATTTGATTTATCATAACGATTATCATTATGGTTTTAAGCCAGTGTCATTGTTTTCTCTTTGAAGGTGAGTCTGGTAGTGGAACGGCAGCGATCAACTCTGGTGAGGGGAGTTCTCCAGCTTAACAGAGAAGTCACAATGATTGTTTTGCTTTCAAGATCAGAGTATACTTAATCTGGTTTTTTTTTAATGTACCTAATGTGAGCCTAATATATGGGTTAGGACACTATATTTACACTTTTTTGATGTTGTTAAAGAAGGTGAATAGGCGAAGTAATTCCTGAATACAATGTTTAACGCTAACAGGTCATTCTCTTGTATGATTATCCATTGTTATTGAATACTATTTCGCGAAAATATTTAACAACTTCTCTAAGTTTATTTCAGTAGCAACTATCCTAAAGTACTCCGTATATTCCAAATTCATGGAAGAATGTAATTTTGTAAACTGAACTAAGGCTGAAATTAAACTTGAATATAATTATGGTGAATAAGTTATCATAAAAGTGTGGGTATACCAGTTCTCTATATTTTAAAAACCATCACAAATACCTCTTAAATAAAAATAAAGTCTACTGAACAGTTTTAATTTGCGTTCTTACTCCTTAGCTCTGTTGTCTTTTCACGTAACGTTTTCACCAATTTGGTCGTCGCTCCCTTAAGCATCAATCGATTAATTACATCTGGATAGTACGCAAATAGGAAATAGAACATTGGGAACTAGCCAGTGTTTAACACACCCGCCCGTTACTGACCCGGTGAAACCTTACCCGGTGGTTTAATTCAGCTGTCTATCCAGTGATAATTTAGCCTTCCCGATACCTGGCGAATAGTTTGCTTCTAGCCGGCTAATTTTCTGCTTCCCCGGCCACTAATTCTAATGTGAACTCTACAAAACCAGTGTATTTCGTTGTTCATATTTGTTTTACAGAAGCAAAAGTATAAAACATTATTACCTTGACAAGCCGAAATCGGACGGTACAGATATTAATCGACCTCCGGCATAAAAAAGTGTAAATCTTTAAAGGTCTTCTTGCCAGAGCAACATGTAAAAGGTTTTCAAAGATTTCATACCGGTAAATATGTAAGGCCCGCCACTTTTTTTAGCTTTTATGAGAGATATACTCAACCAAAAAAAACGGTGGAAAATAAGCCAACCTGGTGACGTTTTCTCCGAGAACCCGGTGAAGATATAGATTCCACTAGGTCTGCTACAGAGGACTGTTTTAACAAAACCACGCTAAGGTCCAAGCCTGTTATCTAAATACTGTTTATCGTGGAACTTTTCATAAAAGCATATAGCGTCAGGTGACTAGAAAGCATTCGTCTTGTTAAATTAAACCATCTTATAGAGAGGCCTGAAGGTCTTCTGTTGCTCAAGTTAGACTTCCATTAAAATATGCATAGCCAACACTGAGCCGTAACTCGTAGACTGACAGTGATATCATATGCAGCACCACACAAGCAAACATTGCAAAGCAAAACACGACTTTTATTACAAATAAAGTAACGGAGAGTTGAAAATTAAAGAAACAAATAAAGAAAAAACTTTTAGATACGATGGAAACTCAAAGAGAGCCTTTGAAATTCAGTGGAAGTAACAAAGACCTGTTACTTTCACAACCAGACCACCGCTCACTTTGATCATTCTCAAGGCTTCTTCACCTTCTCTCAGTGTATCACATTCATGTGCGAGCTGGATTGCTCTCTGAGAAGAGAGGGAAAGAAAGATCGTAGATTAGTAGTTGTACAATGTAGCTTGCTTTTACTTTCATTCTTCACCTAGTATACTGTCTTTCAAGCAGTTAATCCCAAAGATTTGACACTGATTTGATTTATGTCCCGGTTCTTAAATCGATGGAGAAAAGGAAACTTGCTCAAGCCTGAGTTACCGACACAAATACTAAAGTAGATTTGTAAACTTAAGAGGATAGGAATGGAGAATGGCCGAAGGGAATGTCAAAGTTACTTCTGTTCTGTCCAGTAGCTGCATTTTTTTTCTCACGCTTAAACTCCTCAGCCATAAATGTAATTTGCCTGCATGTCATGCAGTTTGTTTTCAATTGCATTTTGTCTGGCCGTATGGAATTTTGAGTGGGACTGATACCTGTACAATAGCTAAGGCAACTGAGTGCACTTCCTTCATAGTTCAAAGAATGGTGTGAAACGAGGTTAGTAGTAGAGTGGTGAGAGGTGGCAGTAGAGTTATGGTTTAACGTCTATTCAGTACAATCAGTTATCAGGGTAGTTACCTTGTCGTTTGACGTAATAACTGAAAATATCATCAGTACCCAAGTAGCTTTTCATGGCGCGTTTGAAGCCGTTCTGCATGTTTTTTGCCAGATAAGGTAGTTTTTCACTGGAGAGGTATGGAGAAGAATTGGCCTCATCCTCGTTCGTTTCCTTATCCTTACCTAAGGTGCAAGGTTCAAAAAGTTAACAATTGGTGCCCAGTTACAAAATTTCAATTTCAGCAATGATACCCCTACTAAGAGCAGCAACCTCACTGTAAGAAAGATGTGTTTAGGATTTGTTTTTTTCCAAGAACTACTAGAGACTGGAATCATGTAGCCTGTTCCAGGCGTTCAGATAGTGGAGCTTGGCGGTAAATGGGGAGCGAGTTAAGTTGTACACGGGAAAAACGGGGGCGTGGTGGAACAGGGGGGGCGTTTTCTCCCCCTTTCCCCCTCTAGTCTCCCCTCGTTTTTTTTTTTTTTTTTCTCGTGAATTTTTCTCCCGCGCACTACTATCTGAACGCCTGGAACAGGCTAGGAATCATGTAAATTTGTATCATTACTTTTTAATTTATATTTTACTTATTGTTGCATGTAATTTTTTTCTTTTATATTTTGTAAGCGGTTGCTGTGTTGCCTAACCGGCTTTTACCGAGGACCTAATTGAGATGATGCTTAGCTAATCGCAACAAATTATATTAATACTGCAGAGATGCAGCCGACTATGTTTAACTGTCTGGGCATTACACTCTTTTATTACTCTACTGTAAATTTTTAATCCCCAATGTGCCAACTTACAACTACAGACCTTGCATCTGATCCCGGATTCTGGTCAACAATGTTGCGTACGTTTGCACGCGGCTGAAAGTTTGACCGGTTTCAAACTTAATTTGCGCAGCAACTCCCAACAACACGCAATAACTTGCAACAGAGTGTGCAAAGGGACGCAACATGTAACATCCAACAATGTTGCGTCCGTTTGCGCGGGGTTTTTACTATTCGAAAAAGCATCAAAGTCGGCGCCAAATATATGAATTCACAGTGTGATAAGACGCTGAGGACAGTTTTTGTTCACATTAGCTAAACTATAATGCATAATACAGTTGAACTGATGTTAATCCATACCAGTTTCCTCGTTATTCATGTAGCTTCGGGCGTGGCTCGCACTAGCCCTCAATCCTTCAAGAAAACTGCCCACTAAAGTACTCTTCTTTGCTTCATCTGATTCAGGATCAGCTTCAGTGCGGAATGATGAAACTGCATCAGAGTAATCTTTCCCCTGGCTTGAATCTCCTAAAGATTAATATTGGAAACTTAGGTTTTAGTCGCAATCGATAAAAAGATCTCTGGTTGTCATCGTTCCATTTTTACTCATCGTTTCTTTCTTTTTTTAAAAAAAAACAGTCCTTAACAACTTATGTGTTTTGTGGTCACACCAACTGGAAAACGTAGCATCGAAAACAAATGGTTACACGAAGTGAATAAAGATAATCATAACCTTCATTACAAACAAGTTATTCAAGAAATGCTGACATTACAAGACGGACAGCCATGGAAGAGAGATTCTACAGCGCATGTAACTAAGACGTGGACGGCGACAACGAGAATGAGATTTCCTGTATACTGAGTAGTGCGGTGCGCACGCGTAAACCAGTGTCATGAGTTTTAGTGAAAAACCGTGATATAGCTGTCCCCATTCTACTACAAGTTTAAACAAGTTGAAGCGGAGGAAACATGTTTTCAAGAGGTTTCATCATTTTTCGATGTGGAGAGTTTTTAACGGTGTTAACTTTTCTGGTGAAAAAAAGTACAATGAGACTTTCCAGGGTGTGTGTGTATGTGTACGTATGTAGGTATGTATGTATGTATGTATGTATGTAAATACTTGTATTCTGGGTAGAACGTATTCCGTAGAGCGCTCAATTCATTTAATTGAAGAGCATTGACTGCATTGAGTGTGGTCCTACAATTTCGGACCATACGAAACAGCACTGTCGCAATAAACGATCAATGATTACTCCTGAAGCCTGAACTCCTGTGAGTATTAATATGTATGTATGTATGTATGTATGTATGTATTTTTTTTTTTTTTTTTTTTTTTGAGAGTACGCGAAAAAAAAAACCGTTAAGTTAAATCTCTTCGTCGTTTTCGACGAGTCCGAACGATCTCTAGTAACAGGCCAGTACTACAGAAATTGACGAAAATTGCCAAGTCAGCTGACTCCATAAGACTGACACCCCCTCCCTGATGCTAACAGACACCTGGAGTTGGCCCTTGAATTTCTTCAGCCATTTTCTTTGACTCTGTACTATAGGAACGCATACACCTCTCTAGGAGGGGACATTTGGTGCTGTGGCCCCAGCAACCGCCGCCGCCGCCTTAGTAAAGACTGACAGTTGATCATTGATTGAATTGCAAACACGAAAAATTATTTCTTACTCTGTGCCTCATTCCACAACTTGTGAGCTGTGTCCACTCTGTTAGCCATATTGTTTACAAAGCGAGTCATCAAACTGTCCTTTGATTCCTGGTCATCTGATATCTCATCTGAAAGTGAATCCACTGGTGGAGTTAAAAGAATGTAAGATACCGACGGGGTGGGACTATAATAGATGAATAATTAGAATTTGTTGAGTCACTATTATTTCTATAGCAGATGAAGTGTCATGGGAATCCCTGGCGCTTTGAGGTATGTATCCTACATTTTATACAAATAATCAATTGAACTATGGCCATACAAACAGTAGAACAGTGATTTCCAGCCGTCAAGATAAATCAGCTAGATTTTCAGTTGGAAAAGAGACCCATAGGCAAGCCCAGTACGATATTCATAATGAAATATCTGAAGGTGCTGCCCAGCAAAAACTCGAAAGTGTCTTTAATTGCATGCTTCTCATCGCATGATGCAAGGAAGAGTGGTTCAAGAGTTTAAGGTATTGACTGAAGAAACATCAGCGGTGCTGGTCCAGCAAATGAGTTATGAAATACAAACATTGAATTGAGGGAAAACTTGCCACCGAGGAAAGCGTTCTATTCAAAATTATGACATTTAAAGTTCTGAGTCCTCATTTATTAAGTTTCTCATCCCTGAAGTGTGAGCTTGAAATATGAATTGGTGAACATTGATCAGTAACGACTGAAAAAGATATTACAAGGCAAAGGAAAGCAAACGTCTTGTATTGTCTATAGTCTCCATGTGATTAGTTAACCATCCGTCTTTATTGTATGTGTGTATGTAAAACTTTATTTAAACACGGGAAATCATCAGTTAAGCTTAAGTTAAAAACTAAAACTAATTACAACTGCTTTACATGATTGCCGTGTGGGAATCCGACATATCAGCTACCTTCTTGATATTTCGCTTAAAATGCTCAACGGATGCAGGATTTTTCAAGCTCTTGGGCACGATATTCCATAACATGGCTCCGCTGTGAGAGAAGCTTCATTTCAAATAATTGGTTTGGACAGGGTCAGCCTTCCCTCAGAGTTTCTTAAGTTGTAAGCAGAGTGACGATGAAAGAAAAGACTTTGTAGATATTGCGGAGCAAGGTCATTCGTGGTTTTATACAATGAATAAATCTCCGGGGCCGGACAAGAACAGCGCTGGTGTACTAAAAGACTGTCTCCCTGTCATATTGAGCCCTCTTACTGACATCATCAATTGTTCTATCCTTACTAGCACATTTCCTGACAAATGGATAGAGGCTGAGGTGATTACGATTCTTAATGACGGTGACCATGAAAAAGCTGCCAACAACAGACCGTTTATCTCTGCTAGCCGTAGCTTCAAAGGTCCTCGAAAGGATTGTTTTGAATCATTTCAGCGCCTATCTCACAAAAAACAACCGTCTTACCTCACACCAAAGCGGCAATAAAAAAGCTCATTCTACAGAGACCTTAAACATCCTGCTCACGGATAAGATACTCGAAGCAATGGATAAAAAGCAGATAACAGCACTAGTACTATTAGATCTATCCAAAGCCTTCGACAGTATAGACCATGCAAGGTTGCTCCGCAAACTGTCCATCTTAAAAGCCTCACCCTCTACTGTCAAATGGTTCAAGAGCTATGTAACTGGTCGCAGGCAATACGTGAGAATTGGTTCCGCCTACTCTGACACTCTACCTATAACTCACGGAGTTCCTCAAGGCGCAATCCTATCACCATTGTTGTTCTGCATTTATCTCAACGATTTACCCACGGCACCGAAGTTCTGCAACCTAGAATCGTATGTGGATGACTCAAAGCTATTCATGTCATTTCCTCTCGTTGAGCTTGATGCTGCCATTGAAAAGCTCGAACAAGACCTTCACAGTGTAGCTCATTGGTGCTGTGAGAACCATCTACTTATCAATCCCGATAAAACTAAACTCCTTTTCCTCGGTACCAGACAGATGTTAAGCAGGTTACCAGAAGACCCTAGAGTGATATTCTGAAGCCAACAGACTCTGCCAAGGAGTTGGGAGTCTTTCTTGACCGCCATCTGACCTACGATCACCATATTTCATTTGTAGTGTCATCTTGTTTCGCAAAGCTTTACCAAATAAATAGAGTCAGAAGGAGCTTCGACAAGGAAACACTAGAGTTGTTAATAACGTCATTAGTCTTTAGTAAGATGCTTTACTGCTCATCTGTATGGTCAAATACTACACTCCAGAATATAAACAGATTACAATCTATTCAGAATTTTGCCAGCAAGATCGTAACAAACTCTAGGAAGTTTGACCACGTAACACCTGTGCTTCGAGAGCTAAACTGGCTTCCTGTTAAAGAACAATTATTCTATAGAGACTCCGTTTTGACCTTTAAATGTCAGAACGATCTTGCGCCTCAATACTTAACGAGCAAGTTTACCAAGCGCTCAAATATACATACTCGTAACACTCGTACACGGAACTCTTTGCAGATACCGCTATACAGAACGGCTATAGGCCAGCGCAAATAGTTTGTAAATAGTTCCTGAAAAACCTCACGAGAATGTTACTATTAAAGTTATTATTATTGTTATTATTATTATTATTATTACATCATTAAAGCTTTTTTTTTCTTTCGTCGAAGAGATAGCCTCTCCCAGTCGAGGGTGGAGAGAAGGTGGTTTGAGCTCGTATCAAAGGGTGATTTAGTAATAAATCTGGCTGCACGGTTCTGTAATTTTTGGAGCTTATCAGTCAAGTAACCACTCAAACTGTCCCAGAAGGGGCTGCAGTAATCCAAATGAGGCATAATTAAAGCGTTATAAATTTGAATTGCAGTTTCTTTGGATGTAAAGGGCCGCACACGTTTTAGGGCGCCTATAGTTGAAGAGATTTTCTTGCAAATCTCTTCAACGTGTTTACCCCAAAAGAGTTGAGCATCTGTGGTAAGACCCAAGGATTTGGTATGATCGACTCTCTTGATACTTTGGTCATCAATTCTGATTTCTACATCGTCACATTAGGCAGATAGTCTTTGTCTTGATCCAATAATCATTAGCTCTGTTTTAGCAACATTTAGACTGAGCTTGTTAGCTTTCAGCCAACAACTAAGTTTATTTAATTCAGGGGTTAGAGTTAGCTTAAGCTCTGTTAACGTCTTGGCAGATAACGTAAGATTGGTGTCATTGGCAAACGTTCTTCAGTTTGTATGACTGTCTTAACGTTGTTGGCAAGGAATATGCTGACAATACTGGGCACCAAAACAAAGGTAGACAAACTCTTAGTCCTCATAGCAACCGATTACCAACTGGGGAAAAAGTCATTTTATCAAAACAACACGAATTCTCTCAAGTTTAAAGACGTGAAAGTTTGAGTTGCAAGCTTGCCACATTTTAATTTTTCTTTTCCTGCTGTGAACAGCAAGGATTTGACTAATAAATCTAGTAGAACCGGCCTATTTCATCTGCCATTCCAAAGCAGAGCAAAATGGCTTACCCTTAATAAATAACACTTTCAAACCTAAATTAACAACAAGAAACTCTCATATACGGAGTTTAAAAATCTTTGATTTCTAATTACACCAACCGTACCATATTTGTCCAAATTTGACGTCGATCTACGGTCGCTATCGTCTTGTTGACTATGCATTGAAGACTCGTCTTCGGTCTGGCGGTAAATACTGCTTCCTGAAGTAAAATCCACAGACAAATAAGCAGCAAAAAGTAGCACGACTACTAGTTTCGACATGTCTGATCAAAAGTCTGTCAACAGATTATCACTCTTCAAACACGAGATAACTATGCAGAGCTGCAACTTAAAGAAACGGTTCGCTAAAGAGTCGCTTTATTCTCACCAAAACAATACAAATTTCTTGAGGGAATTGATGAATCGAATGAATTATATATACATATGAATGGTACCGAGCCTAATGAACCATGGTGAATTGAATTGTTTGAAATGTATTATCTTGGTTGCTATGGAGATGTTTGCAGATACAGACGAACCAGGAATCTCTATGTTTCGCTCTATTTCTTCTTCTTCCTCTTCTCTTTATCTGTGTCCACACTATGCCAGATAGCTTTTCGAAAAGCTATGCGGTATATTATGAACAGCAATGGCTCGGAGCAAAACAAAGTCATTTTCTCACATCCAACAGAGTGCCGGCGAGTGTGGCTGAGAGGGCTTGGTGACTGACTAAATTCCAGTCCTTACTCCTGAATATTTAACTTACTCTGTGTCAGTGGATTCCAGGCCTAGCTCCTTTTTATTTTCTTCCACGCCGTGACGAACGGCACAAAGCCTATCACATATGTGTGCTTCACTTTCGAGATCGGCGCGGTGCAGCCTCTCTTCATCACAGATTTCGCGCCGCCACAACGATTCTTTTGCGTGAACAGAAGCCGTCTCTGGTATGATTTTCATGGCGGAGTAGAAGCTGTCCGGTATCAGAGTATGAACATAGCCTCATCGAAATCCTAAAGTACAGTGATCACATACGGTCTCTTTTGTGCTACTGGTGCCTTCTTGTTGTTTTTGCTTTGTTTTTGCTGGAGATTATTCCAAAAAGTCTCATTTAGTGACAGTTTCCTACCGCTTTTGAAGTTTTCGTGCACTGACAGCTTCAGTAGTTATCTTGAGGTTGTTGATTCATTTCTTATTTGAACTGAAAAAAAATGGAAAGAATCATTTCTAATTCTCATTTTTTGTGTCGTTCCTGGCGCGCACTTATTACCATAAAAAACATTTAGATAAGCCGCATATGTGCTTTACAGCCGTCGACGAGATTTGAAGACTTGAGTCCTCAGCTACTGGTGCGAACCACTAGGACTGCGATTATTTAAACCAAGTTTAGACAGCGTTTATGAAGGTCATCCTCTAACCCATGTTTAAGCCATAAATACCGATTATTTAAACGCTGTTCTACCATAATTTTCTTTAGATCTTGTATAAACACCGACTAAGGAAAAAATGGAAAGTTAAAACTGCTCACAGGCCAGCCCGGTCAACTGGGCCCGTAAGAGGCCCTAAATACGTCATTTTTCCCAGTTATCAAGGGATTCTAATTATGCTGAGAACTCAGTCTGGTATTCAAGTAGAGAAATGGGAATCCAAATGTCCCCCAAAAAATAAGCCTGATGACCACAGCGCGTGCGCTAATAAAGGTTCCATTCTGACCAGTTCACCGGCGAAAAATGTCTGATTGGTCGACGCGCGACCACGTGACTTTGCCAAATTCAAAATGGCGGCAATACCTCCATCGTTTGTAAGAAGATTAATTGCAGCTTAATATGGGTTGCAAATGCATATACGGATATTTTTAGAATAGCCTAGACTTTTTATTATCCTTTTTCACCTATTCCTATGGGATCCGTTCCCTGCGATGCTCGCGTTTTGGCCGGTTTACAGGATTCAACTTTGGACTTGTTTAAGCGATCACTCTCCACGATCACGAAGGACAACAATATTTCTGATAAAAGCCGGATCACTAGAAAGAACTCCCTTTGTCCACAACTCAATGCAGCGGAGAAATAACACACTATGGGTCCTTTGAAATTGCTTAGACACCTGGAAGGTATTTTATAATTTTTTTTGTTACCGAAAAGATAAAGCAAACTTATGTTTTCTCCAGCAAGACTTTCTAATTTATAAAAAAAAAAAAGCTTGAACATAAGCTAAATGAACTGTAGTGTCTGCCTTGTTCTTTTCATTGTGAACGGGAGCAATTTTAATATCAAAACTTTAAAGCCGTCTTTGACCGAGCAAGGTTTTTTTTCTTTTTTCTTTTCAATGGTTACTGTGCTTGATCTGAATAAGATAATGAATTTTTTAAAATTAGGGGAATACTATATTTGAAAGAAGAGAACTTTGATTTAAGTGTTAGTTCGAAAAAATACTGATTATATTTTATTTTTTAGTACATAAAGGCTAAAAAAGTGATGCATATAGTCTAAAGTGCTACAAAGGAGAAAAAACCCAGATCTTTCCATTAATAAATTTTATTGACGATGTCAGGGACATAAGCTTTCCTTGAGTACACATTTGTTCGTCAAAAAAACCTTGTTTGTGAGGCTGCACTTTGTTTGATTCAGGATCAATCAATCTTTTCTGAAGAGAAATGAAAAGTAAAGTATGTTAACATGTCAGATACTTCAACACTGTCTTAGCCAACAACTAAAAAGAAACTGAACTTCATATCAAAAAAACAAAGTGAAAACTACTTCATGGTGAAACAAAAACCCCTTCAAATATATATCACATTAAATTCATGCAAAATGGAGACCTGATGAGAAGTTTGTAGGAATAGAAACAAACAATAATAACAATGAAACTATGAAGGTAAAGCATTACAGTACATTAATTTTAACTATGAGCATTTTGATCATTCTTAGTATACTGATGTATTAGCTAAATATGTACACTACAAAAAAAACAGTCAGTATTAAAACTATATTTCAACAAAGCATTTTGGAAAGTATTCTTAGAGTTGCTGTTTCTGGGGAATAGTGCAGTGCTGTCAACAAAGGCAGGTAGCCAGCCAAAACCGCTGGCTAGTTAGCCATCCTTCACTGGCTACTTTCATCTCCTCCTACCACAGGATCTAACAAAAAATAAGTACCATCGAATAAAATTGCAAAGCATCTGTTTCCCAGGTTTGAATCACACTGAATGCAGATTTAAACAGTAATTAGATCTGTGAAACATTAGAACGGTGCAATGTCGTGGAAGGTCTGGGACATTACTGAGACTCTAACAAATGCCTTTGGTGCGAGTTCCAAAGCCGCCTACTATTATTTTATTATGAGCCTGCTACTTAAAAACTTTTTGACAGCCCTGATATTGCACAGTAAATAAACACTGTTGGATATACACATGCAAGCGGTCCATGACCATCATTTATGCTACCTATCCCTTAATCAAAAAACCTACAAATCGCCTTTTGCCGACTTTTTCACCTGATTTTACATAAGATTTAGATTTGGTTGTTTTATGCTGAAAAGCTTGGTATTTTGATTACAGCTACAGTTTACATTGTAGAGCAGTCCCCTTTTGCTATGGCCCAAAGACTGGACACAGTGAACTCGAATGCTGTATTAGCCAATGAAATAATTCTAAGATGCATTTATGCTGTAGTAGCTAATAACATAAGATGTAATAACCTGTGTTGTGTTCCTGTTTCTTTGTGATTCGTTTTACAAGGGATTTGAATCAGAGATGGTTAACATTGCCAGTATCAAATGCTTGCTTGTCAAGCGAGTCGGATGCGACGGTTACACCTCAAGATAACTATCTTATAAGCTAATACATTGTTACTACATGTACATCTAAATTATTATTAAATAATAATTTTATTAGCTAATACAGCATTTGGGTTCTCTGTGGACAAAGGAAACTGTCTGTAATAATGAGCTGTCCATAAAGTGGTGCTTAATTTCATTTGCCAGCAGTTCTTTTTATCTTAATATTCCAGATGGTATATTAAACAACTTATTATTTGAAACTGGCTACAGTGTTGATGGGATGCTACAGTGTACAATAATACTTTGAAGGGTCTGCACTCTTATCAATCATAGTCAATGCCTCCTGTGAGCCAGCTCATGGATGAATTTGATACATGTACAAAAGGAAATCCAACAGTCAACAATCAGAAAGATGTAATACTATGTGACCTCATGATGGAACTTAACGAAAGGAAATGTATATTTTTTTTCCCTTTTTTAAGTTATGTAAATAGGTCTTCTGTTGAAGAAAATGAAACGATGTCAAAATGTTTTGCTGTGCATGCATAAATCATGCAACAATAACTGACTGATTTTTTAATTTGGGCGACCAACTAGGAGGCCCGGGCACCCCAGCTAAAATGTTTGGGAGCCTGAGGGGCTCCCCGAAATTTTGATTTGGGCGACCATCTTTTAGGCCTGGGCACCCAAGCTAAAACGCTTGGGAGCCTGAAGGGCTCCCTGAAATTTTCCTTAGAGCACAGCCTTGTGCAAGCATGAATTTGACAAAGGTTTGGAATTGAAAACTGGACAAGTTTGTACTTGATGTACCAAATTTCTCATCGGCTGAAACTAACAAGCATCATGTGCCAATTTTTGACTCTAGCTGACATCTTAAATAAGAAAACCCATATTTTGGAAAGCATTTTTTGGCAAAACAAGAACTGATTATGCGTATATATATTATAAAACTTAAAAGTACTCAATCACAATATTAATAAATAAACAGTACAGGTAAACCCCCAATGCTAGCAATCTTCTGTGACCCAAAGAGGGCAAGTATGTTGGTGTAAAAAAAAAAAAAAACTCCAAGGATTGCTCTACAGAGATATAACCATCCCTTTCCAGGGCTGTCATTAAGTTTTGAAACAGCCATAGCAAATGAAGATTCACCCAACACAGGTCCCAAAAATTTAAATTTAACATCAAGTGAGCTCAGCTGTAACAGGTGTTATGGGTTACGGCCCTTAACGACAGCTCTGCCTTTTTATTTTAGACAATTCTCAGTTTATGAAAAGCCAAAACATTTTTATTTAATCATTTCATGTAGATCTCATTACACTTTTATACTTCTTTGGAACATTACCTGCTATTTTTCAAGATTATTTCACACAAAAATAAGACTTTACATAATTATCACAAATATACCTGATCAGCATCTAATATAAAATTTTATTCTAATGTTGTAGTCAATTTTTTATTGCAGTTAATATATAATTTTCTGTTCTTTTTTGTGTATGGCAATGTATGCTAAAAATAAAAGAAAAAATAATAGTTATGCTGAGATACAAAATTAACTGTGCACAACATACATGTATACATAGATTAACAGCCAAAGAATTCTCAGTGAAATACAGAGGGGCAAATTATTATGGAACAATCCACCTGAAAACATTAATGCCATGGCTGATTAAACAAGATGTCTAAGTACAAGTACATGTACAGAATAACTTCCAGCAAACATTCAGGAAATAGTTTAAATTGTAATATAAGGTGCCAAACATGATAAGGGCCATTTTTGTTCTCAGTTAAAAAAACAAACTTTGTGCACGCATAATGCATGTACGGTCTCTAGGGAAAATACTATTTTTTCACTTTCGATCGATCAAAATTATGTCCCATTTGACACACATTCTAAAGAGAAAACGCGCTGATTTAGATTTAGCGGTCTTCCTATTTATAATTATAATAATTATTATTCTGTTGCTCAAACGGCCCTCCACCAACTGTACCTTTCAATTTTCTCTTGTGTTGGACTATGGGACGAGAAACTTTAACCTGAGCATAAAATGCCAGCAAAGCTTAATAAATAAAAATTCGAATGTTTGAGGATACACTGAACTAGACCTCCAGAGGGTCCCTGAACTTCAAAGATGCAAGTCGATATTTGGTACAGCTGTTGGTACTACAAAAACGGTCCACACGTTTAACACAACTGTCGCTTCCGTGCACAACGGTACAAGCTAATTTATATACATAACAAAGCCCAATAATTTTTCTTTCACTTCTTTACAATTTCCTGTTGTACCGATGTGCACGAAACTAACAGTAAGCATAGAAAGTCAAAATTACCCACCTTTTTGGCATGCCTTTCGCACCCATGCCGGCGATTGCAAAGCCAATATCTCCGACAAATAACCACCACTGGGTTTGTCCGCCGTTTCCAAGGCGCTACATTTTCTAGAGAAAACATTGCACTCAAAACTTTCACCAAAATGTTTTTTGATCTCTTACTATGGCAAGAAAACCACAACGCTATCACTGTCACAAAAACAGCCATTATTTTTTTCATCTCAACCAGCATTTTTGCCTCAGAGCCAATGACATTGCCCGAAATAGATCACGTGTCATTTTTAGTAGAGCATGCGCAGACATTTTTCGCCGGTGAATTCTGACCAGCCACAAATAAGTTGACGCTCGTCCCCTGGAAAGAATAAAAGACTGGACTCCAGAGAGCGGCGGAAATCGAGCCTGGCGTGACTAAGCATGATCGGGGTATCGCGGAACAGATTGTGCTCCCCAACCGTCTACAGTCAACTCTCTTTTGACGGACACCTCAGTAAAACGGACAGGCTTAGAATTTGTCTCCGCCTTTCTTTACTTCTTTCACTTGACTATCTATAAAACTGACGTACATCACTCGTAGACGGACACTTCGTTCCTTTCCTAGTAGTAAACAAGCTGCACCAACTATGCATTTTTTTATGTTGCTGATCATTTCTATCCTTAGTTTTAATTTTAGTCTTAGTATTGGGATGGTAATGGTAGTCAAGAGTATAAAATAAACGAAAACAGAAATTTAAAAATACATCATACATCCGGCAACATCAATATCTAAATTTGACAAAAATCAGTTAAAAACTGAAACAAAGTGAAACGAAACTCAGCGCTCAAGAGTTAAGTTATTGCGTGTTCCTTCGGTTGTTCATAAACAAATTGACACTCCCTTCAGGAAGTCGCTGAAAAGGGAAATAGCAAAATCACCATAAAAGGTCATCACATCCATTGGAAACTTAATAAAACTTGCTGACAAATTCGAGGAAGTAATCTTATTAGACAAATTTATAACACAAAGCAGGCTATACTATCGACCCTATGATTCCGGTAAACCTAAAATGTCACTTTCATGTTATTTGTGGGGGTAGAGTGCGTAGAGAGTTTAGTACCTTATGGAACCTTATTTACCGATTTTTTTTTTGTTTTTTTAGCGTGCGGTGTGTTGCTTGTTAATTTAATTTTTAACTCCACTTCCAAAACAAATTTAATGTAGTTTCACGTATCACTATCCGTCACGGGTGCTGACGACTTCCGGTATCGCTCAGCTGGTTTACACATCAGCCAATTATATGAAAGGAGCTATTGAACCAAGTCTAATTTGTGAGTTTAAAGGCACGCCAGCGAACGTCGCAAAACAAGTCCAGTCAAATCTTCAGAAATGACGTCTTTAGATCACCAAGGTAAGCGAAACTTTACAGATGTACAATGATTATTATGTTCTTCGTACTAATCGTATGGTTGAATAGGTGGGAAAAAATACGGCCAGCTTCGAAAGACCCAGGAACAAAATCTGGATGAAATCAACAAGGTACGTGCAGGTTTGGATGCAGCATGCAATTGTGCAAACTTTAGTAATATGTATTGATCTTTTCGTTTCCGGGTTCGCAATCTTCGATCTTTTTGCTGCGGTTTATGATCTAAATTGTGTTTGTGTTCTAACATTTCATTTACAATTTTATATTACGCACAAAGCGAAATCTCTTGGAGTCAACATCACATTTCTGAAATTGAAACCAACTCGATCTCGTAATTTTAACCGGGGGTCATCGAAATACATGTGGCATGTTAGACGTGTTCTTTTCATTTAAAAAGTTGTTAACACAAAAATGATTTTCATTTCCTTTCAGTCATACATAAATAGCGGCGATTATGATGACGAAGAAGAATATCCAGACCTCAATGACCGACTCGAGGCATACAAAAGTAAGAACCCCGCGGGCCTTAACCTGAAAGTGACTTTCTCTCGAAGATTGTAGGCATGTTACATACGAAAACTATTTGACATTTCTTTAATTCTTTAATTTAACCCTGAAAATTTCCACATTGCTCCTCTACAGATCAGTTCATGGAATTTGATGAAGACAATTCTGGTGATATTGGTGAGTGATTTCATGTTGATCTTTTTTTAAAAAAAAAAAAACATTTAAAATAAACATTACTGATAAAAATAAATATTAAAGCGTGCTTGATTCCATTTTTGGAAGTTTTATTGGGTTGTTATCACGCGCAATATAATTTCGTTTTGTTTGGGTTTATCAAAACACTCCTGATGTAAGCAATCATACTCAAAGCGGCGCCATTATTCAAATGTGCTCTGTATTTTGCAATTCAATTTATTTTGCTCAAGAGTCTGAAAAGAAGTGAAAGCGAAATGTCACGAAGTTGTCAGTAAGCTGAAACAAAATACTTAAGAATCTCAACTGAGCTGCGGGATTCCTTTAAATGTTCCCGGAACTTCAACATTTTTTGGCGCATTTTTCCCAAAGGATTTAGTCTCTAGACAGTCAAAAACGATTATTCTTTGTTGTCTTACATAAAAAGTCAAAACATTCAAGAACGTAATTGTGTTTGGTTTTGTTCACCTTATCTTACTGATTGTGTTTTTTTTTTTTTCAAAAATAATTTCAAAGTAATCATTCTCCTCCAAAATTAACAATGATCCAATTTTATTGAAGGTCTAGTTATTTTGAAATTACCAATGCAAATCAAAACAGCAGCATCGATAAGACAAAAGGCATTTTTTTAATGAAACAGCCCATGCAGGCTCCTGGCCTATGGGAACGTGGTTATAACCAAAAACAAACAAAAAAAAACAATCTAATTACATTGTTTACAGTTCCCTATTCCTCCCCCGCCCCCTAAGTCTTATTAAAACCAAGATGGCCGTCCGTAACGCAGCAAATTTTCGTGCACAGTACCTACGGTTGCTTTTGGTTTTGTACGAGATTTTTTGTATGAAAAAATTCATTGATACTTTATGTCGTGTCGGGCTTTGAGTGTTCCAGACACCGTCCTAAACGATTTAAGGGCACTCGCGCAATTCGCTGAGGAGGTCTGGGACTCGCGCTACATTTACAATTTTACGTTTAGGGGCATTCAAAAGCTTTTTTTTTCTGTGAAATAACTATTCGAAGGAGCTATTCGTGTCTCCTCGTCCGGAGCAGTTTGTGTCCATGTTGATGTATTCTCGTCTGCTCCGTGCTCTACTGAAAAACGCGAAAAAAAGTGCTTGTTCAGTGCAGGCTATCTTCTGGCTTCCTCCATCGAGAGGAAGGGGAGGGGTGCGAGGGAATGCATTACGCGATCGCCACAGCGTTTGCAAGAACTGAGAGAACGTCAACTCGGGAACGTTAAGCTTGGTTTCTCTATGGTTGCTACTTTTTAAAAATTGTCATTTTATTTTGTATAAGATATCATGGAACTGAAACGTATGATGGAGAAACTTGGACAAGCAAAGACTCACCTTGAACTGAAGAAAATGATCGCTGAAGTTGACACAACAAACTCAGGTGTGTTTCTGAATAGTATGATCTTGATCAAAAAGAGACCGCTACCCTCAGATAAGTGTGGGAAACAATTAGCATGAATTATTGAATGAGGCTGAGTATCATCTGGAGAATTAAGGAGATCGAGGAGGGTGTTATCCGCGGAGGCCGATAACGCCCTCCGAGATTATTTATTCAAAAAAAAATCCTTGTTTAAAAACAAGCTAAAAACATGCTTACCTCCATCGATGTTAAATTTATCTTCTATAGTGCACGCTTATTGGGCAAGTTTGGGAGATAAAGGGTTGTTTAGTTCGGCAAATATTCTCCAAATAGCCAAAAAAAACTGTGTATGTATTCTTTGAATATTCATTGAATACAAACTTCTCACCGGCCCAGCCATAGTGCGGATATTCTTGGGCTCATATCCCAGTGCCTCGAAGTCTTCTAGAAAACCCATGCACAGAGTTTGATTAGAGCAAAGAAGGTTCTTTGTAAGATCGACAATAGCGCCATTCGCCGATTCTTGAGGTTTGCCCGACTTGATATGTATAATCATATGTTCTTATACAGTACTTGACATTGTGAACTCCAAGAGCCATCAACATATATTGACAATTGCAGCAAGTCGAACATGCTGGAATGGTCCTGTCTCCTTGCCGTAGGTGTGTTTTTTCAAATGAATACAACACGAGCACACGGCCAGGAGTGACAGTTTCATCTGGGCTCTCAAAGGAGTAAGATCTAGTATCTCACCAACTAAACTTCCAGTATTCAGTACACTTGTCCTTTGCAGTTTCCGGGCCGGCGGCATCGCCAATCGAGCTACTCGAACTTGCATCGCGATCGGCGCGGGTGAAATTTAACATCTTTCTGCTTTTACCACCTTGTTTGAAATTAAAATTCAACTCATCGCCAGAACGCTTCATATTTTAATACAATCTCTTCTAAAAGGATTCTCATAGCATCCAACTAAATCATAATTGGAAGTGGGTAATCGCCCTGGTACTTCACTTACCCCACACACGCTTGATATATTCCAACACTTTCAGTTCCGTCAGATTATTTTAATATTAATCCTTCGGACGTACAAGCAAATTCATAGCCCCACCGTGGTACAGCGGGGGGGTTGGAACCCCTTCTCCGGATTTTTTGATATGTTGCAGTATTTCGAAACGATTTTACCTTTGCTGGAAAGCCTTTGATCTTCTTAACAAGATGAGGTATATTATATGGGTTATGGCGCTGCTGCTGGTGGCCTCTGACGTCACCAACAACGGCCGCCATCTTGGATTTTACCAAGAATTAGAAATCAGGTTAAAACCGCGAAAAATAGTATTTTTTGTGCTTTACACGATAAATAACAAAATAAGCACTTTGTATGATTTTAGCCACAAGGTTTACTTTTATTGTTGAAGGAAGTTATAAAAACATATTTTCAAGCAAAAATGGCTTGACCACCGGCTACTCTTGACGTCGTATGTCGTAACGATAGCAAATGACCATCACTGAACTTGTCTCAAAATTTGGGCGAAGGATGAACAAACAGCTACTGAAAACGTCAGGTGCTGGTGTTTTATCCTCTAGGAAAAAAACTCCGATAAACCTTAGGGAGGTGGCATCCACCCACATCACGTCCCCCCCTCCCCCCACCCCCTTGTGCGTCCGAGGGTTAACTTTGGTTAACTTTTTGATAACTGGTAACCAGCTTTCCTCGGTTGTAAAAATGGGAACGGATAAAATATAAAAGGAAAAGGCTGATGGACAATATGTGGACGTCCTGGGAAACACATCATTCTCGCGGGAAGGCCTGTTCTGTAAATAATTCTTTACGGGAATGGGTTGACTCAAGCGTACAGCACATGTGGCCGATGCTCCAAGTAATCGGCTCCTGGTTTGCAAACATCACCAAAAATCTTAACTGAAAACTTTTGCTTATCACCTTTAATGGTAGCAGAGCTCTCGCGCGCGTGAAGCGCGCGCAGAGGAGCAGCATGGGTAAGAAAATCTATCCATCCCAGAAAATTTGGTAATAACGTGACCGTAGACCGACCGAGCGACCGTCCGTCCGCACTAAAGGCATACCAATGTAAATAACTCAATCAACAGGTATGGCAACCTAAATGCAACTCGAGGTTATTTTGGTGGGAAATCGCATAGCCACCCCGTCTTGTAAGGCAGAGACAACTAAAGAGTCAATAAAGACGAAAACGGAAAGCGGAAATTGTTTCTGTATCCATGTTGTCTAAAGTATTAGCTTAGGTTAATTGTCATGTCCACATATTTGAAATATAGAGAAAGAGAAAGACAGAGAAAAAGGGAAATTAGGAGGCAGGCCAGCGAAGTTCAACGAACAAAAGGGAGAGAGAGATCTAGAGCGAGAGATTAAAAAAAAAAAAAAAAAGGAGATATTTTTTGGTTGGAAGAACAACATGAAAATGTTGTAGCGGTGATGACAAAAGGGGAAAAGGTAACGGCCTCCAATGTGAAAATGAGCGGCAGTGGAAAAGAAGTGAACGAGAACATGGACGACATTTCCTCCGAAAAACGTGTAACTTGTGGAAGTTTCACATTGTAGTCGTGCAAAACAACGGTAAAGAAATGCACAAAACAAGCGTGTTGCGCGTGCAAAGTTGCTTTTTTTGCCAATTAGACCTATTGTTGTTTTTCAACGTTCTCCGGCGTTGCTTTCGCCGCTTAGCATTACACGATTTTATATTTTGTTTGCACAAATTATAAATATTATCGACGGCTTCGCTTTTAGCCCTGGCTAAATCTATATATTTTAGACTTCTAATCTTTTCTCTGTGCTACGACTCGCATGTGCCTGGAATTTGCAGGACACCAATCTTTTTTATAGAGCGTATGCACTCACGTGGCTTGCATCTATGCTAATTTATACGAACAGAAGTTTTTACATAAGAAAAGAGTTCAATTCCCACAGGGTTGTCTTACTACACCAAATGGCGGCCGTTTTATTGTTTTGGAATACTAATATGGCCGCCGTGACGTCATGTATATACGCTCTATATGAGTTTCAATTTTTACTCTCTTGATCGATAAACGGAGTGATTTAACCCTAACCCTAAACTGTAGTTCACTCTAAAAACTTGTTTTTTGCAGGAACGATCAGTTATCCAGAATTTCTGACGATGATGCTAGGAAAGAAGTCATCTGTTTTGAAACTGTGAGTAACTTGGCAAACACTCATCGTTTCCGGTTTCCGGGCTTGGACTTGGACCACTGAATCAGTTTTTAGGCGGCGATCTTATTAGTTCCCTACGCAAATAGATGATCAGCCTATCTTCTCTTTTCTCTTCCTTTGCTTGTAAAACTACCACCGGACGAATAATGCAAAGATATGTTGTGAACAGTCGCAACTAAAATCTCTTTATTGAGGACTCCGACGTTGACCTTATGCACCCCTCACAGTCTCTGGATTATAGATATTAGCCCTTCCTACGTTTCATACAAGGTTCTTGACTAGTAAGACTCGATTGTAATATTGTTACGTCCTGCATAGCCTGCGTGGCAGGTGTCGAAAGGAGATACGTTGAGGATAGTGAGCGGGAAGGGGAAAAGGGAGGAAGGTGGATTGGAGAGAGGCTACGTCTCACACTAAATCCTTTTCATCTTCTCGAGATGACGCTGACAAAACTGGATTGTAATATGTGCACTGCGCTATATATTTTTTTTTCACAGAATCTTGATGTTCGAGGAGAAAAAGAAAGAAAAGCAGAGACCCCAGGGAGTTGCGCCAAAACGAGATCTGTCAAGCCTACCTTGAAGAACGACTAATTTGCGTAGTTGTGAAGTGTGTAATTTTTCGTGAAGATTTCAAAATAACAGGGAAAAAAGCGACCAAGACTCACTTGTCGTCTTTGACTGGGAGCAGTTTACGTGAAATTTGTGTATTTCAAAGACGCAATTTTTGATAACATTTGGGTCAGAAACTATACCACTATAGGAATTTGTTTTTAAAAAGATTGGGAATGTTTTGTTTTTGTTTTTTTTATGGGAGAATACTACTTTTCTTCTCCTTTTTTTGAAGCGATCAATATAATTGACAGGGTCAGGATTTTGATTTTGATTTTTTCAGTTTAGTTTGATAGAGTAACATTTTATTATTGCCCAGTTTGAATTCAAGCCATTTTTATCAATCGAATTACTCTTAAATTATTCTTAATCTGATGCCTCGGCACAAGTTGTTTGTCAAAATTAAACTATGGTGAAATATTTGAAAGCATTGCAGAGTTTTAAATAAAGATTACATCACCTAGAGTAGCCTTTTTACCCTGAGTGGCGTTAGTTATGATATCGATCTTTTTGCAGTTGGGTTTGCAAGTATGAAAGTCTAACTATTTTTTGAAACAGAAATGTCTTTACCTATACTCTGTGGTAAATAAATAATTCTTTCTCTCAAGGGTAGGGTGTGAAGTATTGAAGATACCTTATCACCTTGTTAGTAGATAGATATGCGAAATTTAGTGAATGCTTAACCGTGGTTTTATTGTAGTATTAAAAAAATATTTTCGCATCGTTGCTAATTTCTTTGGCATTTGCGCTTGGGAGAATCCAACTGCTTTGCAGCGCTGATACTCGGCTCATCATCAAGGCCTATTCTTTTCTCCAACTGAGCCGACATACCGTCACAGCAGCTGTGTTAATAAGCCTGAGTCATCGTTCATGATGTTGTGTGGAGGTTGTTCATCGCTTACTCTCCACTATCTGAACTCTTGGAACAAGCCATGCAGTGAGCCACGTCGTGCAAGTCTAGCAGACTAGCACTGTGCTTCACTGTGATTGGTTTTTTCTTCCCTTATAATCACCCAAAAATTCCAGAGTTCCTGGAATTGAAATTTTTTTCTAAGCCACCTCACAAGATCACAGCTTGTCTGACCAAAAAAAAAACAACAACAAAATAGAGCAAAAGTCTCGAAGGCTGCCTCGTACCCAGGGGCGTTCTAGCGGATTCGAGAGTGACTGGGATTTCTCCCAGAGTCCTTTGCGTCCACGCTAAACGTTTCCATGGTCCATTGCGCTGTACTCCTTGATGGCTCGTGCAGTTGCGTTTTCTATTTTTCACCCTTGAGACTCCTACGAACGAGGCAGCCTCGAAGGTGACATTTTCCGAGCAGCGGCAGACAATTAAGCTTTGGGATGAGAAACTGGAAAACCCGGGAAACCAAGCACCCACTATGTAACACTCGGCTTGATTTGCATTGGTCAATGTGGCTGACTATTGGTCTCTTGCTTTTCATTGCATCCCTAGTTGCCTGCATGTGAGTTCAGTGTAAAAGAGATAGTGGGGTATGCGAAATTGAGAAAGCGAGAATATGAAAATAAAATGGGAGGATACTGGGGAGAGGAACGGCTGCGAAACCTGTATCATTTCCTTAAAAGGCCTGTTCCGGTATACCAACTCCTGGTATACCCTCTGATTGGTCAGTTTTTTAATGTGCGTAAGTGAAATAGAGAAGTCTCCTGTAAACGTAAAAGTTGAACCTCGCTCAACTTTCGCGCGTGGCCTTTCATACATTGCCTCCATTTCATTTACGCACGTAAATTTTACACGCCTACCGCACGTAAAAATTACGCGACACTGGATATCCACCTTAAGACAGCCAACGCAAATCACGCGTGTGATTTTGATGAATACACATTACAACATTTTCTACTACTGATAAATTAAACGACTGTCTGCGAGATTTTCTAGGATAAAAAGGTGCTTAGAAAGGGGCAGAAAACTTGACCGTCTTCTGAGCTTGGCTGGACCTGAAGGCAAATTCTAGCAAATAAAAAATTTTGACAGTTACGTTTGACAGCCGAATCCAGACGTGATAAATCTGGCGGGAAGAGGGTCGTAAAAGAAATGATCACAGGCTCTCCAGTTCCTTCTTTTTTCTGTCACGGCCCCCTTTTCCAGATCTAGAGCTCATATTTTCGCGTTCCTTTCACTTACGCATCATCCCTATTACCTGACTGAGAGCCTCGAACACTGAGGATATATACAAGTTGATCTCTCATGATGATTTTAGATTGTTTCATCTGGCCTACATAATTTATACATTTACGGTTTTCAATCAACAACTTGACCGATGTTCAAACGTCCGTGAAAACATTGATATGAAGTACGTTACCACTTCCGAGAATGCGCATGCGTAGAACTGATATCCTTTATTTTGGTACCAATCACAGAACTGGTCTATCAGCTTGGACCGGAAAGTAGGGAAAAAAGTAAGTAAAAAAGAAAAAAAAAATAACGAGAGGAGTTGCAAAACTGTTTTCTAAAAATATCATGTTTGGAGAGGTCATTGTCAGGAATGAGCTCCCACAAGTGAGAAACAGTACGAATTTTCCGTAATATAAAGAACTGTCACTACCACATGTAGTTGCGCGGATGAGCCTCACTGGTGTGGGGTGCAGGCTTCAAACCTGTAGCCGATTAGCGTCGGAGCGGTTCGATTCCGCCTTCTGCGCGACTAACTTTTTGAGTGGCTTTCGCCGATCTACAGTGTCATTCATGAGCCGCCGCTAAAAATTCTGGGGCCTTTAATTGAAAGCGGCAAAGTGCATCAGGTTCATGTTCCATTACTATTAGTAGAAGTAGTACAGCCTAAAACAAAAAATGAAAAAAGTGATCCGCTAGTGAGAAATACTTCCTGGATTTATGTCTTTTAAAAAGGAGGAAAATTATAATTTCTTAGATGTACAACACACCTTCAAACTCTAGTCTAACAAAACAAATGGCAAATATGCAACAAACCAAAATGAGGTGCTGCAAGGAATGAGGTAATGAAACAGATATTTGGACGGAATAGCATCTGTACTATACATGTATCTCTTCTACTCATAATAATACAATATCTGTAACTTTTACTAAATAAAATCGATCCAAACCTTTCTCTTATCTTCAATTACATCATAGATTGTATTTTGAAAATAATGTAATTTTGAATTTACTGTACAAGCTGTGGATAAAGATTTCGAAAGTTTGCATATAACAGCTGCATTTGTTATTAGCAAAAAAAACCACCACTAAGAAAGATTTCCACTTACATCCATCTATAGGTATGTCCTATAATTATTCTGAAATCAGCTGCAGTCTTCACGTTAAACATCCAAGTTGTGCTATTTTATACCAGAGACTAAAACCCACAGTGTCTTATATGACCAAAAAAAGTAAAACATATACTTCAAATCACTGTGGCATAATGCCACGTTTGAATTCCAGGGTTGCTCAGGATTGCTTCTTATTCTTAAGGACAATTGGAACTATTAAAAGCAAGAAAATGAATGAGTGAGTAAATAGATACAAAGACAAATAAGACAACAGATATAACGATGTTGGTTTAAATGTAGCAATTTTAAACTAAGCGTGTAAAATTTCGCTTGGACTTTTTCGGAGCAAACTTGCTGTGATTCCTGGCAGTTAGCGTATCCCGGTATAATGACAGGCCTTTTTCTACCTTGGTTTTCAACAATACCAGGGTGCAAGGAAAATCATTTTTACAGCTTGCTATTCAGGCAAGCTGAAGCTAGCATTTACTAGCCCACATGTCGTTTCAACTAGCCCCAAAAGCTTTTTGACGAGCAGAATTGATTTCACAGTTCTTCTTCAATTTAAATTCCTCAAAAAACATCACTTGCCCGTCGGGCAAGTTAAGAACAGAATTCACTAGCCCGATAGCAAAATCCGCTAGCCCCGGGCTAACTGTCAGTGTCGTAGCTAAAGTCAGTACTCAGCACATTATAATTAGGTCATACTGAAGGTACAGTAAGAAAGTAAAATTTAACATTAACTAAGAAGCCCCGTAAAAGGTTTATGAATCTTAAAATATTGAAACAAAAATGGATCAACCACCATGTAAGGTTTGTATAATGACTATAATATTATTATTACAGCAAATAATAACTTACCTATTATAATAATGAGAATTACGATAAAAATAAAAGCTAGGATCAGCTTGAACTAAAACAAAGAGAAAAAAAGAAACAAAAGAAGCAAAGACCAAGCATTAGGAATTAACAATGAACTACCAACAGGCCTCAACACATGTAGAATGATGTCCTCAGTTTTTCTGACAGTATTAACAAACAACATTCTTTGCCCCAGTTGAGTACAGTAAAGCTCTATCCAATCAAGTCCTCTTTAAAACAAACAATATTCTTCTCCCAGTACAGTGGAATGGATTTAACGATCTCTTAAATAACAAAGTCCTTTGTATAACACAGTCAACTTTCTTTGCCTCAGTAAACCTGTTATAGCAACACATTTTGCCAGTTTCACGACGCTTACATGTACATGCAGTGGTATTGAGGTTACAGTACATGCAAGTGATTCATAGTTTTATACTAAAGCTTCAAAATATTATGGATTTTAACTTAGCTAAACAGTATTAAGTATGTGGAAAGAGCAAAGCCATGGTTATTAGCCTCCCTCTATGGTGCTTGCAAAGGTAAAGAATACAAACACCTTTCACTTACTCTGACATTTTGCCACCATAGCTTTCTCTGTAATCTTCTCGATCCTGCTCTGAAGTGTGATGCACTCATCTCAAGATCCTCTAACGAAATAAACACAATAATTACAAATTTAGTGCTAAATTGAAAACCACAGTCTATTTCCACAAAATCCTTCTTTTTGTCCCTGTCCCTTCTTAACCCATTTGCCCCTGAACCGCCTGTAACCGCCCGTGCAGATCCACGTCCTTTCTACCCTTTGTGACATCATCAGTTTTAATGGTCAAGGACAACTTTGTCCACCAACTAGTGCAGAGTGAAGAGATCTTTCAAACCATACCAGAATGAGCACAATTCAGTCAAGGACACCAGAGAATGAAGCAAAAAACCATGTGACATTGACCTGAAAATCTCCATGAAAATCTTGTTTCATTGCTCACCTACCTTTCCTTTCACCTAATCCTAAGATCCTAAAAGCTTTCCGAAAAACTGTTCCCACCAAAACGAAGCCTACTAAGTGCCCAGCAAGAGAAAAAAAAATGAGGCAAGAAAAGCAAAAAATGAGGGGAGGAGGGAAAGCGAAGAGTAAACGTCAAGACTGCTGGGTTACTTTTAAAGCCAAAAACTATCTCTTGAAATTTTGCTTTCTGCACATGCCCGAACTTCACAAGCTGATATTTTGCATCTGGATCAGAAAGCCACGAAGTGTACGACCTGTAAACCAGTTTGTGGTAAGTTTTAACTTTTTATAGCACGACAGTGACCAGAAAACCACTCGACTAGCTTCAAAACGCATTTTTCAGCAAAATCTCCAGGAGCGAATGGGTTAATTAAATAATATTATTATTGATCCCAAAATTAATTTTTAAGTCTATTCATGTGCAATGATCACACTAACATACAGTAGTACATTTATTTAATAACATAAAATACAGAAGAACCTCAATAGCTCGAACTCAGATAACTCGAACTCCCCACTTACTCAAACCAAGTCCCATTTCCCTTGGATTTCATCCCACTTTTCAGTCATTTTTACCCACGACAGTTAATTCAAACTTAGATAACCTGAACTAAATTTCCTTTCAGAATTCCCAAAATTTCACTGAAATTTACCCTGATAACTCGATTTCTTGTTTTTGTTACTCCACTCCACCAATGTTATTCATTATTCATTTTGGCTTAAATCCCTGGCTAACATTTCATAACCAGCCCAGCTGGGAAGATGTGATCTACATAAACTGTGCTTCTAATAACTGATTACTTGTTATCAACCCAGCACATTGTTGACGGCATACCTGATTTGTCTTGTAAATCCTCTAACTTTGCCCCCCTATCAAGCACTTTGGAGATGTTATTTTGCATTACTCCCATGACACCTTTTATTTCTGACTTCACCTTGGCAATACCATCCTTCATTGTGGGCTGACGTTTAATGTGATGAAATTCATCTGGCGCTGCAAATCTTGGTTAAAAACAAAAAAATGAAGCACAGATCTAAAACTCCTGAACACCTTTTGATCTGTCCTGAGCAGGTTTTGTTATGTCTGTGATCTGGACAATCCAACAAACATTAAATATTTCCTGCTTGAAAAAGCTGATCCCATCTTAAGCCGATACAGTTGAACCTCCACTAACAGCCACCTCTCCACCATGGCCACATCTCTACAACAGCCATTTTTTTTGGCAGACAGTCCATAAATGTACATTCACTCTTGTTTCAAGGTGGCTGTTGTAGAGAGGTTCAACTGTAATTATGACGTGAGGTCATCAATGGTGTGGCATAATTATCATGCTAATGGCCTAAATTGCACACGTACACTATACACATAGTTTGTACATATACATAACAACACTTCCAGAAAAAAAAATTCAAAAATAGAGGTCTTTTCATTTGCAGCAGTATGGAGAATAAATTCAATTTAACTTTCCCTCAAAAGACTTGAATAAAAACAAACTTACATGTTCGATCCATCTTCATCATCTGAATCATCAAGCAAACTTGCCTGAAGTGAAAACAAAACCCAGTCAGTATGAAGTTAACCTTCTGTTGAAGGAGTGTAGTGAAAAAAAGTTTAAATGTTAATCATATCTTGAATATGAGAAAAAGTAAAAAATGAGCCCCAGATACTGGTTGGATGGTCTAACTTCAAAGACACCTTGTACAATGCACAGTAAAGAGACAAAAGGCAGTTTACTAAGCTTTGTTGTAACATATATCCTGCAATTGGCAAACTTTGTGCCATGGCACGTTATACTGTAGCTCTGTTAATAGACTGAACGGTGGCCTAAAGAGCAGTAGGTGGTCACAGGATGAATGATACCCCAAGGCTAGTCCAATCAGGGTGCAAAGAAAATCATTTTTACAGCTTGCCATTCGGGCAAGCTGAAGCTAGCACTTACTAGCCCAGATGTCATTTCAACTAGCCCCCAAAATTTTTTGATCGGCAGAATTGATTTCACAGTTCTTCTGTTATTTGAATTCCTAAAAAAACATCAGTTGCCCATCGGGCAAGTTAAAAACAGAATTCACTAGCCCGATAGCAATATTCACGAGCCCCAGGCTATCGGACACTACTTTCTTTGCACGCTACCAATACTCAGAGTCTTACAATAACTAAGCAACAAACTAAGGCTAGTCCTTAGCATAGCTCAGATGACCAAAAAGATGGTCTCATCTTCTGTTGTTGTTTATTTTTGTTTTTCTTGAGTGATCAATACTGGGATCATGAAAAAAAGCAATGAGTAAGATGTCCTTTAACTGGTATCACATGGCAGACAATAATGCTAGCATAGTATATACTGAATAAATATAATAATAAATCAGTACTTTCAATTCTCAGTATTATTATGTATAAATGTATATCAAATAAATTGCATAAAATCACATAATGTAATTTTACACAGCTTCATTCCAACTGTATTACATTCAGAAGGAAAACAGGCAAGAGACTGCCCATGTGAAAATAGGTTATATTTTCTACAACACAAGGGCAAAGATCTAATTGATCATAATAAATTAAGTTTACATATAACAGAATTTTGGTCCAACTTTATAAGCTTACCCTTTCTGATGGCCTCGCAGAATTTCTGTCGTCCCCATTGAGTCGACTAAATTTTGGAGGCATGATACTTGTTTTAAAAAAACAAAATCAAGTCCATGTAATTCGCATCACCTCAAAACCCATCCGCTTAATTTCAAAACCATGATGAGTTGTTCTTAATATTAAAGCTCTTTGTTTACACGTGGCACACTGCACAACAAATTTACGCAATCTTTGAGTTCGCAAAAGAAGCGTTCTCCCCCAAAAAATTATAAAGACGGCTTTCCTTTGCTTTCTAAACTTCTCGGTAGAATGACTTGCTCTGTTGAAGAAAAATTGAATTCTTTCACTGGAAAAATCTTATGACCCACAGTAAGACAAACGAGCTCAGCAGCCTCTCCTTGACAACGTCATTAATCAGGGAGGGGATACTTGACAGAACATTGTGCTCTTCCAATTTTTGAAGATTTTATCAGTTTTTGTATCCTTTAACTACGACATTTTGGGAAGATATCTTTTAAAATCATAATTTTTCAGCTTCGGTTCGTATATTTTCCATGTTTTACTACAACTAGCACGAAAATAATCACTTGATTTCACAGGTCCCTGGCTGGTCGGCTGGTGTGAAGTGTAACGCAGCTCTTCTTCATCGCGGGCTCATATTCGATATTCTTCAATTTCGAGCCCGCATGCTCGCGAAATCCTCGCCGGTTTTAAGGTTCTGAAAGAAAAATTTCGTGTGTTGTTGACTAGGAAATGGAAATGGCTAAACTGAAAAGTGTGGAGAACAAGGGCAGTGATGTAAAGGAAAAAATTTATTCCAACCATCAACTCCAGAAGGAAAAAGATGACGTGGCTAAAACAAGTGTAAAGAGTAGCAAGGGTTTGATGGAGAACCTCTACAATTTAGACATCTCGTTGTCTGAGAGTTTCAGCTTCTGTGCAGCGAAAGATTCTGGTTATTGGAGAACACTTATGTTGATTCTCGAGCTTTCAGGACATGGAGTACCTTGGATAGCAGGGACAATCATTTCTATTCTTGTGTTTTCGGATTCTAAGCAAGAGTTCGCGTGTAATTTATTTCTCAGTTTGATATTAGATCTTGCTGTGGTTGGAAATTTGAAAGTCTTTGTTCGAAGAAAGCGACCTACATATAACGAGGAGGATATGATCGCAACAGTTTCACCAGATAAATATTCCTTTCCATCCGGACACTCAACAAGAGCTGCAATGGTTGCTTCTTTATTTTCTGTGTTCTTGACCACTAGATTTTGGACATTTCTGATTGGCTGCTGGGCTGTGTGTGTCTCATCGTCACGTGTTATACTTGGTAGACATCACGTTAGTGACGTGTTATGCGGTGTCCTCATTGGCCTTCTACAGGGCTGGGTTATTTGTGCCATATGGGTACCATACACAACTTGCCTGGAGACACTATCATGTATACCATATTATAGTGTTATAAGGAACCAAGTGATACATGTAGTTCAATAGATATTGAGGGTTCTGATGGTGATCAAAATCTTAGTAGCAAATATGCACATTACAAGTGATAATTTTAACACCAGCAACCAAATCTCATGTTAAGGGGATGGAATGTAATTCTGTGACACAACGAGCTGGTATCGAATTACAGAAGACTGTTCAATATACAAGACATTGTATGAGTGTTAAGGTCTGTGACACTAAATATTGTTAAATTGTACCTTTTGTTCCATAAAGGAACAAAGAGGACTTACATTTGATGTATTCCTGGGTGTTCTGGCATGAATTTATTGATTTAGTAAAAACTTGTGAAATTGTTTGTAAAAACTTGGGAAATTGTTTGTGTCCACCCTCTCTCATACCCCACAACTAAATGACTGACATCAGTCATGAAAATTATTGCAATTGGGCCAGAGAAGGCGGGAGGGATATTTGAAACACTTCGCTCTTCAGATCTCTGAAAAAGATCGTTGACCCTCCTCCTGTCCCCTCCCTTCCTCTTCCCAATCTTACCCCCGCCAATCTTCTTCCTTTTGTTCGTTAGTCTCTTTGACATGATGTAAGTAAGTTTTCTAAATGCAACAAGAGCACAAGAAGTGGTTGGGGGCAGCGAATGCCCTTAAACAGACCAGAGGCCTGAGATTGCCTGAAAAACTGTTAAACTGATGTGGCTACACGCTGCAGTGTTTTGCAACCTGTAAGGTTGTGAGGGAACAAATCGAGTTTAGTCAATAAGCAACAAAGAAAGAGTAATCAGTAGTAGTGACAAAGGGGTCCTTAAAAAAATATTCTTTCTTCCCACTGAGTCTGTACAAACAATGATTATTTTATTTTTCTCATTTACAGCCTTCTGTACTAGGTATTAAAAAAAGCCTTTCCCGGGGAAGAGAAAGGAATTGGGAATAAATGGTCGTTTTCCTTACTGTCTTTAATTCCTCCAGCGAAAAGGAATCAGTCAGAAATCCTTTTTTATTTCTACCTAATAAATTTGCCACTTTTGCATAAAAAGTCTTAAACAATTAAAGCAGATCAGTATCATTTCAGAGCTCTTCTATTGATAGTCCTGGATTGTTTCGCTTTCGTTTCACTCTCTGTCACAGTATACGGGACTTATCAAAAGCCGCATCTCGCTTGCCTTTCTCCAGACGTTCTTTCCGTCTCCCAGTTGAACTTCGTACCACTTAACGGATCTTCCAAAGATCCTATCAACTTTACCACGAGAAAACCCGATGCCATCTTGTGACGTCACAATGACTTCTGCTCCTGTTTTAATGTCATTCTCCTTTGATGTTTCGTCTTTTATTACGTAATGTTTCTCAGCTCTGGGAAGTTCCACGATATCGTCGACGCGTGCGTTGTGTTTACCCGAGGGGGACACGTCAACACTTGTTTTACGAATTTTTGCGATGAAGCCGTGAAAATAGCGCGTAGGATTCTTGAGAGAATTCCAACGTGCTAACACCTCCGATCCGACGGTAAGACAGCCTAAAAAAAAGATAAGAACAAAAAACTTGTTCGACACCAGATCGTTTTTCTTCTCCAGGGGCTAGAGTGTCGTCTTGAAAGTTCATCTAGTGCTTCACCAATCTCGAACCCAGTGACCTCAGGAGAAGGCCAGGCTCTCCTGGTGACCACTCGCTTACTAAACAGTCCGAGGACTCCGGGTAAGAGATTGGTAGGTCACAAACAAGCGCGCACAAGAAAAAGCGGGAAGAACTCTGGAAAACAGTTTGGCTAAAAGACTAGTGTTAAGCATGGCCCAAGTGTCGAAAGTCCTTGCTTAAAAGGCCCACGTTCCAGCTTTTCAAAGCAACAATTGCAAGAAGCATGTACTTTACAATCTCCGCGGTCTAGCAAACTCTTATCCTTGCACACAGCCATCTCACCAGGGTCCTTACCTGCATGACCGTGTAACATGACTGTGCGCATAAGTAAAGTGTTGATTAGACCGTGGAAATTATGTAGCTCGGGCTTCATGCCTCTTAGTTTGTTGCTTTTGTTTTTTTCACGGGCATGTTCCCCATGCCTCTGCAGCCGGTGACAAAACAGAAAAAAGGGACCATTATTTTAATGCGGCATAACATTTTCTGGAGCCACCTTAGGCCGCGCTGCAGTCAACACTTAAGTGTTTTTTGGAAATATGAACATAACTGCAATGAAAGATCTGCGTCCTTATCAGCCTTTTCGCATCGTTTTGGACCGTTCACATTAAAACATCAGAAACTCATATTTGGAGGTAACATTCCCTGCAAGAGTATTCTCGGACGTGATAATAACTCTCTGTGCTTACTTCAGTAGCGCCAGCGATCAGTCCGCCATAATTAAAGCTGTTAGATATGTCATAAAGCATCCATTTGTCGTGATACAAGTGTAATACTCAATAGACCGTTTTACCGATACGGCGGCCATATTGAATTAATTCGATTTGAGGAGTATTATAGGATGCCCAGGGGGCATGAGCACATTTCGTTTGTATTTTCGAGTGCTTTTCGGGACATTTTTTCTTAAAGTTTTCTTAGAATAAGATTTTAATGGGGAAAAAGATCCTTGTGCCGTGTTTCGATGTAATAATGATAGACTTCTTTCCGAGAAATATACAGTGAAAGACCATATTTCTACTACTAAACTAGAAAACGGCGATCATTATTACATCCAAACACGGCACAAGGATCCTTTTTCCCATTACAATCTTATTCTAAGAAAACTTTAAGAAAAAATGTCCCGAAAAGCGCTCGAAAATACCAACAAAATGTGCTCATACCCCCTGGGCATCCTATAATACTCCTTAAATCGAATTAATTCAATGCGGCCGCCGTATCGGTAAAAAGGTCTATTAAGATAAACTTACTAGAATCAAAATAGCATCCGTATACTTCAGCTCTCAGGCAAACAGAGGACCCCCTGGAGTCCTGTGAGATTTGATAGCGTAGTATTCTCAGTTGCTTGGTTACAAGTTGCTCTTTTATGAAATGTTTAACCACGGAGTTTCTGTTTCTATTACCTTGGAATACCTAGATTTAATGAATATAAATTAGAAATTAGAAAAAAAAGCACTTTGTGACTATTAGATTATCTGTGGTGCTGAAGGCTTTTAATCGGGAGGGAAAAACTTGTAGTCCTCCCGTTTACCTGTCTTTAATTGACCTCCCCCGCCCCTACCCCACTAAATTCCCTCGGAGTTTGTCTTTCGCGTTACCACCATATAACATTTTCACAGAATAAATCATATCAAAGGTAGTTTTCTATTTTCTATGCCAGTGGCGCGACATGTTGCTCCTTGACAATACAGTGTCTACAACCTCACCTCAGAATGGAGGCTGGGCCTGTCCCTCTCTGGATATTTGGTTGGAAAGACTGATAGCGCTGTCACTTTTATTATTTATTTTTGTTGGGAGCCGAGCCGAATAACTAAGATGTCAATACCTTATCACGGCCTGACTCTTGATAAGTAAGCCATTGTTTTCCAAGTGAGTATTGCAGCACATATTCATTCATCCATTTGTACTCTTTTGGATGACCTTGAGTGGCTACAGCAGTAACTTCTGTTGTGCGGCCAAAATCAATCTACAATTGTAGCATTCCACAATACTCAGCTTATAAATCATCGAACACTGATAAAGCTATGCATGGAAAAAAGTTACTCCAAATTTTCTCTATAAAATAATAATAATAATAATAATAATAAACACAAAGCAAATACTTTAGTTGTAACAACGATCTTTCTAAGCTCGGGATTCCACTGTATAATCATTAAAGATCCTTATTATTCATTCAAAATATTTCCCCGATTCTGATTGGCTAAAAGCACACGTTTAATTCACCATAACCAGTTACTGATGACCAAATTTGGAAGAATTTTGACTTTAACGAGGAAATGACGTCAAAAATGCAGCGTTTTCGCAGGTTAAGGCACCGTTAACCGAGAAGACCTGGGGACGAGGTTGAGTTGTTTTGGTTGTGAACTTGAAAAAATGGCTGACATTTCACTCGTTTCAAGAGTAAGAACTAGGCGAAAAAATAGGTAAAAACATGGCAAAAACAGCAAGAAGACAACTCCAGGGCTCGAAATAACGGCCGGTCAACGGACAATGTCCGGACTGATTGTGGATTTGACCGGTTAAACTTTCGTCTTGCCGGTCATGTTGACCGGTCAAAATTCAATCGTATTGAAAAATGAGATAAATTTAAGGTTCCTACTGTTCAGTTGTTTCAGTTGTTATTTATCGAGTCGCTGATTGCGGAACTTTGATATGTTTTCCTCCTCACATGCAACTAGAGCCGTTGTTTACAATTCGCGCATCGAAACAGACATCGGGATTCGCCCACTTCCGGTCACAAAATTACCAAATATTTCCACTTTTATTAGTAATTTTCAAGTTGTACATTTGTCCCTGCGTATAAATTAATTCCTTAAGCGGAATAAATATTATCAAAAGCAGTGTACTGCAAAGGGACTATAATTCATAGCAACGTTACAATAATTATTTCACTCTTCGCAAGTTTATCGATGTGTTAATCGGCCGCGTGCGTAATGTAAACATGAAAGGTTGTACTACGTGCTGTGTACAGCTAAACATTGTTCTCTGAGATCGCGTAAACCTAATCTTTACGGAGATATGAAAAGCAGTTACTCTAAGATAACGGCAGCTATGGAAAAATTATTATATTTTTGAGTAGACATATCTGATAAACGGGCTACAAATTCAACAGGAATTAAACGCGCGAACTGAATAAATTGTCTGTTGAACATTTTAAAGGTTCTGCTCAACTTACACAATTTTCCCTTGCTGAACATAAACTGTACCGAGCCGTATCTTGGTCCGCTATATAGAAGCGATATCATCGTTCAAATTTTAAACTGTAAGATCCCTGAAAGAAGTCTCCTCAATGGAGCAGTATATAAAAGGTTTCAAAGGTTTCACGCCGGTGAAGATGTGCGGCCTGTCACCTCTTGCAAGTTTTTACTTTGGTTTATGGGCCCCTAAAAGAGTAATTCATCATATACCTTTGACCGGCCAGAAACGATACGTGACCGAGCAAAAATGAATTTGGCCGGTCATCGTGACCGGAGACTATCCGAAAATTATTTCGAGCCCTGAACTCGAAAGGCGACATCTGCTATTTGGAGAATATTTGCGGAGCTGGATTAACCTAAACGTACACTATCGACGATGAACTGAACATCGATGGATCGATGGAGGTAAGCATGTTTTAGCTATGTTTTTAAACTAGGAATTATTTTGAATAAATAATAAAACAGTTATTGAATTCGGCTTTCGTATCAAATGAAGAATTATGGAGATCTCGGAGGGTGTTATCCGCCTCGGCCTACGGCCTCGACGGATAACACCCCACTCGATCTCCATAATTCTTCATAAGATACTCAGCCTCATTCATTAACTGTTAATTTACACATTTATCACGTCTTATTGATGTCGATGAAAGGTGTTTTTGTTTATTTATTTATTTGTTTATTTGTTTTGAGAGAGCTCTGTCTGCAATAAATCGATGACTTTCCACATGGAACCAATTTTTTCTTTCAGAAATAAATTTAGTTAAAAATAAGGAATTCTAAGAACCTGGAAATATTTTGGCAAACTGCTTCTAGCCGAACACCAAGCGCGGTTGCCATAGAGACGGCCATATCTTGGACTATGACGGGAATCCCTTGAGGAGGATGCAGACAGCTGGCTGCTGAATATCATTCTGTTTTTCAAACCAAGAGACGAAGAACATCCTGTCAAAGAGACGAATTAGTGTTTTAGTTCTCAAGAAGCAGTTGATATATAAAACCGACTCAACAATCAAGGAAAATGACAGGCCGATCTTTTCAGTTCTGTGCGTGGCTAGAGCTTGCATTTTAACAACACTAACGACAGAGATTCTAGAGACATGAAACATACTCTTGGAGACGACTGACGAAACAAAAATACAGAAACTCATTTGCTGTTGGAATTGCAAGATTGACTGCACGTAGGTCGAGTCCCCCGTTCTGTTTTTGGAGATTATGAACAAATTCTTGTTGAGCTAATTAGAATAGGACAACAAAATAGACAGACGCCTGTACCTATTGAGCCGATTATTAAGGTGGCTCGTCACAGTTAAAATACAAAAATTCTTCTTGTCAGTCTCGTAATGTAGTAGATCGTCACTATAGTGACAACATAACGCAATTGAGACACTGCTAATATAGTTTGAAATGTGTATTAATCAAAAACCAAAATTTCTGGGCTTGTCCGCAAAGCAAAGCTTTGATTTTAGATCCTTTTACTCAAAAGTGCCATGAAAATAAAGGCCCCGTACAAACGGACCCAACATTTTTGAATGTTACATGTTGGGTCCGTTGCACACCTGGTTGCATGTTGTTACATGTCGTTGGGCATGAAAACCATTAAACGGACCCAACGACTCCCAACACTGTTGGCCGTCCGTTTGCACGTAGCTATAAATGTAATCGAAATATGTTAACTTACTAATGCATTCAGGGACCGGATTGCTCCAATTTCCATAAATCTGGCACCTCGTTGTTTTGTGGCCACGAAGAGAGAATTGATAGTTACACTTATATTGAACTGTATCACCAAAGGAATAATTGTTTTCAGACCTGAAAGCCACTTTACCGAAACTGGGCTCATCAGGAGTGGCGCATCTTTGCACTGAAAAAAAAAAAACAAGAAAGAAAGACGAAAACGACATGACAACATCCTAAGAAACGTTAGTAAACTGTATTTTCTGTAATCACCTAAGTACCCATGTTAAGGCAATGTGAGGACTTTCCCCAGGGACTAAGAATACTGTCCAAACCGAGAAGCCCGTTCTGGCTAAACTGGTCACAGTAAAGAGGGTTTTGACAGTACGGTTTCGCTAATTTACCGTGGCTAATTCTAGTCAGTATCGAGTGGTCAATTGAATGCTTAGTTACTGCTCATAAATGAGACATCTTCTACTTTTCTATCTACTTACATTAAGTCAGAAAACGCATTTTGTTACCCTACCCTCGTTGATTTGCTGTCGGTATACGTTAGTGCCCGGATTTTGTGTAGTGTACGTTAGTTTTGTGTATTATACGTTGATAGTGCCCGGATTTTGACGGCTACATTACTCAGACTCAAAGAGCTTATATTTTAAAAAAAGAAAGCGATATTATGTTTCTAACGAATTCTTGTCTCATTCTACTTCTACTCCAGGATGGCGCGTAAACTGAATAGCATATAACTTATGCAAGCTTACTCACGGTAACATGTGGGTTGATTTCCACTCCAGGTTGCGTTTGCAAGACATCTTCTCTCTGCAGAACCCCTCAAGAGATAACCTTGATCCTTATTACACCCGAACACAAACAGCGCGTTATAGGTTGTTCCTGTACTCCTTCGAATGAATCCATTTAACGGTGTTGAAAGACCGCCACATGAAACAGCTAATATAAGAAATAAGCGAAATTAAGGGAATGAAAGAAATATGTTGATATTAATTCCAAACCCAACAGTTGCATGGTAATGTTAAAACGACTCATCGAGGAATAACATAAACCTGATATCAAAAGCTACATATGTATGAGAATATGAATAATAATCCAAAACACAGATCAGTTTTGTGTTTTTGCGCTCTTTGAGTTTTGATGTGCGAACTAGTTGAGATAGTAAAGAATTGAACTCCACGATCAAAAAACAGACTCGATTCTATTGATAAAACTTCAATTTTGCTTCAAACAGTCTACAGTAGCTAAGCAGTAAAGCATGCAGTTTCAAAAGAGACTAACCCCTTTACTAATATTTATCAGGTTATTAAATAAATAATTAATGAGAAGAAACGCTACCTTGGCAACGGAATTTTGGAACTCTCCAGACACCATTTCGGCACTCCACAAGAGGAATACCCACTAGTTTGTAACCTGATTGGCAGCTGTAGTAGACTTTCTCGCCATTCAAATATTTGCTCTGTGAGCCACGCCCGTGAGTGACGTATGACAATTTGGGGGCTTTAGGAGCATTGCAGCTCGGCTCTAAAATAGGGAAAATTGGCGTAAGAATGTTTCAAATAGGCTAAATAAATTTATTACGGAAGAGGTCAGAGTTGTGATTCCGCTAAAGGCTGCGCCGACTATGACTTAGTAAGTAGGTAAGTAACTTTATGTTTTACACTCCGCCCGAAGCTAGTAAGAGCGTTACTGCGTGGACATGTTAAAATAGCGGTTATTACATAGTGTTAATTAACTCCCACGAGGACATTTTTAGGTATATAAGCGGCCACGCGGTATTAGACGAGGACAACATCAAGATAGAGCAGAAAATGTAACCATGTTTTTGTGACTGTCTCTATCTGTCTCTCGGAGTCTTCAGTGTTTCAAGTGTGTTCAGAGAAGATTACAGTTTACCGAATAAACCTGTTGAAAGTGCACAAAACTGGTTCGTGATACTCTTCTAAGTAGATACGTCATAATCCAATTCACTTAATCTAGCCAGGGTAGCCCACCCTGGGAGATAAAGATGTATACAATCTAACACTTTATAAGGTATGTACATGATCAACAAAATACCATAAAAATAGATAATAATAATAATAATAATAATAATAATAATAATAGTAACAATAATAATAATTTATTCTTATAGCGCCACTTCCAGTGATACCCAATGGCGCTTTACAAGAAATGTTTAAAATATTAAAAATATTGCTTAAAAGAATGTTACATTGTGAAATTACACAGAAACGAATTAAAAGGGAATAAAATATAGCAAAACTGATTGGGAAAAAACTCTTAAAATACAGCTGTCCGAGAAAGGTTGTCATTAGAAGGGGTGAAATTATTCATTGCCTGCAGACCGCTCATTTCATGGCAATAAGATAATGTGAGCAAAGGCAAAAGTTCGTCGCTAAGGGTCGAAATATCTCGCGTAAAACAACTTATAAGCTGAATTGATGATATCCCAAACGTGAACGCTTTAGGCTTTCATATGGGAATCTTTTTCGATTCAGCTCTATTTTCAGAGTCAAAGAAATGAAAAAAGAAAAATAAACAAACAAACAAACAAACAAGGCACTCTGTCATTCAGGTCTCCTGAATACAGATTTGACAATACAACAATAACGTGGGGAGCCTTAAATGAAAAGGGCGCGTTATTGAATACTGCAAAAGCTTTTAAAAGGTAGAGAGTATTTAAATCTTTTAAAACGCACGTTACCATAAAACGGAGCTCCATATCATAACTAAATTAACTTTAAAACTTGATCTCTCGTTTCCGTAACGCGTCCAAGGCAAAGAGAATTTGAAGTAAGCCAAGTAAAAAGTCAGTCTGTTTCACGACAATCGTCTTGTATGTTTTAGTTTGCGCTAAAATTTAGGGTGACAGCGAATAAGCATTGTGATTGGTTAATCCTGCTGAATTTCAGACTTTCTGAAACTGTGCATTCTACTAACTTTGTTCGCTGAGTGATCATGACATTCGCAGGTGGAAACCAGAAGTTACTCTTCCCACAAATTCTAACCATAGAAAAAATATACATATGACGTGCACAGGTGCGCTTTTGAAAGCATTGTAACACTTGTCCTACCCTATAATTCGCACTAGAATCCCCTCCCTTCCTTTCTCCTCACCCTACCCTACTTACCAGTACAGTTAAAAGTGACTGGAGACCACTGACCCGAGACGCATTGCCTCTCCGGAGTACCCACCATAATATATCCTGGTTTACAACTGTAGTAAATGCGTTCACCGTCTTCATACCGAAGTCTACCATCTCCCAACGTCTGGTAAGCAAACGCTGGAATTTCTGGCATGCCATTACACCAGTGTGCTGTTCAATGAAGGATATCAAACACAGCTCAGTGAGAAAACTACACGAGGAAGGTTAGATGAAATATCGCTACACCTTTTGCAATAACAATGAGGACACAAATACAGGGTGCGAATACATTTTCTTTTTTAAAAAGTCACAGGCAAAGTTTCTGATGTGTCAAGTTTCTTTATTTTAACAACAACTAAAACTACTTTTAAGCCGGATAGAGATTTTAAGAGTGCAAACGAAGACCCACGTGGCTAAAAAAAGTTGGCACACCTGACCTGGCCTAATCTCAAAATTGAAAAAGTATATTATCAAAAGTTTTCCTAAACAGAGACAACAAAAAGAACAACAATAACAAACAAACAAACAAACAAACAAACCAAAAGAGAGAGTTATTGAGTACTGACTGGTTTTGTTATCAGCATTGATTGTAGTATCAGATGAATTGTTGATCTATGACCGAAAACTAAAAACGACATTTTTTTTATTACCAAGACACTGTGGTTGTTGTCCGCTCCATGACCCATTTATGAGGCAGGTTCTCTTTGAAGATCCGACGAGTGTGTAACCAGCTCCACAGTTAAAGAACACGCTATTGGGATGCGTTGTCTTGGCTCCAAAGATCCAGCCGTGTTCTGGAGGCGCCAGCTTTCCACAGTCCTGTCCTACAACATATATTCTATATTTTATGTAAACGCGGGTTATATTTACGTTAAATTTAAGCTAATTTAGATCTCGATTATTTTGTAACGTGCTTAATAAATCAATCTATTTTTTCTTGGCTGGTTAGCGCGGAGTTATTAAAGTTTCTGAATTGAGGATCAATAATGATTTAGTGAAAAAGAAACAGGACAAGTAAATAAAATAGATAAAAAGTCGCCGTTTTGTCAAACAAAGAGCATCAATAGACCATCAACACACGCCTAATTTGTTACTTACATAGTCTTGATATGGACATTACGATGACGCTTTTATTTACTTGTTTCTGAACTGACTGTTACAGAATTGCTTCATACTACCAGTAAGTCGTTTGTAGTGTTTATTATTAGTTTTAACACATGTTCTCGAAGTGAACTATTACAATAAAAAAAATAATAACTCCGTACTACCTCGACAGGACATATTCACACTTGACCACTTTCCATCTGCTTGACACATTCGACTAGCTTCACCGTAGAGAAAAAATCCTTCCTTGCAGCTAAATGTTATAACACTTAAGTATTTTGTGGAGTTTCCGTGATATATGGCATACACAGGGACAGTTATGGGACCACAGTCAACCACTAGAGAAAAGAAGACTAGACTAGGATCAAAATACATAAGTGAAATTAACCATTGTGAGTACTAAGATGTGACAAATCCATCTAAACTGCAAGTTCTATAAGGGAAGTGAGATCTGGAATTAAGGAAACTGTTTTTGACCATGACGAGGGTTGAAACCATGACCTCTAGATTAGATCTTACCGACTGAGCTCTCTGGCGCGGCTCATCGCGTCAGTCTCGAGAGCCCTTTCAAATGTCAGCCAAAGGCTAGGAGAATAATGGTTGCCTAGACTTGTAAACGTGACACAGGAACAAGTGTTAATCTTTGAAGTGGGCTGCATACAGCATTTCATCTCCATAGACCTCTACATGTATTGCAAAAACAGAATTTATTGAATGTACAGAGGAGAGGTCATTCTCAAAATGTTCTCCTTATAGCCAAGTTCTTTTCAAATCACGTCCTTCTTTATCGACGGTCGAGTATTCTTCAGGATATTTGCTTTTTATATCGCATTCAACGATTTGTTTCTGGATTAATTGAGTACGCGTGTATAAATACGTAAACAAAAATCAAGAGCCTCCATTCAAGAAAAATTACATCATTGCCAAAGAACGAAAACGCGATGAACATGGTGCGTCATTTCAATCATCGCCCAAATAGACCCGCACGCTCATCACAAGACTCATTTGCGTACAATAAAAGTTTACGGCACCCGACCAGGTTAGCCTCACCGTCGAAGTTTTGCGCATCAAGACTCTTCTTTTTTTTTCGACCACTGAAGTATTCAGTTATTCCAAAGCAATCAACGCTTTCAAGTGATAAAGTTGGTGGTCTGTCCCGTTCCGGAAAATCTCTTAATCTCTCCTATTAACTTTCTTCACAAAACATATGCATGTCACTCTACGTCACGCCGCGATTCTTATCCCCAGTCTCCACGATCTCTGTTAGGATAGTCGGGACCATGATCTTTCTGGCGTGCACACACGAAAACTTTTAGAGTTTCGCTGCAAAAGCATGCGAGACTAAACAGGATATATCTTACCAAAAGAAGCTTACAGAACAGTGAACAGGAAAACCTGCCATTACATTAGTATTATATTTAAGATATCATCATCAAAATCAAAACGGCCGGCTTCACTTTCCATTCTTTGAATTTCTACACAGGGAAATCAAATAAGGTGAAGAATGGAAGAATCATCTTTATAGATGGAGCCAAGCAATGGAAGAAGAAGAAGAAGAAGAAGAAGAAGAAGAAGAAGAAGAAGAAGAAGAAGGTGTATAGAAAGTAACATTATTTACTACTAAAAACAGTATTCAGCAGGAGAGCAAAATTTTGCAGGAACGAATAACACTGAAGATTAGGTAAAATTTGACGTCACTCGCTATATGTCCTTTGTTTTCTTTTGTTGATTATTTTTACACACATAATCAAACTAAGACTTTCGTGATAACCCTGTCTATACCTTCGCAGAAAGATTCCTGTCCACTCCAATTCCCGGTTGACAGACACTGTCTTATTTTCGATCCTCGTAGATTAAAGCCTTCGTCACACATAGATTGCACCTTGTGCGGGTATGTAGTTAGATTACCAACTAAAGATCCATTGACTGGAGCTTTAAGAGCACCACAATCTTTTACTGTTGAATAAAAAGCATATTTCTGCAGTTAAGGTAGTATGCAACACTTAAACTTAATGTACTTCTAATAATTGTTTTTATGTTCTTGAATTTCCACGAAAAATCCTTGACGTGCGAAGTTGTCTAGGAGTCCACAAGACAGGAGAGCCACTAGGGTTCTACTCTCTACTGAACCTTTATGTTCGTTTGTTTGTTGTTGCTTTTGCCTTTTAATCATTTTTTTTTGGCTTGTTTTCTCTTTATTCTTTTCGATTTGTTCCTATAGCGCTGGCGACTTTTTCGACTTTTTCTTTTTCTAACGCCTGTTATCTACCTACAGCAGTCTGTCAAAATAAATGGGTCTTCGGAGTAAAATCCAGTAAGAAAAAACAACTTTTTACAAACGTATACATCATAAGGTAAAGAGAGTAGACTGCTACAATCGACACCAAAGATAGCAAGTTAGATAAAGAGACAACAGTGCGTATAATGTTTTTGGATGAAGAGAACAAGAGAAATCAAATAAAAATTTATAAACAATGCGATATCCCGAGAAGTATCCAGAAAGCCGGGCAAATCAGCTCTTTATAGATCTTGTTAAGTCCAAAGATATCTTAAAGACCATAAAAATCATCAAGAACAGGAAGCGCTGTTGGGTCACGCCGCTAGCTTCCCATATGAAAAAAAAAGGTTAAAAAGCTTCTCCGGGAAAGGCATTCCCGAGAGAAGTTTTGACATATAGAATATTACCTACTAGTGTACTTTACCAGTGGGTTTGAGACTAATACAGACAGGTCGGCATGCATGGCAGAACTTTAAAATCTCCAGGAATATTTGATAAGATAGAAATATGACAGCATTTACACAATATTTCATCTTTAATTTTTGCCTTTTTGTCCACGTCGGGTCTGGGGCGTGTGTTTATTTACCTTCACAAGTCGTCTCGTAACCATCCCATGTTCCATTAGACTGACACTTTCGCACAGAGGAACCACGAAGAATAAATCCTGAGTCACAGCTGAATGTGACAATACTCGGGTATACCGTCAGATTACCAAATATAGAGCCGTTCATGGGAGACGATAGACCACCACAGTTTACAGCTACAAGAGTAAAAATAATTCCAACAATTACTCAAATTTTCTCAAAACACTCCTCAAAATTGGACAAGAGCTCTTTGTTAGACTATCAAACACTTGTCTTACAACGATCTACTTACGATCACATAAAGTATCGGTTCCACTCCAATTCCCAGTTGACAGACACTGTCTTATTTTCGATCCTTGCAGCTTAAAGCCTTCGTCACACATGAATTGCACTTTGTGTGGATATGTAGTCAAATTACCAACTAGACTTCCATTGCTTGGAGTGTTAAGTGCGCTACAATCTTTTGCTGTTGAAAAAATAATAATACTGGTGAAAATTGGTTAACATTATAAGAAACACCGGCATACAATACTAGAGCTTACTTTATTTTTATCTCTTTTCGTTGCCTTAGGCCTTTTAGTTCAGTTTAAAGGGAAATGGAGAAACACTATCCACTCTTCGGCATGCCCCATTTTCCTGATGTTTTAAGCCATGGGGTTTAAGGAGTCCAATGTTCTCCATCCCATTACTTTTAAATGCTGAAATACAGAACCCCATCATTTGATAAATAAATCTATCTAATCATCATTGGACAAACTACTCGTCTACAACCTATGGCTGCAGAAACATCAAACTACTTACTGAGACTGGTTGTCATTATTTTCTCTACCTCGGTGGACAGTTAACAAATTCGATACAAAACTCATTTGTGCAAAAAGAAGAAATAAATTATGCTGTTGATCGACCGTCCGCCCGTGTGTTTGCTATCATGAAATGAAAGTTTACTTTCCAGGAAATACCAAGTTGATATTATGGTAAGGAATTAGGCATTACCACCCACTGACAAAGAACGTCAGGATTCAACTCAAATAAAAACGGCTATATTTGCTAAAAAAAGACACAACGTACCGTTAAAACGTGTACAAGTATAGCTCAAACCGTTTCAGTCTTTTATTGTGTTGATCTATTCACATCTTATTAAAACTCTCACTGATGACAATTCATTACATTTCAAACATCACAAAAATCAACTTAGCAAAAAAAAAAAAATAACAAACTAAAATGAAAGCAAGGCCAAAAGTAGGTCAGGCAATCGACTTGGAGACTGTCCACTTGAGTTTTTACAAATTGTACCTTCACAAATCGTCTTATAACCATCCCATGTGCCATTAGACTGGCACTTTCGTACGGAGGAACCACGTAGAATAAATCCTGGGTCACAGCTGAATGTGATACTATTCGGATATACTGTCAGATTACCAGATATAGAGCCGTTCATGGGAGAAGATAGACCATCACAGTTTACAGCTACAAAAGTAAAAATAAATCCAACAATTACTAAAATTATCTCAAAACAATTTCTAAGGGCTCAGTTGCTTACGATAAATCACATTCTCGCCACATTTCGTTGTACCTTCACAGAAACTTTCATTCCCACTCCAATTACCAGTGGACAGACACTGTCTTGTTTTTGATCCCCGCAGTTTAAAGCCTTCATCACACACAAATTGTACCATGTATGGATACGTAGTCAGATTACCAACTAAAGATCCATTGCTCGGAGATTTAAGAGCGCCACAATCTTTGGCTGTTGAAAAAAAAGCGGATTATATCAAGACGTGCTGCAGTAGATGTGATGCCTGAGACTCTTTGATTTGACTTTTCGTTTTTTTTAGTTGAGAATTCGAGTAAAACTGTTGTCTTCACTAAAACTTCTACGCAGCTGATACTTTAATCTATTTGAGTTTAAAACTCAACTAACAATAGTTTTCTGACAGGTTGGGGAAAAAAGGGTCCCTTCACTCAAATTAATACATTTTCCTCTCATTACCTGTTCCTACCCTGCAGCAGAAGCAAAATCATTCAATGGAAATGGGCTTCATGATTCTGTCGGCGTTATGTCAAAAAATTACAGAATGCATTGAAACAATATGCCGTTTATCGACTGTCCCCCACCCCGTGCGTTGATTATTGCAGTGCCATTTCAAAGGACAGAACAAAGTATTGTAAGAATGAAGAAGATCTTGCAAAGTTAAGCAAAAATCTCCAGAATCGAAAAAATCCCAAGTAACTCAGACTAAGAAAAATATTTTCTCCAAAGCTTGAGACAGAAGGCAAAGCTTTCACAGGGGTGGCCCTATAACATTAGGAATCTGTCCTCTGGACGCTTAGCACATTGTACCTTCACACACCGTCTCATAACCATCCCATGTTCCATTAGACTGGCACTTTCTTACAGAGGAACCACGTAGAATAAAACCTTGGTCACAGCTGAATGTGACAATATTCGGGTATACTGTCCGATTACCAGATATAGAGCCGTTCATGGGAGAAGATAGACCACCACAGTTTACAGCTAAAAAGGTAAAAAAGATATTCCAGTTAATTACCAAAACTTTCTCAGAACACCTCTCCAAATTGTTCAAGAGCTGTTTGTTAGATGTATCAAACAATTGCCTCACAACTATCTACTTACGATCACAGGTTGTACCGTTTCCCCTCCAACTCCCAGTTGACAGACACTGTCTTATTTTCGATCCTCGCAGAATAAAGCCCTCATCACACATAAACTGCACCTTGTTCGGAAATGTAGTCAGATTACCAATTAAAGATCCATTGCTTGGAGTTTTAAGAGCGCTGCAATCTTTTACTGTTGAAAGAATGTAGATTATATCAAGTTAAGATCACACGCAAGACGTGCTGCAGTAGATAATGCCTAAGACTCTTTCAATTCTTACTTAAAACTCCAACAAAGAACATTTCAATATATTTCAAACAAAACAAAAACAAACGGAACAAAAATAAAATGTGCGCAAGGCCAAAAGTAGGGCGCGCAATCGAACTGAAGACTGTCCCCTGGATTATTTAAAAATTGTACCTTCGCAAATCGTTTCATAACCATCCCATGTTCCATTAGACTGGCACTTTCGTAATGAGAAACCACGTAGAATAAATCCTGGGTCACAGCTGAATGTGACAATATTCGGGTATACTGTCAGATTACCAGATATAGAGCCGTTCATGGGAGAAGATAGACCACCACAGTTTACAGCTACAATCGTAAAAATAAATCCAACAATTACCAAAACTATCTCAAAACAAATCTCAAGGGATGTTGCGTACAATCCATCAAATTCACGACATATTTCTTCGTACCTTCACAGAAACTTTCGTTTCCACTCCAATTTCCAGTTGAAAGACACTGCCTTATATTTGATCCTCTCAGATTAAAGCCTTCATCACAGATAAATTTCACCTTGTTTGGATATGTAGTCAGATTGCCAACTAAAGATCCATTGTTTGGAGTTTTAAGAGGGCTGCAATTTTTCGCTGTTGAAACAATGTACATTATTTCAAGTTAGGATCATACCCGAGACGTGCAGATGATGTGATGTCTGAGAGTGTTTGGCTTAACGTTTCTTTATTTTTTGGTTGAGACACGGAGATATTGCCAAATATTTTAGGAAAATCTGTACGAATAGGAAAAGCTCCCAGTTAACTTAGACTAAGAATTATATTTTCGTCAAAGCTTGAGTCAGATAGAAAGGCTATTGCAAGAATAGTATTATAACATTTACAAGAATCTGTCCTCTGGAGGCCTTACGCATTGTACCTTGGCAAACCGTCTCATTACCATCCCATGTTCCATTAGACTGGCACTTTCGTATAGAGGAACCGCGTAGAATAAATCCCGGGTCACAGCTGAATGTGACAATATTCGGGTATACCGTCAGATTACCAGATAAAGAGCCGTTCGTGGGAGAATATACACCGCCACAGTTTACAGCTAAAAAGTAATAATAATTCCAACAATTACCAAAACTTTCTCAAAACACCTCTCCAAATTGGTCAAAAGCTGTTTGTTAGATGCATCAAACAATTGCCTCACAAGTATCTACTTACGATCACAGGAAGTGCCGTTTCCACTCCAACTGCCAGTTGACAGACACTGTCTTATTTTTGATCCCCGCAGAATAAAGCCTTCATCACACATAAACTGCACCTTATTCGGAAATGTAGTCAGATTGCCAATTAGAGATCCATTGCTTGGAGTTTTAAGAGCGCCGCAGTCTTTTGCTATTGAAAGAATGTAGATCATATCAAGTTAAAATCACACTCAACACCTGCTGCAGTAGATAATGCCTAAGACTCTTTCAATTCTTACTTAAAACTCCAACAAACAACATTCCAATAAAAGACTGTCCCCCGAATTATTTAAAAATTGTACCTTCGCAAATCGTCTTATAACCGTCCCATGTTCCATTAGACTGGCATTTTCGTACTGAGGAACCACGTAGAATAAATCCTGGGTCACAGCTGAACGTGACAGTATTTGGGTATACCGTCAGATTACCAGATATAGAACCGTTCATGGGAGAAGACAAACCACCACAGTTTACAGCTACGAAAGTGAAAATAATTGCAGCTATCACACTAAACTGATCTCAAATCACTTGCCACATTTTCGACATATTTTTTTGTATAGTACCTTCACAGAAACTTTCGTTTCCGCTCCAATTCCCAGTTGACAGACACTGTCTTGTTTTCGATCCTCGCAGATTAAAGCCTTCATCACACATAAATTGCAGCTTGTGAGGATATGTAGTCAGATTGCCAGCTAAAGATCCATTGCTTGGAGTTTTAACAGCACCGCAATCTTTTGCTGGTGTAAAAAATGTGGATAATAAGATAACATCAAACCAAGAGGTACAGTAGGTAAGTTGCCTAGGAATGTTTGTTTGTGGCTTGCCTTTTTTGTTTGCCTTCGTTGCCTCCACTCAGAGCTCTATTCAGCCGATACTTTACCTTTGAGGTTAGGGTTAGAAAAAGAGGTTGGAAAAAGAGTACCTTTACTCCTATACTTTTCTCAATTATCACAAAACTACCTTCCTTCAGCATCGTTCAGTGGACATGGGTGTCATACTTGTATTTCTTTGATGTCGACAATTAAAGAATGTGAAGTTATGAATATATGATAATCATATACGTGAACTGCCGGGTGAAGAATTAAAGGAACGATGATCATCGCAGCGATAGACGCAACTTGTGCAGTTAGGAAAAGAAAGCCTGAAAAAAATTCAGGCCTGTACTGGAGCCTGAGTTTTTTCCAGGCTTTCTTTTAATCAAAGAATGTACTATCATGTTTACTGTTGTCAACTCTACTTCTACAATCAACATGGCTGCTCTTAACTCAAGGAGCACATGCTACATCACGTGACCTAATTACCATACATGACACCTCCCCATTGAAATAAATAGAACGGCAGAGGGGACAAACAATGAAAGTGCTGAGCAACAGTTTATGTCAATATTTGTACAAAACCTAAGAAAATATATATATAAATCAAGCCTGTCAGGAGGCTTGACAGTTAGGCCATTCCTGGTGACTCGTAAGCTCCTTCCAGGAGACAAGGAAGGGAAGAAAGCTCTGAGACTGCCCCAGGCTGCTGTTGGTCACAAGGAGGTTTCACCGTTTTGCGTTCAGAACTTACTGTCGCTGATGGCGTATATTCTTCTTCATTCTCCAATGATGAGCTAGCTTCAGGTTCTTTCATTAGGTGGTACCTGTTTCTACGCAGAGTGTTCCCGAGTGGGCGATACACTATTTATAAGTGACAACTGCTGGTGCTCAGGAGCCATTTTCGTTCTCTCCTGATCTCTTTTCCAGCTCTAAACCTTTTACTGGCCTCGCATGGGGATCATAGTACTTTCCTGTGCAGCCAATACTTTCTCACGTGCATCCAACTCTACCCTTGGCTAAAGAAGCTCAGCAATGGTGGGTAATTCGGACTTAAGTCTTCGACTGTCTAACATATGTGAGGGTGAAAGGCCAATAACACTGACAGAGGTATTTCGTTACTCTGATAGGGCGATATAGGGATCCTCCTCTTTCATTAAGAGTTACTTGATAGTTCCTATCGTTCTCTCGCTCATTTCGTTAGACTGGGGATAGCGCGAACTAAAGGTAGTAATTCTAAATCCCCATGAAGATACAAGATTTTGCAGTTTACGGCTTGCAAATGCAATAGTGTTTGCCTCAATTCATCAGGTACTCCATGTTGGGCAGAAATTTACTTTAAATGAGTTATTACCGAAGAGGCTATCTTGGTTTGAAGTAGGCTGATTTCAGGAAACTTGGAGAAATAATCCACAACACAGAGGTAAGTTTGTCCTCTAAACACAAACAAATCTGCTCCAAGCTTTTGCCATGGACTAATAGGAACTTCGTGAGGAATAAGGGGCTCCTTCTGATTATTTATACGCCACTCAGCACATTTACTACAACGAATCACTGTATTCTCAATGTCCTCTGTCATACCAGACCAGTACATCACTTCACGTGCATGTGCTTTGCTTTTCTCGGTTACTTGATGACTCCCATGTACCAGGTTCAGCATATTCTTCCAGAGCCTTGGTGGGAATAGCTATTTCACTTCTAGAGATATAAGGTCGTCTCCTTCATACTCTTGATCTCGGACATTCCCGTAGGGTCGCACTTCCTCCGGGACTCTTCTCCAGTCTCAGTTGCTGCAGAAGTTGGAGGTCTCTGAGGTAGCTATTTGCATCTGTGACTTAGAGGGAAACTCTTCACAAGGCTATGCAACAGAACTTCCATATCTGACTGGCGATCTTCATCAAGAGACTTATTGAACAGGTTAACAATAGGTAATGCATGTTTAACGGGAATATTTGGCCCAGGTCTGTACGTGATATCTCGGGAATACTTCTGGAGTCTCAAACCATCCTCTGAAGCCTTGGTGATATCTGGTTGAGATTCTTCTTCGTGAGTGCTTCTAATGGATCATGATATTCAACAACTTTGAATGGCTGCCCATAGACATACTGGTGGAACTTTTCACAAGCAAAAACAATAGCCATAAGTTCTTTTTTCATTTGTGTATAGGTCCTGTTCAGAAGCACTCAGGATCTTGAGTCATAAGCCAGAGGGTGATCCTCCTGAAGCAAAAAAGCACATAAGCCATCCTTTGAAATATCAGTTTCAATCACAACTTCTTTGTGAGAATCAAAGAGTTTTAAGACGGGTGCATTAGTTAGCAAGCGTTTTATATCCTGCAGCAGTGCCATTCTGTCATTTTTGAGGAGGACGCTCAAAGGCTCTGATACATCTGCTATGCTGGAAATAAACTCATCTAGGTAGTTAGCTATTCCAAGAAAACAGCAAAGATCTTCCTTTGTCTTAGGTTGAGGATATTCTCCGATCGCTTTCGCCTTGTCGGGGTCAGGTTTTACGCCCTCCGCAGACTCCATTTGGCCAACATACATAGCCTCGAGTACTAGGAACTGGAACTTAGCAGGGTGAGCATTACTCGCACTAGCAAAATCCTAAACTGTATGCTATCACGCTCAGTGTCATCCTTTTCACCAATAATCACATCATCAAACACCACATAGACTACCGCAATGTCGCCAAACAACTGGTCATTGCGTTTTTAAAAGACCTCGAGGACCGAGCTAATACCAAAGGGGCACCTTAGAAACAAATCGTCCAAAAGGGGAGTTGAAGTTACAAAGGGAACTCTCTTCCCCCAAAAGGATGGGTGCCAAAACCCATCCTTTTCACCGAGTATAGAGAACACACTTTTACCAGCCAACTTTGAGGCAGTGTCTTCAGCTGTTGGGATCCTGTAGTGTTCACTTTTAGGTGTCGGGTATCCAAACAAAGGCGTTTACCATCTTTCTTTCTAGCTATCACAAGACTATTCACCCAATCAGTTGGTCTGTCCACGATTTTCTTTCCCCGCGACAATAACTGAATGGAACAAACTGCCGAAAGAAACTGTTACCAGTCAATCTCTCACTATTTTTAAAAGTAACCTCCTTTAGGTTATCTTTTATTAGCAGCTTATACTAGTTTTCATTTGTAATTTTAGCTTTCATTATCATGTTTAGTGTTTTAGAGTTAGCGTGATGTCTCTCTTGGATGTCGCTGACAAAACTATATTTAGATTTAGATTTAGATTCGTTTCCGATCCGGTGTCCAACTTAAAGTTAATAATATCTCCAGCAACTTCCATTTTACTGTACCAGGCCTCGGTTTCCAACAAATCTACCTCCAACCGTCCAGCAAAAAGTTCAAAATCTGTGCATGGCAAAGGGACAACTGTGTGTATCTTCCTGCTGCGCTGGCTGCACATTTTCGCCAAATGATTTCTTCCATCAGGAGTTAGGGCATTGTCTTGGAAGATGTTTAGTACAACACCTTGAGCAGTTAAAGGGATCAGTTGACACGAACAGAACTTCCTTTTCTGCCGACGGGCTTCTTATTTCCTTTAGCCGGGCCTTAGTTACTTCAGCTGAAAGGTAGTGAGACAAGGCCTTCTCAAGCGTCAACATTTCGACATCTATGCA